ACAGATGCATTTGTTGTGAGAATGCAGAAGCCAAGCTGCCCGATTTATATTGCTCTGTACCATAACTAAGACAAAAGGCACCTATTAAGGACGCCTGTGACTGAACAAGACATATCAACATGCTGGGCCTGCGCGCTTCAATATCGCTGGACTGGCACTGCTTGTGAAAATAAACAATGCAATGTGATATATAAACTTGATGGTTAGTGGGGATGGGGTGGTGACTAGATTGGGTGTGCGGATGGTGAACTAGGCCAGCCGCTGCTTGACCTTTCCTGGGACTCTCTGCTGATGCTTGGTTGTCACATGGCGATGCAGCCCTCGTGTGTTTGGGGGCCACGGTTTTCCCTGCGTCTGATGCCGTTCATTTGTTGTTTATTCTATTGTCTTGGGTTTATTTTTTTCCCTATATCCTTTCCCCAAATTTTTACCTTCGTGATGTCGTGCGCTTTTGTGGTTGTGTTTTTTAAGGAGATTCGAGATTCCATGGCATTTATCCACATAATATACACAATTTCTCAACTTAATATTAGTTGCATTAATTTTATTATTTACTTTTAATAATTTAGAATATTACTTTTTTCCCATAAGAGGTTTGTGGGTTAGATCGCGTAAATATAGAGGTGTAGTTAAACACGTCACCACCCAACATAACCAATTAGTAAGGTTTGTCACGTAACCAAAACATGCCAATTAATTACTAGTTCAGCACACTGGTGTGTTGAAGAGGAAACCCACAACATTTACAATTCAAGCACGATGTTTCGCCAGTAATTACAACCAGCATCATCAGGCATAAGCCAGAATTGTAGAGAATCCTCCTATTTCGGTCTTAAATAAAGGGGGGGGGGGTACATTTATTAATGTAAATTACAATGGATATCCATTATTGGTTGGGTTACTCATGACATTACCTTTTTTTCCAGAAAAAAACATACTGAGTCATAGGACTCGTTTTCAGGAAGGTACTGCATCGGGTTTTTATTTTAAGATGTTTGTAGCCAATTAACAATGAGTTGTGTTCATACTTTTGGGAGGAAATCCTAAGAAAAATCCACACGCACGAGGGGGTAGCACTCTATAACGATTAGTCCACTTGCTGTCCTGTTGAACCAGCATATGCCACCTCGACACCCACAAGAAGGGAGTTGCACAACATTTGAGCTATGCACTTTTAAATCAAGATTGAAAACTCGTTTCACAAGAAATGCATTTTTTTTTGTGTTTAGTTTGTTGTTGTTCTCCCACACCTCCGATTAATCACGGTTGGCTACATACAATGCAAAATAAGTTAAACATACATAAATTAACAACAATATGTATTTTGACTTAAAGCTTTTGTGACTGCAGGAATTCATATTCTTTGGCTCTTTCGGTAGTCACGTAAATAGGTTCAAAGAAAATAACAAAAATAACAAAAAACTACGACGTTTCGATCGCAACACAAGCGTTCATCATCAGCTTGTGTTCCTCATCAGCTTGTGTTGCGATCGAAACATCGTAGTTTTTTGTTATTTTTTGTTATTTTCTTTGAACCTATTTACGTGACTTTATTGAAACAATTTAATGATTTCAGGTTTAGTAGTTGTATCGTGCAATACCCCAAAAGGTATGCAAGACACTCAACATTTTTCTGGAATATTGTAACAGAAACAAGTATCTTCATGCCAATGACGCATGATTACAGTGCAAACGCGGCAGATGGGCATGCGCCTGTGCAAACCCGCCGATGGGTCTGCAAAAGCAACATGCGGCACGGGATCAAGCACATTTTCAAAATGTGACAATGTTTTGACATTTAGTTTAACATTGCAGGGGAAGAGGGCATTAACAAAAAAAATCCACGAAGATAAAGTATTACCGTTTACACGAAAGGACTTGTGAAGCAAGTAGTATTTCGAAGGTAGATTCCTGAAACCCAGTCGTTTCCTTGGGCTCACGTGAGCGTGCATTATTGAATGGCTGCATAAATGCACTATTTTAAGCATTCGCCGACTAATGCATAATATTAACGTTATGCGTACATTTTTTACAGGGTCTCTTAAGGCTAAGTGAACATATGTTATCTCAAAAAATAAATCTCTGATATTGTGATTTTAACCGTAAGGTCACCCACCTCAGCTGACCTCGCTCATCTCACACAAAATGGATTCAAAGGACCATTCCTGCAGCATTAGGGTTACTCAAAGCCGTCACACACCTGCCGTTCCGCGTTGCTCAACGTGCATGGCATGTGTGAAGCAGCAGGGGACTCGGCAATAACTCCCGTTGCTTCATTTCACATTATTTGACAAAACAATGGTCTTGCAGGCTGTCAGCTGCTGTCAAGTTCACAATCGCCAATATGCCATTACTCAACAATAACCGTGCACCATTAAAAATCTCATTATTTGAATACATCGGCCATAGCAAACACCGCTCTTTTTTCCCCCCACTCTGGATTTATTCTCTCAAAATGCCAATTTGGCCCTCTCAGATTAGCGGCAGCATCTGCTTCAGGGATTTTCCCACTCACAACTATAAAAGGCTGGAATTATCCCAGAAAGTGCCCCGTATAACATCTGCTCCTTTCCTACCTTCAGCTAATTACAAGAGATTTATGCAAGGCTGCTCTGTTACTAAGTGTTTAGCAGCAAAGTGTAACACCGTAACCTCTGCTTTTTGAGGTGTGGCGGCATCGTAACATGAGAGTACATTGTGCAACAATGGGGAGTTGTGTAGGAACGTTTAAAAATGAGCACATGTAAGTACAACAAGGGGTCAACGAGGTCCATGGGAAAACAATCTCCAGGGCATACACCAAAAAAAAGACAAAGATCCCCCTGTACAGCCTTAGACAGACTGTTTGGGCCAAGTGCTGTTAGTGAGCACCTATGAAGGCTGGCACGGCACATGGAGGGGTGGCATGGCCAACACCCACGCCCAGTCGCCTTCGTCTCCACGGTACTGATCTTTAAACACTGTACCAGATACTCGTTTAAGGCAGAGTCGACCTCGGGGAGGTCCACCAGGACCGATTCAAATATCTACCAGCATCATTGGTCGTGAGAGGGAATCAAATTTGGGTTGACGGGTCTGGAGTATAGTGGCCGAACTGCTGCCCACCACTCACCCAGGCATACCGATTCAACACTACACACACACCCAACACATAATTGCAGTCAAATACTGCATCACGTTACTGGTGCTCTGCACGGAAACGTATATTTACCATTTTATTAACCGTGAGAAACTGTGATGAATGTAGGGCTGCATTTGTAAGGCATTAAGCAATACATATTTATTGCATTAAACATTACCTTCAGATGATGAACGAGTTTATAATGCTCAATCAAGTTGCACAATGAGGATTATTTTAGCTAATTGTCTTCAGCCTCATTTAAAATCCAACATATATGCAGCAAGTGTATAGTATGATGTGCGCAAACACACGTGCATGCACACATACACAACGGTAATATAATGTTAGGTCAAGCTAAACACGATTTCACTTTAAATTTGTATTAACACCGTAAATTGATGTCCAACACTGACCAATGAAACACAAACAACAGCAATAAAAAAAAGCTGATAGAAAAACAGATGTATTTTTTAAAGGTGGTTTTGAGAAAAGAGGAGTTGTAGGCTCTCCTGTGTGATGTATTACATGTGACAAGCTTAAAATTAACTCTGGACTCCCAGCAGACACACCCTCTCTTAGCTGGAGAATTACATCTGAACACACAACCGAAACTTCAAAGAATCACACGCATATTTTCTCTTTATGCTTGATGACAATAGTGCATTAATGTATTAGAAGCATATCAGCATATTCCACTGAACAAGATATCTCGATCATTTTGAAAAATAACATAATTTGGGTGATTTTCTAATTTAAATATGGCTTTGCTATGACGGCTAACCTATCACATGTATATGTTTCTGGCAAGAGCTAGGGTTTACATTTGCATGAACATACAGTGTTGTGTGCAGAGTTTGTTGTTTGTGGGCGAGTAAGAGTTTCGGCGTGTGTGTCAGTGTGTGACATTTATATGTTCTCCCCTTGTTCTGCATGAGTTTCCACCAGGGTTCTCTGGTTTCCTCCCATTGTAACGCTAAAGCTTGTTTCCCAAGGGTGCGTGCTTGCATTTCACTGGACGGCATGGTGACGGGTGGTGATGGGGGGGGGGTGCAGCAAACGCTATTGCTGCAGAGAATGCACAAGTCCACTGGGAGTCACAGCCCCAACGGCTCATTCAAATCTACGAAAGAACCAATTTTGCAAATGTGTATATGTGTATAACACATCAAATTGCAGAGGAACTGATTTCTGACAAATTAAATTTATCACGCATTAGCGTGAAATTATCTCACCAGGACCAAGATGAAAATTCTGAATCGGCAAGACCCACAGAAGGGGCTTTCGTCGCAGTGCTGCATTCGCATCAAGTCTATTTATTCAGAGACTTTAAATAAAATATGAGCACAGCTCATTACCATGCTGCATATTGCAGGATAACATATTTCATAAAAGCTGTTTACCAACATAATGCTGACCCAAGGGAGCTTATTTCTATTTTTTTTTCTCAAGCACAAATGACACCGTCCATCTCTGCGATCAAGCACTTCTCTCACAAACCTTAAACACACAAAGCTTAAAAAAGACAATCCCATTTTAAATGCAAACTCTGCATGACCGAAAGGTGTGTGGTCCTTGAAATATGTATTTAAACAAAGCACAAAACAACAAGATTCACATTTCCAATAAACCCAATATCATGTGATTGTTAAAAAAAACCTGTTAATAAATATTGAAACCTTTTTGCCATTTTACAACATTAAAATAATTGCTTGAAAAAAAAAAGGGAATCCACTTTGGATAAAGACCAACAACGACAGAAACAAAATAATACAAGACCCACAACCGAAACAAAGCAAAATCTAGAGAAACTTTACTGGCATCAACAGGCTGGCAACAACGCTTCCTTGGTGTCCGGCCGACTGTGCGGCGAGGCACTTACCCGAGTCGTTGCGCAGATACGAGGCCACGGCCAGGGTGAGGCACGACTGGCACAGCAATTCAAGCAGCATGGGCGGCAGCGGCGTGTGGCTGGGCCGCCCGGCCTCCCCACCGTGCGCCTCCGCAGCAGGATAAACCCCGCCGGGGTTCATGTAGCTCGCCAGCACCTGAAAGCACAGCGAAAGTCGACCGCCGCCCCCCACAGAGGATTCTGCTCCTCAGCGATGTTTGTTTGTTCGTTTGATGAGGCAGTGACTTGCTCAGGGCCCGATTGAAAAAAATTGAAGCAAACTATAAGTGTATCGAACACCACCAGTGATTATTTCCTGATGTATTTTAAAGACATGAGATATTCGGAGGAGCATAATTATTAGTTTAAGATAAAGAATACAATACCTAAGAAACATTACCAAACTTTGTGGCCTTCTTTATGAGGTTATTCAATAATTTACTCGAGTTCATTTCCATTAGTTCATGATTATTACGTTCAAACTAGATTTAAAGCTTTCGTGACTGCAGGAATGACTCTTTGGTTCTTTCAGTAAAGTCACGTAGAAAATCAAATCAAATAATAATAGAATACGACGTTTCGGTTGCAACACAAGCAACCATCATCAGGTAAGAATGAATGATAAAACACAGACACGGGAACAGCATAGGCAGACACACATGCAGAGAGAGAGACACACAAAGACACACAGAGCGAGACACACACCATCTGAGATGGTTTCTCAAATAAAATTTTATGAAAAAAAATTTGAATTCCGCTGTGTCTCCCTGTACGACTCCATTTATAATTGATACTTTTTAACGTAATAAAGTTCCATTTATCCAAAAAATTATCTAAATAATGTTGCAGGCCTTGTTTTGTTAGAGTTTGGATGGCTGCATGAATTTCCACTCGGTAAAATGGAATTTCATAGTCTACAGAGGCAAGGCGTAATACCAGTTGATATTCATGATGCAAAATAATCATAGTCCAAAAGTTTGCTTGTGCTGAATCAATACTGCTGAAATTGTGTACTCCAAGAAGGCTGTGGAGCCGATAGGTTGTAGGATAAAAAAATCAGTTTTAATGTAGAGAGATTGATATTAATGAGTCTTAACTATAATCTGATTGATGGCATGTGGGTCAATGGTATAGAATAATTCCATAACCCAGTTTGCTCGTGAGGTCGGGGAGCCTATAAACATTATCAGGAACAGGAGAAACAAAAGCTGCACATTTTTTTTTAAAAAGCATGAACAGGCGCATGCGTGGAATTGCACCGAGATAAAGTAAATCGAAACTCGAGGATTGGAGAACATACAGACACATCATATTGACTAAATATACATTGGTTTGGAAAGGATTACTGACAGTGGCAGAACACGAATACATCTAGCATAGAAATATAGCAATTAGATTAGCATGTGTGCAAGAGCTAGATGTATTCTTGCAACACAAAACAATGAGAAAGAAGTAATCGTTTTGGGATACCTTTCATCCAGCAGTAAAAAGATCATGGATTATGATGCTTAAAACATGGGCGAAATGCACACACTATCAAAGCGTTAATGAAACCCTTTGCTCACGTTTGTCATTTGTGATGATAAATTAAAGCAAATTGCTCTTCTCAAGTGGAAAACCACTTCTTCACAGAGTTGAAAATTGGCCGGTTCAACTAACTTTGCCTGAACTTTAAGAAATCGTGTTAAATTATAAATAGCTTCATCCTGAATGGCAGCATTTCAAGAAAGCTACCAAACATTACCACCTGCCCACTCTAGCATGCCAGTTCCACTGGAGGAGCTGTTATGGGGGGAGGGGGTTTGGAACTCCATTAACATTTCTGAAAAAAACACAACGTTTTGTGTTGAGACTGATTCAGTTCATTTTCACCAAGGATAAGTGGGGCTCAGGGATGCTCGCCCCATTCATAAATAATATGGTGTCACACTCAAGTAGTTATTCCATGACAAACGTGTGGCCAGCCATTCGTAAAGTCACACAGGCATTGAGTAGCACATCAATTATGCCGCTTGGCTTGCTTCTGCATATTTAATAGAATGACGGCTTTGGGTTGAAAGTGCAATCATCTAAGTAATTGCACATAAATGGAATGCCTGTGTGAAGATGACACCAAAAGTCAGCCACATAAAATAGGCTCACTGAATTAAATGTCCACGTTAAGCAGTCCGATTCAAGCAGGGACCTACCAGCTTCAATTCACAATGGTTCAGAGCAGAGTCCAAACGCATGGTGGGCGGTTTCATGCACTGCGCTCGCAAGAGAAGGGCTATACGCGGAACCCGCAGCCACGGCCGGTACCTGAAGCAGGCAAGTGACGTGCTCCTCCTCCATGCGCTGCTTGCTCAGTGCCTGCTCCACGTCCCAGCCCGAGGTGGTGGAGCCAGTGCCGAAGCCAGTCCCTTTAGCCCAGTAGAGCTGCTGATCGTCTCCGGGGCCAGCTGCCACCTGCCCAGCCCCGCCCGTCGCCATCTGACCCAGGGTGGGGGCCGGGGGTAAAAAGCAAAATGTTCACGAGCCGCGACAGAGCACTGGACATGCAGCATCGCAGAGTTATATTTTTATGCGAGTAACCTATATTGAACCATATTATGGCACAGTCACCCATTGCTACCTGGGGCATCATTTTTTACTTTTCAAATGCATCACCAGAGCAAAGATAAATAACATAGGGCACATTTCTCAAAATAATCTCTTTCAGCCTACGAGTGGTCCACAGTCTCCTTACACAAAGTAATTTTTCCCCAAGACAGATCATGTTCCAGAGTATCAAAGTAGCAATGACGCACAACGATCATTAATTATCTTCAAACGGTGAGAGCATGAAAAACATATTACGTGGAATACTGAATTTTAGCTGGAATAATATAAAACACTCAGATAGTTTTGTGTATGGTTATGCAAGAGAACAGCATTGTTTGAATGACCTTTGCAATTCACTTGGTGGATGACTTGAATGCTGTCAGGCTGTACTGTGCACAAGCTTTCATAACAGCAGCACAATGGGCGCAATGCAATTGAGGAATTCTCCTATGCGGTTTACGGTACAATCTCTGAGGGTGCCATAAAAGAGTTACGACCTTGGAATAATGGCAGTTGTCCTCTGAATTGCTGAACTTTTTACATCAACCAAAACATATAATAGCTGAGATTCAATAAAATGTGAAAGGCGAACAACATTTTTACGTCTTTTCACACAACACTGCATTACATTGAATAAAAAAACCCAAATCGCTAAGAGCTGAAACATCAGCAACATCACCACCAAAAATAAATATCCTTGATTAAAAAATGTTGCAAAAGATAAAAAAATGTATTCATCAATGGTATTTTGCTTACCATATTGTGTTTTTCTAATAACACATAAAATATCCTTTGAACTTCTTGCAGGTCATTTACATGGGCAGCCGATTTGTTATTCAGCTTATGATAGAGCACCGCCACTAATCTGCATGAATTACGTTAACCAGATGAACTTGAATATCTTATTAAATATCTGCATCTGTTTAAGGCTTGTTTACTGGCCAGCTCCATTTGTTCTCACCCCCAAGGAACACGCCACAGCCCGTGGTTAATTTTGCGGTGGAACGAGCCACCACCAGCTTCATGCGGTGAAGGGTGCTTTTGGTTCTCAACAGGTCCAAGCGACCCCCCACGTTGCAACTCTGCGTGACTACCAAACATCAGGTGCATGCAATGTGCGTCAGGGTCGCTGCCTTCGGGCAAGTGAAAATTGTGCGCATTACAAATTAGCATTATTACCAATGAGCACAAGAGATTGGTAATCACGAAAAAGGACAATTTGTGGGAAGTCGCGAGCACTGGAGTTGGAAACGATGCTCGAAAAGTTTCAGTCCACACGTACATTTTTTCAAGAGCGTCGCTCTGTCGTTATATACTACATGCCAAAAGTGTGCCAGTATTATCGCTCTGTCAATAGATTACGTAGCAGTGCCCATTATTTCAAGTGACAACAGCAGGACAAACATATGGACTGGTAGAAGGGCCAATCAGTGGTGACTATATCATAACATCGTGCCAAAATCATAGCATCTTTCCGTTAGAAGTCACATCACAGGAAGTTATATGTCCCATTATTTTCTGTTGTCGCCCAAAGCTTCTTGGAGCTCGCCAAATCACTCTGGGAGACAGCAAGTCGCTTGTTTTAATTTTGAGTGCAAATATCTCTGTTTCTCCAACATAAATGCGTAGGCGAGACTGGGCCTAACACCCATCAGCAGGCAACTTGGTCGGCCATATTAACATTCAAGCTGAGGACAGCATACTCTGCAAATATGTGCCCATGCACCCATCCACTCACTGCATCACACACAGCAGAGTCAAACCAGCAGCCCGGGGACAGAGGCGATTGTGCCAGCACTGAGACTCTGCTGCCATATTTAATACACAGCTCTGGGATCTTGAAGATGCTTAGTAAATGTTTTAGTAAGTGCGGCATGCATGTCATATAATGGTGCATTTCTGTAGACTGGGCTGCCCATGCAAGGTCTCGTAGGGGTTAAGCTGGGCCGTGCAGGACTACGCTTCTAAACAATTTTCTTTTTGCTCTTTTTATCTCTCCTTGGCATGCACAGTTGGCCATTCACACTTTCATTTTGGACGTCAATGGACACCCTGGATGTTATTATCCTTTTTACAACTTTCACCAACTTTATTTGCCTTTTGATCTGGCTCAGCACTTTAAAAGCTCCCAGTCAGAATTACACAATCTTGGTTAAAAATGCAAACGGCAGACTTCCATTTAAAGAAACGTTTTTGTTCTTTGTTTGACGATGTTTTTCAGTGTCTTTAACAACTTTGTACTTCGTTCGCTTGTAATTTATTTTCAAGATGGCCAGTTAATACTCCCAGCAATGTGGTTTCCCCAAAGCGCAATTTCAAAGGTCATCGAGCCTGAACTGACAAAGAAAAAGTGGTTAAAATAATCAGCATCCGAGAATCTGCAGGCTGCCCAACTCCAGCCAAATTGGGACGTAAAAATAATTTTACAAACACACCGGTGGCAGCTCGTTATAAAGCAGCCATCTCGTAAACCATTCCCTCAGCAAGAGAGAGGAGCTTTGGCACAAAACAGGCTGCTGTATCCATCAACACCAACCGAGGAGAAGAAATAAAGTTCAATCAAAGCGGACCGGCACCGAATATCACAATATGTTCCATCTTCAGGGACTGGTGGTGGGGAAGTGAAAGGAAAAATCACCTGTGTTCCACACTAATCCCCGAATTACTTACAGCAGGGTAATGGTACCCAGATGGAGATTTATGGTTGCCAAATATGGTAATGAATAGCTGTACCCAGACCGACTTTCACACCCACTGATGCTGCACAAGACCCAAATGTTCACTGTAAAAAGTGCCACCTGCATAAGCAGTATCAGCACAGGTTTCAAATGTGACACGTTGATAAGAATTGGAGTTAACCAAGACTAAAGCCATTTTAAGATATCCTTGTTCAATTATTTTTTATTATTTTCCCAGATGGAGGATACTCCATGATTTAAAGGTGTGTATCAAAGATACTGACTGCATGCTTTAATGGAACAAAAAATTGAAATAATATTACTTTTTTTCTATTGCTTACGAATTTGAGTATATCCAGGCTCTCGGAAAAGTCTTCAATGTAATTGCAATGACGTTGACAGTGAGCAAAAACAAAATCAAGGTAGACGATGCAGTGCATCAACTTTAGATGCCACCGATGTTTTCATAATTTTCATCAGCCATGGTCTTACCCACTACTGGACAAAGGCCTCCCCAAGCAAGCCATCTATAACAGTGATTGAGAATAGGTTGTCCCCTTTTTTCTGGCAACAAAACAGGTGTTAAGATGTTAAAACACCAAACTGAAACCTTTTACAAGGAATCATGTCTGCATTAACCACAATATTTGTGGTCAGAATGCAAACAAAAAACCTACTCTGATAATATATGCATTGTCTTTGAAACAAATTGGTCCACAACAGACAGCTTTCTTTTGTGATTCAACAATCCTGTACATCAACAATCCTGTGCACATGCAGATTTCATCGCATAATTTCCACGGTGAACGTTCTTCTTGGGTGCGTTTCCGTACTTTGGGTGCCATTCCGCCATTAGTCTCGACCACCATCCCCCATATCCCTCTTAGTGTGGGGTTTTATGAAATCTAAAATGTATTGTAAAACAGCGAAGGCTGTGCAAGCTCACGTTTCTCATGCAGATGCAAAGAGATTGGCACAAACAAGGTGCTCTGACCCTTGTGCAATGACTTGTGCAACCCTGCCAGCTGTAATGAATTGCCTTTTCACAATGACATAGAGTGTATCAGGGTTTTTCAGGTGATCTTAAGGGTGCAGATTACATCAAACCATGCTGTAAAAGGTGGATAACAGAAATGGAAGTGCAAAACCTACTACGCACGAGATTTTTTCCACAGCCATTCCCAGGAAACTGTGGATCAAACACCACGTCTACGTAAATCAAATAATTTGGAGAGCAGTTGCATTTATACGCTTTTTAAAACCCTACTGCACTGTAATGCATTGAAACCAAGCAGCAGCTACAGAACAAGAAATTACAATTCTTTCACAGCAGGGACGTATGGTGATATTGGTAGGAATTGTAATAGCTGCAACTTGATTAGGACTGTCAATGGAGATGAGCACCACCCGATTCTCATTTTAGATGCCGGTTTTGTAACTCGACTACCTACGGCGTGTGCATTTGGTAGTGCAACCATGTACACATGGAGATTCCTCTCCACAGGGGCTCACCCCTTGCAAGATTTTTAGCTATTGGCCATCCTTAGACTTGAAGTTTTCGTGTTATAATAGGAACGAAAAAATACGTGTCAATAAGTAAATCACTAGCCTTGTTCTACCAACTACTGGATGAAGGCCTCCCCCACACTGTTGGCATCGCTCAGTCCAGCAATGACACAGTCCATCATTTCGCTCCTGCACATGAGTGGATGTCTTCGCTTCATCACCACTGCCGTCATCCCTGATACGTGTTATTTTCTTTGGCTGCCAATTCGTCAACTGTCTTGCCCGGTGGTCATCATCTCTTCTCAACATGCGCCCTGCCCAAGCCCACATTTTTCTTCCCCATCACTATGGTGTCTTTAACGTGAGTTTGTTTGACTGAAGAACACATCACTCATTCTTTCTCTTGAAGCATTTTAAATTAGTATGGCAATATAAAATGTTGTTTCTAATACACTACACTAGAAAAATTCCCTGAAGGCTTAACTCGGGTAAAAACAGATGGCAACATCGCAACCTATTGGCAGACCTAATAGCAGCCTTTGTGATAGCCCGATACCAAATGTACTCATCATTATGAAGTAACGTTAACCTCCACAGGGCCCGAGAGCTCACCTCGGCCTGCGTGAGGCTGGAGCTGCTGACTCGCGGCGCATGGTGCGACAGCACCGAGAGGCACGCGAGCAGGAGGTGCACGGCGCCGATCTCCAGCGCCATGCGGCGCAGTAGCACGCCATCGTCCGTCGTGAGCGGCGTGGAGCTGAAGAGTGTGCGCAGCACGTGGAAGGGCAGCGTGGGCAAGACACCCGCCGATGGCGACTGCAGGATATGGCCTGCGCACGTGCACGCGCAAGGGAGAGAGATGTCGGCTCCTAGAAACAGCACGCAATGCACTTGCGTTTTCATTTCCAACCGCGCTCGCTCCTCGTGAACTCGTAGCCAGCCATTGCCACATCGAAGTGCTCCAAATTGTTCATCGGGAATTTTTTTTCTAAAAAAAAACTTGTGGGGGAAAGATAGCACCATTAATTTTTTATGACACAATTTTTCCTGGAATGTCAGCAACTGTTAAAATGAAAATAAAATTGCCATCAGATCAAAACTATAAGAATGTTAGACTGGTCTGGCTGAAGGAAAATTGCTTTACAACCGCAAAAAAAGGGAGAGGTTTTCAGATGGAGCAAAATCTTTGGAGTGGGCGGTATATGTCAGCGGGAGGTGAACAACCAGAACAGCCATCTTCTGGATCAGACAGTATAAATTACTTTTTTTTATGTTAGCCTATTTTTCCTCTTTAGAATAAAGCAGAGGGGGAGAAAGATATACATCCATTAAAAACTGTAAAGTATAACGGGAAACAACAAAGGAAATATGGTGATCACCTCCTTCGCCATCATCAGTGACGCCCAGCACGAGGCGCAGCAGGCACTGCGCATGCTTCCTCTCCCGGAGCAGCACCTCGGCGTAGCCGGGCAGCCGCAGGAACAGGCCGAACGCGGCCAGGGAATGCGCAGGGATGGGGCAGAAAGACGGCGGCCGCGGCAGAGGCTTCGCGACGGAGACCGCCACGGTGGAGCCCGAGGTGGAGGGTGCGACGCAGGGCTCCAGGATCTCCGTCGGCTCATATCCGCCCATCTCCCCGCTCGGCTCTAATGTGACCCATTCGAACTGCTCAGGGTCCCGCGTGCCACGGTCCTGTCCCGATGCAGCCATCATTGGCCCGCTCACCTGGCCAGTCACAAAAAACATCCACAATGCATTTCACAATGGTCACGCTTACAGCATCGGCGAGCCCGCAACTATCCTCCGAGAAGTATTTTGAAAATGAAGGCCGCAGCACAGTCCACATGGAAACGAACCCACAACGTAAGCCTTACACAAATCTGCAAGCTAGTGAAACTGCAAATGCCATATTAATCACATACCATCTCATTAGTGCCTCATTCCATTCAGCAGACATCTGCTTCGTGTAATTACCAAAACAGCAGCTCATGTAATCAGGTTATAAACGCTCTGTACGGGAAAAGGTTTACGGCCAACCTACACGACCTGTTTGTACAAACCCCGCATGTGCAAGTACGCACCAGCAAAATCCAAAATGTAAAAAGTTCAAAAGAGCAATAGGAATGCTCGGTTAAAGCCGCAATATGCCAGGTTATAGCATGCGCAGTGACCGCCCGTGACACTTAAAACATAACATTCAAATTGAAAACGCGTGATGCATTGAATTGATAAAAAAACATTTTTATCACCCTTATTAGCTACCAGTGCCTTAGTGGCTTACACCCACAGACACTAATATTTCACAAGCCCTATACAATCGCACCCAACGAACATAATTATGTTTGATGTCATGCTGCTTACAGTTCTGGCAGATTGATTTTGTATGCACTTTGTAGACTAAATGTCAGACAACATGAAAATACATGCCATTACAAATACAAATCCCCTCATAGATGAATGTAGAAGCAGATATATAGCATGCATTTTTGTTTTGGTTAAAATGCAAACAGCTTTGCAATGACAATATTTAAAGCACCAAACAATATATAGAGGGTGGGGGTTTTGATTATATTGGTAAACAGTATATTTCATTAAAATACTTTCTTAAATGTGTGATGCATTGCCACCGTGGCTTAGTTCAAAGGTTCAGAAAACAATATACATGGAAATAACAATCTGTTCAAAGGATTGAGGGTCTTTCAATTTTGCATCTGAATAACCATTTGCTTTGCATCAGACGGGAGAATTTCCATCATTTGAAGCATGCTTCAAATACTTACATTTGTTATATATCAATTTGGCAGACTCTTAACACCACCTGCTGTTCAGATTACCTCTTACAATACAACAAACCTAACCAACACATACATGGCGTGAAACAGGATATCATCAATTCGCAAATGTGCTACTTACACACGGCGTATCATCAGCAGCCACGATCTATCTGCTGCTGTGTGAAGGTCTCCCAAGCTGTCGCCATGTCACATATTACCGCGATCCAACGTGGAATATAACCAATTTGGAAATTATGCTGAGCGAGCAAAGAATGTCTGCATTGGTAAAATGCTCGCGAAAATAAATATTTCATTTTACCCATTTATTATGTTCTGCTCTCATCACTCAACCAAGAATGTCATTGCAATTTTAAGGGAGAAGACCATATCGCATTCAAAGTGTTATATTGTGGCAATGACAACTTTGTTGGGTGAAAAGAAATCGCATTATACAATAAAATCTGCTGCCAGCTCAAAAAACATCACTCTGTTTTTTTTTTAAAGCACATTTAGCAGAAGTAACTACCACTAAATACCGGTACAAATGAGCTGGGGCAAGCCTAAAGGCAGGAGTGCAATGCTATCTGAAAATAATCTGCGTACCATACAGAAATGTGATCAAATAAAAAATCCTGAACTGAAAAAAGCTCAATTCAACGGAGCGCATCAAATAAGCACTCACACTCATCGAGTCGAAAAAACATTGATCCACATCCAGGTTACCATAAGGAAGGAGAGGAATGAAGAGTGCAGTAGTTGGAGAGGCAATCTGAAGAACTCACCTGCTGAATGATGTCCGGGTAGAGCATGGGCAATCGCTCGGCAATGAGCGCCAGGCCTCCAAGACCCGCAAACACCTGCAGCGGAGACTGCACGGGCGCCGTCTCCAGCAGAGATTCGTCCAGGGCCACGTCCATGGACTCCTCCACAGTCTGCAGTCCCTCTGCCTCTACGCATGCCAGCGGCAGCTCCACGCCTTGCTCTGCACAAACAAACACACACGCTGCACTTCATTTTTTCGTGGCAGAACCTCACCTGCAAATGCCAAGCCAGGTCCTTAGACTAAAAAACCTGGCTTGGACGTGATCTGTTTAAGGTACAGACCCTGCTCAGTGTAAAACAGCAGCTTAGAGTAATATGCATGGGTATATACGAGAACGCATTATGGAATATACGGGGAGCAGTGGTGCATTGGTTGGCACACAGTCGTAAACTTGGTGATGCGAGTTAGATTCCCGATCACGGTTAACATCAGGGGCGAGTGATTGCGAAGACCTTCATCAAGCAATAGATTGACAAAGGACTGTAAGGTATTGTTATTTTTAGTGGATGGCAGTGTGAAAAAATATATTCACAGTAAGAAATTAAAACTATTGCTATAACTGTAAATCTGTTGAGGAACTTTTTAAATAACGTACAACATACATTGTTTTTATTCTCCACAAATTGAAGGTTTCACCTTTCTCCGTCCTCAGGCGTTTGTAGGCATCAGTCTTGGACAGGCTGGAGTCAGGAATGACCTTTGAGCCAAGCTTGACGGTGAGGTCAATGGAACAAAATCCCTGCGGCAACTTGAGGTCGTGTAGCAGGGCCAAGAGCTGTGCCAAGGTGAGCTCGGGAGGAAGAGGCTGACCTGTGAGCGACGGCACAGAGCATTAACGGCGTGCGCTAACCAACGTGTTCTTGGGACCTCCAAACATGCTGGATGTCCTCGAATTGCGCGCATGTAAATGTCAAATGTTACATATACTTGTGAAACGTTGAAAATACTAAATAATCATCGGAGAGCTGAACATTTACTATGTTCTACAAAGAGGGGGCCCTAAATTGCTGCAAATCGAACACCTGGGCCATGGTGGATTTTCTGAAACGCTGATAATATAATGCCAAAATAGGCCAAGTGACACCATCAAATCATGCAAAGCTGTGCATATGTCCACAAAATGGAGCAAAATACAGATGCTGCAGGCTGTTGCATTTGCACATGTTAGTATGCGGAACAGCTCAAGGCGATTTAAATCTGGTCCATGTAGCCATATATATGGATCCTTAATAAATATTAATGTCTGTAGTATAAATTCAATAGCTTAAAATGCCCTTGCACTTTGTAGATGGAACGGCTAACAATCGGGATATTTCTGTATTACATGCTATAGGCTCATTTTTTATACATATTTCATTCAAATTTATTTCACACCAAACAAATAACCCTCCAAAAATTTAGAAATGGTGATGAATTGTGATAGAGATAGAAGCAGTAGAGACCAAGTAAGTCACCAGTCAAATTATAAGCACATTTGAATTTTCTATCCTATTCCGCAGACGAAAACAACTTGATACGACTCATCCCAATAAAGTGAAATGTAAAACTCAAGAAAAATATAAAACAAAAGAATGACAGACAAATCAGAGCTGGCTGGTTAAGAGAGTATTTCAAGAAGAAAGAATTGACTCCTGCATTTCTGTACAAAGATCAACAGAATAGCTTTTTCTGGAAAGGAGAAAAACACATTACAAACGTATACATATCAAGACTGGCTATAAAATAGACAAACAGATTAAAGCGAGTTACAGAAAAGAGTTATTTTACCCTAACCTCCAAATATCTGCGGTGGGAAATGTTTTCCAATAACGTACAGCAAGACCGACTGAAACACAATCCAAATTCTGCTCATCAATCTAATTGAAAAGTCTCAAAAGAGGTTTTTAACGCATTAGCAGAACATCTCGTTTGACAGCTTTAATATATGCTTCCATTGAGCTCTTACATTAGACAATTTGGCTATTTTCTGCTGCAATTAAAATCGAAAAAGGCACAAATTAAAAGGCAGAATTAACAGGCAATATTACTTTAAATTTGAGAAAAGGTGCTCGACACTGAAATCCACAGCAGAATGAAATGTGCCACGGTTAATATTCTAAGAGAAAGATGACCGTGGGTTTTTACGAGCATCTGGGGACGAGGTGACACGATATTTAATAGAAAACCAAATGCATGCCCAGCTCGTTGACAACATGCAAAGCAGGCAAATTGGAATCCGCTATATTTGGAGGTGATTAACATTTATTGCAACAACATTTACTCAGACTACTTTACTGCAATTAGATTTGGAAAACACAACTGCACTCAGCCTATGCATTTTTGCTGGCTATTGGTATGCGAGACTGCTGGCAAACACTGTAGTGCAATAACAAATTATGTGTCACTGAAGGTGAATGTTTCTCCGTCAGTTTATTAAGTGGGTTTTGCTCGATTAAGCTCAGCAGATGGTTAGAGATTTTAGTTCGTGTTGTTTGGAATATTCGCTTATTTGAGATGCATATTTGAATAAAGAAAACATCTGCACTCACGCTGCCTTTAAACGGACTTTTGCCAATTAAATCCACCTTGCAGCCAGGGGTTTTGGTACATAAATGAAACCGCTCAGATGTAACATTATACATTTATGCATGGTGAACTTCTTTCGCATCGTCCGTAGCCAAACGTGCTAATCAGGTGCAGGGTAAGGACTGACTTAACACAAAACATCATAAAGATACAATTTTACCATGACAAACCGCAGAATCTGTTAATAAAATTACATGATTTCCGACTACAGAAGGAGTGCAAATGTGCGCCAATGAAGAGAGAATCGGCGTGTGTTGCCAATGCGGCGAAGCTAACAAATGGCTGCAAGGCGGCCGTGTCTCTCGCGTTTGTGCATTTGCATAGAGTGGTGGTGGTGCAGTGATGGATGTTTGCCAATTGTGTTGGGTTATTGACTCTCAAAACACCCTCACCCTCCGCCGGCTGCTGCTCAGCACGTTAATCGCCCCATCACTCGTCATCACTTCACATGGCTCAAGGGTGGGGAGGCGAGCGGAAGTGGCATAGGTTCTAATAAAAGCGCCACATATGTTGATTGGACATAGTTCAAGACTAAGGCACAATTGTGTCATTATTGATAACGCCGCTACGTCAATTGATGGTAACGGATTACTGGTGGGAGAAAAAGGTGGGCCGTTTTGTCAAAGTCTACCGTCCTCGGCTCATTGGATCACTGCAGTGGCAATCTAGTGGCTCTTTGGTTTTTTCCGTAAAGTCACGTAGGTAAATATAAATAACTTAAATACAATAATAGAAATAAAATTATAAATCACGACTATTTCGGAGGCAACACAAGTCTCCGTCATCAGGTGGGACCGTCACAGCTAGAGTTTATTTTTATTATTATTTCTATTATTTTATTTTTATAATTTATTTTTACCTACGTGACTTTACCGAAAAAACCTAAGAGTATGAATCCTTGCAGTTATGAAAGCTTCAAATCTAGAATCTAGTGGCTCATTACTGCGTAGGTTAGCCTTCTGGGAACAGCTGTTATATCGAATTTATAGCTGTATCATCCAACTTTAATGTTATATTACATTTCAGTTTACTTTTTATTTAATTGTACATCTCATGGATATAGTTTAATTTAAGTTTGAACACTATGTATTAGGACGATCCGATACCGATCAAGTGAGTTTCCCAGCAGTGAGACTCAATGCTGATCACAGTAGAGCTGTCCGTGGTGCTGCATATCTATAATCCAGCACTTTGGAGGCAGAGGATGGGAGATCACCTAGATTTGTAAAACTCTAAAATGCATTAGGCTGCAAAGTGGCCAGACGGCAATTGAACAAGTGGGTTGAAACTGAGCGTTATTTGCCCCATACGAGCGAGAAAAAAATTCAATTCAAAAACGGTTATGGAAAATGTTTGAAGACTTGGTAAGGCTTTCCTGGATAAAATAAATAAATGCCATTAGCTATTAAATTAAGATAATGATGTTAATTTTGTCAGCGTGTAAGCATGTGGAAATGAAGTGGGTATGCAAAGTATTTTTTTAAGAAATGTTTTAGTTATCTATATAAATGCCCTGCATTGATAATATTTCAACGCTAATGGTAAGGAAAGATATCCACTGGCAAACACTGTCATGTGTCGGAAGAAACAGCACTGTGTTTCTGTTGTTTAAAAAAATACCAATTACATGATTATGGAGGTTTCACTGGCCAGCAAACACTGTAAAAAGAGACATCGAAAACCACAGCATGTGGGAAGCCCTTGTTAGAATTACAGAAAATGTGGTTCCTGCATTTCTTGGCCTCTTCGATTAACTCGAGGTATGACCTTCAGAATCTCGAAATAGGAACAACTATTGGAGGTTGATTAGGATTCAGTGTGAGCCTCAAACAGTCAACAGGTTCCATGCAAAGAGCTGCTGATGACATGCTATGGCACTAAATCTAAGATAGATTTTATAATGGACTGGCGGGAAGTACCTGACGTTACCCGGGGGTAAAATATATTTAAAAATGTATCTAAAAACATAACATATACATACGCAAATACTAAGCTGTTGTGAAAGCCCGGCGTGCCATTTGTCTGTCCATTTGTCCATCAATAAAATTATAAGAGGCTTGCAGAAGTCCAAAAAGTTATAGAAAGTGGGGGGGTAGATAGTTGATCTAAAAGGTTTCCGAAAAATGTCGACCCCCCCCCCTCAAAAAATATTATTACCCCCACGTAGGCATATATACCTAAACACCCTGGCACTATAGTAGTATCCACTGACTATAGTAGTAACTACGAAGTCAGTATTATCTAAAGACTCTATAGCAGTATCTACTGACTCTATAGTTGTATCTACCGACTCTGCAGTAGGATACTGACTATAGTGGTATCTACTGACTGCAGTATTATCTACTGACTCTATAGTAGTATCTACTGACTCTATAGTAGTATCGACTCTACAGTAGTAACTACTGACTACAGTAGTATCCACTGACTAGAGTAGTAACTACTAACTCAAAAGAAGTATCTACCGCCCCTCTGGTAGTATCTGACTGTAGTATTTACTAACCGTAATAGTATCAACCAACTCTATAGTATAAATACTGACTCTACAGTTGTATCTAATGACTATAGTAGTATCTATGGAATTTATAGTAGTATCTATTGACGCTATAGTACTATCCACTGACTATCGTCGTAACTACTAACTCTATATCAGTATCTGCTGACTCTTTAGTAGTATCAGCTGACTCTAGAGCAGTATCTACTGACTCTACAGTAGGATCTCCCAACCTTACAGTAGTATCTACCAACTCTACAGTAGTATCTACCCACTCTATAGTCGTATCTACCCACTCTATAACAGTATATATCGACTCTATAATAGTATCTATTAAGTATACAAAGTGCCGTTGTGAGGCCTAGTCCCGTGCAGAGCCCCCTGGCCTCGCCCAGATTGCCCAGCCGGCTGAGGTGGCACCTTTGCAGGCTGGGGCTGGGCTGCTACCCCGCCCCCCACCATCCCCCCGCCCGCTCTACAGTAATAGTATCTAGGGGCTATAATAGCGCTGTGTATTTATTTTGCATTTTTAACGCGAATGAGATAAAACCCACAGGTTGTCAGTTAAAAACATCTCAAGGTACCCGCGCAGACAGACAGACGGACAGACAGACAGACAAAAAATTACATTTAAAGGGAAGATAGTCTGAGACTCTTACGTGATGTTGTTTTATAACAACAGCATCGAGTACTTTTCCTAAAGCAATGACAAGCTACCGACTCTTGATCATTTTCCTTACTATTGTATCAACCCCCCATCCGAACCCTGCAAGCAATTATGAATATATATATAAAAAAATCATTTTGAGATGTCTATCAGTACTTTGAAGTATTCCAACAAAGTTGGAAAGAAAAATGCAATTTGCAGAGCCAATTACTGCACCAGTTAAAGATCAAGACTGGAATGTGATAAAAGCTATATAAAATTCCATACACTCGACACATCCATAGAAAAGAACAAATTATATCTGGAAACACTGGCAGCTCGTCAAACGCACTGGTTGGGCCCCATGGTGATTGGGGAACCAAAAGGAGAATCATTGCAATATCGCCACTTTTTGTATTTTGGACGAGACAGCGAAACATCTGATTATGTAAATGATATGCAAGGTGCTCACATCCACCATTTTAAGCTTTTAACAGTCGTCCATCAGGGAGCATGGGGGACCGCATGGCTTAGAATTAATTACTTGTCCTTCAGCAGAAAATGACACCTCTCACAATTTTAAGCTAACTTTATTGCCACATGAAAATGTCAGCAGACTTAAAAAAATAAATCTTCAAGGAAAGAATAATGTATCGCTGTTCTCCAGATGAACCTCTGTGGATATGTAAAGCTGGGATTCTATAAAAGCATTGGCACTCCAGCTTAAAAAAAAAGCATTACGTTACACAGTGCATCAATAAACCCGTCAACTATTAATTTCCATTATATAGTGTTTTACAAGAATTATCCTAAAAGACAGACAATTAAACTTCCACATGTTTTTTTTAACTCCTCAGCTGCAGGGCACATTGAAGAATGCTAGTGTCATACCGTAAGCGTTCAATTATTCTATGAGACGTTGCACATTGATATTTGGAATGTTACATATTTTACATTTTTCTTTGCCTGCGGAATATCCAGTTAATATTCAACGCAGAGCGTGGTTTTTTAGCCAGAGGTAAACTACGCAGTCGTATTTTCTGTGCATTGGGACAAGTAGGTGGCATTTGGCAGCCTCTAGACATCTTACCCAGCACGCACTTGGTCACCTGAAATTATTTGCCAAGTTTTATTTCACGATGTACTAACTTTCAGATCGCTAATAAAAAAATGAAATATGTTCATACTTAAAAAGAGACATTGTTGGATTTGACGATTCGTTTTGTGGATTTTTTTTAACAGAACCAAAGAAATGAACAAAAATATAAACTAATATTGTCATTACAACTTAAATAAGAACCTTGGTTAAATCCCAAAAACAACAATGAAGGTGCAGTGCACATAACGGTTAAATAAGCCAATCTCAAAACATTTCCGTTTGAGGAAACAGGGAGCGATTAAACCTCCCCTAACTTTCCTGTGTCCACAGAGAGATCTCTGACGGCCCAAGCTAACGGGACAGGGGAAGAAGGGCTGGCAGAGCAACTGGGACCTCACCAGGCAGCAGACGGTGGTACAGTAACAGCACAGGGATGCTGATGGTCTTGCTGGCAGAGTCGGCAGATGCCCTCTCGGCCAGGGTAGGGTTTACCGCTGTTCGGCCGCGGCGTGTAGGGGGTCGCGGAGGCGTCGCCGACACAGAGCGCTTTGACTGCGACTTGAGGCCTTCAGGGTTGGGACCGAGGAAAATTGCAAGAGAGGGCATCAGAGATGGCATCAGCGCCAGAACCACCCGATCATGTACAGCAGCCTGTAGCAGCCACGAACAGAGTTCAAAGACTTCCACCACCAAGCCAACCTTGACTACAATATATACGACCTCCTTTGCCAGTACCAAAATATAAGAATAGGTTTTCTCCATTTTTCTGGCAACAAAACTGAAACCTTTTTACAAGGAATCATGAGACGAGGCTCAAAAGAAAGCTTGTCTCTGGTGAGGACCAATCAGTTTCAAGGACAATGCATATTTTAGAGTGTGTTTTTTGTTTGCATTCTGACCACAAGTGTTGTGGTTAATCCAGACATGAATCCTTGTAGAAAGGTTTAACTTTTGTTGCCAGAAAAAAGAAGAAAAACCTATTCTTACAAAATATACCGTTGCCATTTTCAATATAGAGAACGTACATAAATCATTTGTACATAACTAGTCTTGCATAAAAAAAGTACTTAAGACCAATTGACAACATTTAATGTTAACAAATTGTGACTCAAGTATCTATAAAAATATATAAATTGCCTGTCACTTATTAACGACCACTCACTTTGGCAATCCTTATTTTTGGAGTTAAGCAAATTGCTTACATGAAGCTATTGATCCAGAAACATATTTTGTGATAAAAACAAGTTAATAACATGTAGCTAATTGCTCCATAAACAGCCACTGACACGTTTTGCCCTATTTAAAATGGGATCGCAGCCACACTGCGGTTATGTCATATTACCGGAAGCCATGACAACTCCATAGGCATCCTGCAAGCCGCTGTCAAACTTGCCCTTCTCCTTCCTCTCCTGGGGCTTCTTCTCCTTCTCCTCCTTCTGCCCGCCAAAGAGCTTCGCAGTATGCTTGGTGTATCTGTCAAATAGGGTCGCAGCTGAGCAACTACACAAAGCACGCTTCGGTCACCAGTTCAAAATTGCAAAGCACATCAACAGCGCATCTGTTAAATTAGCGACACCATCGTTTGCCATGGAACATGTACAGCCCTTTGTCAATCTGCTGCTGGAAGAGGGCCTCTGCACGCCGTGCGAGTTATTAGACCACACTCCACTGTGCTGATGTGCACACGGGACGAGATATTACTCGCCGCCAGTGTTAAACATGGTCAGGATTTTCAAGCGCAGTGCCAACTATTTTCCACAATAATTATTGAGTCTGGAAATTAAATAAAGTAACTGAAAGTCATACATTTGACTACCGTATTATGAACTCTGCTATTAACATTACCGATGTTTGTCATTTTAGTTACAAGTTGTCAACATTTTGACACTTGGGGATCTCTAGAACAGTGGGGAGGAACCCCTGTGGCTGTCAATTGTATACCCAAAGGTACATCGATTCAAAAGTTTAAACGCGATTCTAACGCTTGATACGCGAATCCAATCAAGAGTGTATTCACATGTTTCATGTAATATTCACGTAACCTCTGCAGCCACTAGAGGTGCTACATTCAAAGTAAAAAATATACTTTATTATTTTTTATTTAACACCAACTCTGATGCATAACAATTCATTTAATTGCCAGCGAGGGAGGCGTGGGGGGCGGTGTAAAAGGTTACAGCGTGTTAAGGGTTTCATTGTGGAGCCCAAGGTCGTGGGGTTAGAATTATAAAGTCTTGCTGACCAGATACACGGTCGAGCACGCTGGCCAGCGTGGTCGAGACGGGCAGTTGTAGGGTGCGGAACTTGTGGCCGGCTCCGTACATGGGGTGCTGAATCATGTGGCTGATGGCGTTCACTCGTCCCTTGTACAGCTGGCAGTGACAGCGCACGGACACGCAAAAATAAAAAGATCCTCCTCGTGTAGCCGTTGTAAACATCTGCTCTGGGGAAGCACAGGTGGCTGGGTGTGGTGCTGGCCATATTATTCTCTTGGCCACATAACAGCATTTACCCCCAACAGACACAAAACCTTACATTTACTCCAAGAACTAAAAAGGATAAGAATTCTATTTAAAAAAACACAAGAATGTGAAATAATAATAAAAATGTCAATGTATAAATGAAAATAGGATTGCTGGATTATAACAGTGATAAAGAAAGCTGAATGTGCGGTTGCATGGGACGTACCGGGCATGGCGAGTGCAGGAACACCAACACCTTCTCGTCCTCCAGCATGAGTTGCAGGAAGAGGCGGCGCACGAAGCCCGAAATGCTGCCCGACACGGGCAAGTTGTTGCGCAGGGGCGTCACGTGGAACAGCTCGCAGAGCACCTGCACGGAGAGACAGCCACTCCCACGTCAGTCCTCCCTACCCAATGCACACCTACAAGAGTGGACCCTCCATTACATGGCACCGTTTAACAAAACCAAACTAGCTACTCCTTGTGGGTTCTCCAGGAATGGCAATTGCAAGTGTGAACCACAAAACTGTTGGTTTAAAAAAATATATGCGGCCTGATGCAAAGATTATGGAAGGAGTTAACAATTTAGGTGAGAGCAACGACGCCACCACAATGTGCCTTCATGTGCAGCACTTGCCTGGGCCATGAGTTTCTGGTTGGAAGGGTGCCCACAGATGCACTGTGTGAAGAATGCAACCGCCGCATTCTCAATGCTGCTCTTCTGCTGTGTGGTGAGGACCCCTGGCGAAGCGGAGGCCAGCGAGGTCAAGCACGGCCGCGGAGCACCGCAACTGCTGGCGGCACCGTTAGCGCTGCAGCCCCCGGTGGACAGCGAGGCAGAGGACGATGACGGCGTGGACGAGGACGAGGTGGCAGAGGAGGACAAAGTGGATGGGGACGAGGTGGACACAGAGTAGCAGAGCAGGGACAACAGCGACGTCCACAATGGGCGGCCCTCAGGCCCTCCGAGCCAGTCCTTCATCGTGTGACTGCTGCCAACCTCGGTGAAGAACCGCAGCACCGGCGTGACGAGGTCTGCCGTCAATTCCATGTGGTGTGGGCCGTCTACCTCGACGTACGCACCGTTTCTGCTGGTGCAAGGCGCTTGGTCTGAGCTGGGGCTTGAGGCTGTAGCAGAAATGAGGGCCAAGCAACAGTCCACCAACCCCTGGGCTAGGTGCGCGGGAAACCGTGAGTCCAGCAGCTGCCGTGTGGCTTCAGGGGACTGTGCTACAGCCGCCAGCGTCGCCAGTCGCAATTCGTCCAGGGTGGACGCTAAGGGAACGCGATCGTCGGTGTTCAGCATGGCGCTGCCGCGCTTAGAGTCATCCGTGAGACCCTCACGCAGATCGGCCTTTTTGCTGTCGTCTGTGAGAGCCATGCTGCGCTGGGCCTGCAGAGAGGGGAGGGGCACACCGAGCCAGCCCAGCAGTCCTGGGAAGTAGCTCGGGTGGATGTGGCAGAATGTGCACAACAGCCAGTCCACCGCCTTCTTGAGAGCCACGCTGAAGGGAAGGGAGGTGGACCAGGTGTACAACGCCCTGCAAAGCAAGAGATCATTGTGTTCAATTCAAAGCAATAATAATTACATTTACAGTATGATAAGTTGTCATTTACGACTGTGAAATATTACAGCTAGTCATCACAGCCACACACTAATCATAATTATGCTATCCCTAGGAGACAAAGCTCTAATTTACTTTACATTGTCCCAGAGGTTGGGTTTGGAAGACCCGCACAAGAGATATTTGCTCACAAAATATGATTCAGTGATCCGTTTATTTAATGAAATGTTAAGATGCGTTGTATGAAGGTCATGCAAGAGCCTGTAACATCGATGCAAAAGACACCATGCTGGGTCTCTTTAACCCATGGATGCATCCTGGGGTTAAAAAGTAAAGCAGTGTTTGCAGGGTGTCTGATATTGTGGGGGCGCAGCGTGTGGGACCTACTGGAAGAGCTCACGCGTGAGCAAGCCGGGCAGGTCGTACTGCACGGGCAACTCGTAGCTGTGCCACAGGATGGCAGCAACACAGTGCACATGGGATGGTGATGGCACCAACAGGCCCTGCTCAGACGACAGCGCATCGGGCCGCCGAGACCCGCCCAGCCGCGCACACTCGGCTACCCACTGCAGCAGCGACCGCACCCTGGACAACGCGCACAAGCACCACATTAGCAACGGTCCATTGCAATCTTTTAACTTTTACATCGGCAATGTAATGTAAAAGTAGTGCAGAACAGTTGATGGGTCTTCTGGTACAATTGCGGCCATCTGGTACCTGGCCCTCGTGCCGCTGTCCTGCGTGGTGCCCAGCTGATAGAGAATGTCCACGGTGGAGTCAGAGGACAGGCCATTGAGTCTACCCAGGAGCAAAGGGCTGTTCAAATCTGCAAGAAACACAGAAAATTGTATCTTTCACATCCAGCACCCAATAGAAGAGAAATGACGCAGCTCGCTGCTCTGAAAAGGGATTGGTCGTTCCAAGCGAATCACCGGAACTAGACTCACCGTTAGGGCGCGTCCCGCAAGCGGCGCCATCCCTCAGCAAGATGTCGATGAGGCGCAGACCCATTGGCGCGGACTGCAGGCCGAGCCGTACCAGCACGGCCTCAATGCTGGGCGCGTGCATGCCGCAGTAGGGCGACACGAGCAGCGCGGCGCACGTCTGCAGCAGGTTGGCCGTCGGAGCGGCGGCGCTCGCCATCACGCCCTCCAGCTCGCTCACATGAGTCATGCAGTGGTGCAGCAACCGCAGCCAGCCGATGCTACTCACGTGGAGGAGCAGGGTGAAGCCAGCAGAATAGCGGGGTGACAAACAGGAGTAGGAACACGTTACTGAGAAGGAGAATTACTCGAGCAAATCGTTTCTTTGCATTGGTAACTTTGAATTTGTCACACCAACAATAAAACAATGTAGAGCTTATTGACTAGGTGGGCATGCATAGGCATCAACGTAGAAGGTGTCATGTACATACTTGTATGTTAACAATTGTTATTAGCAACATCAGTGTCCATTTAGAAGTCTTCTGTTTCTATTTTACTTCCTTTGCCCACATAAGAGTACACACTATTACACTGAGCGATGCACTGTGTATGTCCTCGCCAGGGATACAGACTGGACAATATCACCGAGATGTAACTCGTGGCCAAAGCCTCATCACCTGGTCTTGGACACCTGGTCCTCGGTGGGCAGAAACGGATTGTTGACTGTGGAGCAAGACATGCCCCCAAAGGCAGTCAGGCCCAGCAGCTTGATCTGCGAGAGGCCCAGAGTTCCCGAGTCGCGCGGGCAGTGCAGGCGCAGGCACACGGCCGTCGCCACCTCGGCCTTGACGAGCTGCAACTTGATGTACGTGAGTCCGGACGTGACGACTGGGCACGAGACGGGCAGCATGCTCACACCGTCCGCACTCAGCTCCACAGACACGGACGAGGGGCACGCTGCATGGGGCAGCGCAAAGAGGCATGCGTTAATTAATGAGCAAAGTCAATCAAGCATCCATCTTAGCCCATTCCGATCACGTACGTTTACGTTATCGGTTTTTCTTCGATTCCGTTCTGATGACGCAAGAGATCGTCATCGGAACAGAATCGGAAGATGGCCAACCGGGAGAGCATGTGGCACAGTTTGGTGCCAGCTATCAAAGAGTGCGGTCGTGTCGCAACAGTTCTCTGCGGTGCGAGTACAATGTCTTTAAAAACAACAGCGCTATGCCTTTCTAAATAAAATTTACGCTGACCGCTTGCGCATTCCAAGATTCAGCGGTGAACGGGACCCACCCCGCAACTTGCAGACGTCTCCGAATGGGACAGGGTTCAGGCCGAGCTTACATCCGAGTTACGGAACCGTGCTGGAGGTGCACAGAAAGGCATGGCGTGGGGGAGGGGCGTACTGGCGAGCGAGGCGAGGTGCGGTTGGATGTGGATTTCGCGGAGCAGCACGGCAGCCGGCAGGTGGATGGTGAGGTCGCTCCACGCCTCCTCGGGCAGGAACACGTAGGACCAGGCGGCGGAGCGCGCTCGGCGGTGGGGCGGCGTGGCCTGCAGCAACACCTCGGCAGGCTGCGCTGTTGGGCTGCTCGATGTGATCGTACCTTTTAAACAAACGCTCAACATTACCTTCAGCACGTAGGTTTAAGCACCAACTTGAAAGCCAAGTGCAGCCTTCAGGGTTAGCCCATACGTTGAACATTTATTCCCTCAAACTGTCGCCGGTCACCATTGTAGATATCAAAAGAAGTTCAAGGTGCCCGCGGGCACTGGCGGAGCCAGTGGGGGGGTGGGGTGGCACGAGCCCCCTCAATGATCCGATCGAAATCCCTAATTTCGATCGGATCATTGGGGTTTATTAGTAATAAATCGGCATTTTGCGACCCCCACTGCCACTGTGTAGAATATTATTATGTGCCAGGGACTCTGAGATGATAGGACAATAATCCGAGTCCATAATTGCCAATAAGTAACAGCAAAGCAGTTATAAGTGACTCGCAGAATTGTGCGCAGTTGCGTATACAGTACACGACTTCCCTGAAGGCATTAACCTTCAGTGAGCGCGATGCCGATCATACACGGTTCGAATTCGACCCTCGATCGATGGCTGTGGCATCGCCGCACACGTGTCAAATAAGAAGCAAGAGACAAGTCCTTACTTACTAACTCCCATCATTTTTCATTGCTGGAGGGGTTGCCCCCCCTACCTGAAAATCCTGGCTCCGCCATTGCCCGCGGGAGTGACGTTTTTGTGAAAATCAAGCTGCCAGATGTCAAACCTTTAGGAGGCTGAGTAATACAGCCACTTGAATTCACATTGAAACATAGCACTGCATTGCAAAGAACAAACCAATCTTCCACTTGTTATAATACCAAGCTCAAATCCTCTCTCTTCTATTGTTTGGAGCTCTCACTCTCCCTCTGCTGTGCCCATCACTGCTGTTAATCTACAACTTCGATGTGTCCAGGGTCGCCCGCTCACCATACGGAGCAAAGTTGTGCAGTCCTTCGGAGTTGTCGGCCTCGGAGGTGAGCACGCGTGCCTTGAGACCACCATCGTGCGAGCGACCGGGGCCCAGGTCGAGGAAGCGCATGATAGTGGACACCATGCTCCGCGCTGTGTTGATTACGGCACGTGTGCTCGTCACCATGTTGTTGCAGATGAGCTGTACTCCACCTGCTCGCACAGTCGCCAATATCCAAGTGTTTCCAAACTCAAATGAACATCAGGGCGGCGCTCATGATCGCAAACGGCCATGAGCTCACAGTGGAAATTCCATACAAAGGACAAGTACTAATCTTACTGTTCCAGAATGTATTATGGGCCAAATTAACCCCAAAATTGGATTTTAACTAGGAAACCTAACTTTGCTCTCAACAAAGCCCCACCTGAATGTAAATGTTTGTGCTCCCAACACAAGAGAATGTTCAAAGGCACTTCATCAATTAATGTTCGTTCCAAGGGAGCCCCGGTGCCATATACAGTGAATTAATGCATGCACAACAAATCATCAGCTCATCGCAACAACAGTTATCCGTCACACTTTGCAAGTAATGAGACAAATCTTACCCATTAGATGAAAAGTTTTGAGGGCCTCTGCAGAATCCAGCACCCTCAAAATGAACCACAGGAGTGGCTCGGACATTTGACAAGTGGCAAGGGACCCCTGAAAAAAACACATTTTTTTTTTATTTCACACCTGCACTTGATGCAAATATCTCAATAAAAAATATTACAAAGTTTTGTCCAATATGAACATAGCTACGGCGCAACGTGCTGTTTAAAATCCGCCGAGGACGGGCTGGCGTTGGACTAACCTGGCGACCCATGTAGCCGCAGGCCATGTAGGTGAGGATGGGCTGGAGCATGAGCTGGGGAGATGTGGCACGCTGGCTCAGGGTGCTCAGGATGGAGAAGAGCCCGTCGCCCACGGAGATGGCATCCATGCCACTGTGCAGGCTCTCATGCTTGCTCAGGTGGAGTCCACTCGCGCCTGAATGACCGCGGTGGGCGGAGGGAGGCATGGACAGAGCGAGCTGAATCTCAACAATAACGGCATCGTGTGTGAAGATGAACACCAAGTGGGAATTAGCGTGGGGGTCTCCGCTGTTCTTGCCGTTTACTTTCTTGCACAATACAGACTTATCCTTCAATAGCAGCTCCGACGTTAGGGAATTTCCTTCCTATGTACGTACATATGTTGAATTTATTTAGCACCATACGTAGCCAACCGTGCTTTCTAGCTCTAGAAAGTCAATTGGTAACACAAGCTGTAAAAGTGAATACAAATTTGTTGTCTTTTAGAAGGCATTTTGCTCAGATTGACTGTTCAATTAATATCTTTAACAATTGAGATTTTTATGTAAATTAGTCTTATTTACAATCACTCAAACAGGATATTAATATACTCAATGGTAAATTAGCAAGCAGTGTACTGTAAAAACTGAAAACCTGGAGTGAAAAACATGCAATACAAATGCTGATTGAACTCATACCCGTAGTTCTGGTAATCAATCACTAATTATACTTATAATATTACCATTACAATATTAGTGTTCTATTATTCATAAAATAGTAAAAAAAAAATATTCATGAAAAAAAACATTTGCATAATTTCAGGTAATAATGTATTAAATTCCGTATTCGGTCCATTCTTTTAGTGCAAGGATATCCAAGGAGGCGCTATGTTTCACAATGTGACACTCATGGTTGAGTCGCCATGCTCAAACAAGCATGGAACTAAGTGCTCAAGACCAATGGGTGACCTCTGGACCAGCGGTAGAGATTCCTCATTGCAATAAATTCTCAACGTTGCAAACGCTCGCAGACAAACCATGGCGAGAAGTGGCGGGGGGAGTGCAGGGCCTCACCCATAATCATGGCCATGGTGTTGCTGTTGCACTGGCTGAGGGCTGAGAGGATCTGGCTCATGATCTGCTGGTTGGCGAGTACCAGGTCAGCCACGCAGGCCTGAGCGGGCCTCTCGGGCGTGAGGCCACCCTCGGCGTCCCTGCCCCCGCCCGATGATGCCTTCTCCTCGTCGGACACGCTGCCCGTGGAGCTCGAGCCAGTGGCAGTCGCACCGGTGGCCTCTGCGGCGAGAACGAGCAGTGAGCGAGTCCAACAACAACACACGCACACACGCAGACCACACGTCAAAACACCAGTTGTGCGATTTACGTTCTATGCAAGCACAGCCCCTCTGTCAATCCATTGCTGGATGAGGGTCCTCCCCACACCGTACAGTTATTTGACAATACTTCTCCACGCTGATCAGTGTGGGTTGGTGAAGGCTGGGTGCACGGACCTGACAGTAGAGAAACCTACAAGGACAGATTTTGCTGCACTGTCATTTGTTAGCCACTACGTAGCAGAACCCCATACCTGAGCCACCTTTGACAACCGAATGGCATTGGTGGTGACCGATCCAAACACTATCCAGGCTTAGCACTGCTAAGCTAACGAGATCCGATGAGATTGAGCACACTCAGGGTGATTTGGTCAAAGGGTTTGAATAATAAAATGCCAATAAGATGCAAATACACTATTTTTTATTGTCACCGAGAGTAAAAGAAGATCAATATTATAGCTAAATGGCCTTCAAGGAAGTAATCTACATCAATGGTGATTCACACAGCAGCAGGTTAATGCACCCCGATTAGCACGGTTGGCTCCGTACGGTGTGAATTAAGTTCAACATACACACAATGCAGCATCCCATACCTGGCTGAACACGGGTGGTGTGAGTACGGTCGCCGGACAGGGGCAGGCGCACCAGGAGGCTGAGCAGCTTGAGGAGGTTGAACATGAGACGGTCGCGTGTCACCTCGGCGCCGGAACACATGGGCACCTGGGTCTCGCCGGGCCGCGTGCTGTTGGAAAAGAGGCCCCCGAAGCAGGAGCGTGCCCCCACGGCCCCCTCCGAGCTGCTGCGCGACACCAGGCGGTCCGAGCAGGTGATGTACGTGTGCACGAGGGCAGCCACCGACTCCACGGTGCCCAAAGCGGCCTCCACGACCACGCTCTCGTAAGCCTGCTCCAGTGTGAACTCCAGCAGCTTCACCTGTGCATCCAGCGGACCCTCCCCCGTGTAGAATGGTCCTCTGCATGCAGACACACGGGCGCACATTGCTCGAGTCTTTTGCTTTATTATCCGCCCTTGACTCAATGCAACACACAAACATGGTTATACTAAATAAAAGTTTAAGGTTTCCCTGATGGACCGAGGAATCTGGCATCTTAGCCCTATGGCAGTAGTAGCTGCTTATTCCAATGCTAGGGTTGGTATTAAATAAGGGACACTTTTGGTTGTCCGCAAAGTGTTCCCATCTTTATTGATCCTTGATGGATGGACTTATTCAACCTCTGACCAGGTTTTGATCTCGAAACACTTAAGATTGTGGGTCAAGTGCACTTACCAAATTGCCAAGCAGCCAGACAAAAATAATTGACCAATTATTCATCACAGAAAGATTCGCTAGATGTCCACTCATAAACATCCAGCATTTTTATAGGAAGCCAATTCCTTAATGAGTATTCCCTTTTATCAGTCCACTACAGAGGCTCACTTTGAATAATCGACTAAGCCATGTTAACAATAAATGGATGCCTCACTTGAAAGCATGGCACATCAAAAGTCTCACAGCACAGGTGCAGCTTTCCTTACCTTTCTGCAGAGAGGGTCTGCACGAGCCTGAGCAGGAACTCGTTGAAGAGGCTGGGGCATGTGGGAGACAGATGGACCTGTAGGCGGCTCAGGAACTCCTGCAGAGCTTGAATCACTGTTGGCCCCACCTGATCAACAGTCAGACCATCACAAAGGCATGGAATCGCAACAACAATTGAACATGGAATAGCAACAATTGGACACTTCAGGCAATAGCTTTCTTATAGCGGGCTACTTTCTCAACATTAAAAATAAATACCACTGATTATAATTTCAAGCTCACAAAGATCACTGAAGTCCCATCACTTATAATAATTAAGTCATTTACTTATCCAAGAAAGCCTCACATGGAGTCTTATAACTCTTTTCCAGGTAGAACCACAGTACCCGAGCGGACAACACTCCAACTGTCTAGACAGATGGGTTCACAACCCAAATTTCTGTACTGTCATCACCTGGCCTTTTTGTATAACACTGAGTGTAGGAGTTTCACAAACCATCACGATCCACCAATCCTCGCCCTCAAAGTGCTAGATCACACGGGCATCCACCACCAGGCCTGCCCTTATTAACAAATGGGGCTCCATCTGCAGAGGCTGCACCTGGGTGCTGTAATGGTTGGTGCTGTGCAGATTCCGTCCCGAGAGGAACCGACCCAACGCCACCACCAGGTTGGTGTCCAGGACCATGGCTTGTGCAATGCTGTCCGTGGTAGCAGAGGACACGCCTGCCGAAGCTGGGAAATGTGAAAAAACAGCAGCGAAGGAATCTAGTTAAAACTTTGCCATATGGCAATATTGAACAAGGTTGGTAGCATCTGCAGAAGCGCATTCTGGTGACTGCAACAGCATGGAGGCTCCCACTGCAGGGGCGAGCTTACGTGTGGCCTGAATGTTAGTCATGAGAGCCAAGCTCTGCAGGGCCAGACACCAGGTGCGAAGGCTGGCATCCGGATACCACGCCAATGCTGCCAGCAGCGTGGAAATTGACACTGCCAACACAAACACAAAACCCAGCACCGCTTTGCGTCATTTACCGTTCCAATAAACTCAAGAACACAATGCACTGTGCTTAATTACCCTACTCTTCAATGTCACTAATAATTTAAGTCTCTTGCAACACTTAAAAACTTTCCAAGCATTTCAAACCATATTTATTATCATTGCATTAGAACACACAGATCAGGGTTCATTCAAGTGGCAGGGCCACAAGAACGGCAGCGAGATTGCACAGTGACCTTGGAGCACAATCTTCATCATGCCCTCATGCAACATTAATGCACAGCCATTTTATTTTTAGAAGCAAAGTTACAACGGTATTTAATCAAATGACAGAAAAACTACACGAGCCACTAAATAAATTGACATTGCAAATGAGAAATTAATAACAATTACAACAGCGCAATCAATTTAGCGGCTAAAGCCTCCGGTGATTGATGATAACGACCAACGTGAGCTGGACTGCTGCCGCGCGACTCCTAATAGCATGAATTGAGATGAATAGGATGGGCGTGATGAGTGGACGAACCCTGTGAGAGAGGAATCGCCGGGGCCTTGTTGGCACAGAAGGTGTACAACTCGGAGGTGTTGTCATCCAGGCTGGATGGAGACGAGCTCTGGCTCAGGGTCAGCCAGAGGTGGAGCAGCGAGTCCAGCTGTGAGAACCAAGGGGCACGCATTTGCTTTATGTCAATAACTAGCTTTATGTTAATAACTAGCTGTACAACCCGGCTTCGACCGAGACTTGGATTCTTCTCCCCCCCCCCCCCCCCCCCCCCCCAAAAAAAATATACAAAAGTCTATTTTTATTATTTTTGCATGGTGTACAGTCTGGGAAAGTACCCACATGGCAAATTTCAAGTTTGTTGCATGTCGGGAAGTACGCTAAACATTTTGAACAGACACACATTCACAAATTTCCCTTTTATAAAAAAGATTACATCTTGACTTAAAGCTTTCGTGACTGCAGGAATTTATATTCACGACGTTTCGATCGCAACACAAGCAATCGTCATCAGGTGAAAAAAGAGGGAGAAAGCTGCTGAGGCAGGCTGTTTATAAAGATTTAGAGATGGGCGGGCAGTTAATGTAGGAGAGGTCTGCGTAACCTGCAGTAGGTTTACACCAATCAAAGAGCTGTTAATACAGGTTTAGAAATGCTGGTAAATGCAAGCTCAGAGAGAGCTAGGAAAGAGCCATCGCCACATGGAGGTGGAAAAGGATGGCAAGCCGCCATTGACTAACACAGCTAACGGTGGCCGTGTTAGTGAATGTAACTCAAAACGAAGCTGTGGGGTGGCCATTGTATTGTGAGAGATTAGCATTCTAGATTTGAAGTGTTCGTGACTGCAAGGATCCATATTCTTTGGTTCTTTCGGTAAAGAACCAAAGAATAGAGATGAACATATAAATGTAAGAAATTTGCTTGTAAATGTAAGCTCGGAGAGAGCTTGGAAAGAGCCATTGCCACATAATTACGACAATGACACAGACTAACGATAAAGCTCCCCTTTCAAAAATGGACATCTATTCAGAGGATGACTTGCACAACAACCAAAATTTGATACCCACATATGAAGTAGAAAAAGTGCTCCCGCAACACGCTCATATGAGCATGTCATAAACTGCACACAAACGTTCTGAATGTTAACAACATCTCATGATGCTGGTGCCAAAAGCTCTTCACGCATGCCTGTCCACAAGGCAAATAATATAAGACCCAACAGTAAATAACGACAGCTCCAGTCATGTAGTTGTGAACCTCAAGGGATGATTTAGATGTATTGCCTTGAATCCTGTTTTGTCGCATAGGCAACAAAAGAGGGTCGTTAGTTTAGGTTTATCGTTATCGATAGCCGCATGCAAAAACGATTTCTTTAAATCAATTGTAGGTTTTCTGCAATGTAAAGTTAGACAATAAAATGAAAGTATGGCCCTGTGTATGTATGTCCTTGTGTCAGAAGTGACCAAACGGTGACTATTGGCTCTATGGCTGGTGCCTTATGATGGTTGCCGTTGACAAATCACATTCCAAAGTGCTGTATGGTTTAAACCAGGGGTGGGGAAAGTCCGGCCCGCGGGCCGTATAAGGCCCGCAAAATCATTTGGTCTGGCTCTGCCAAGGCAACCGCACGACTCGAAATTCAATAAATCTAGGCGCTTTTTTCATAGCAACATAAATGTAATTTTGTATGGCCCGCGAATGATGTTATAAATATCTAAATGGCCCTTGGCAGAAAAAAGGTTCCCCCACCCCTGTTTTAAACGGTCGCATGTACCAGTCAGTTCAATCATTCGGACAATTTATCTGGATTCGATGATAGTTTCCATTAATTTTGGGATCGACAATGCATTTAAAAAAAATTTTTTTTAATCACAATCAATTAACAACCCTTTGACCAAAGGCCACAATAAACGTCCTCCCCACCTGAACCTGGTGCAGTTGTAGCGAAGAGAAGAGTCGATTGAAGCAGGCGCTGAGCATCGGCGTTGAGGCAGCGGGGGTGGAGACTGCCTGGGCCTGGCTGTTGGATCCCCAGAGCAGCGTCTCCAGCACCATGCCCTGCCGCACCATGGCAGCTGCGTGCAGAAAGATACCAACAATATGCAGGCAGTGCCATCGGCAACGACGACGGCACCACACTGGCCAAGCCACTGCACATGCTCGCATGGTTTGTTCATTGGTGTTCATATTTTCAGTGCCCGTAGTGGACATTAGGCCTGCGATGACTCGCCATTCCCACAAGCAATGCACTGAATCGACACCATTTTGGGGTCACGATTCAATTCAGGAATATATGCCTTATAAAGGTTTGAAATGAGCGTAGCCCAAATGTCAGCAGCCAATGCCAATGCAAGTGGTGGGCCACGACCGCGGCGGTGGTATGCTTTCCACCAATCAAAGGGCTGCAGGCAAAATTTTTCATGAAGCAGCAGCCTCGAGGATGGTGCGCGAGATAGCTGTGTTAGTGAGAAATTGAATCTGTTAATGTAAAAAATCAGAGCCGAAAATAACAACTAACATCGGAAGGTGGTAAAGGCTGGGAACATCACAGCCAGTTATGACTTTAACTGGTTAATAACGTCCTTCCAATAATTACTCAGTTTGTTCCCATCTTCTCGGTTGAAATCGTGTTTGTGTCTATATATATGGATGGCTTCATGAACAAATCTTTGTTGATAGCCAGTGGGTTTGCAAAGTACCTTCGTCTTGGAGAAGTCAATTTCCTGTGAGCCCACTGCATTAAAACAATGATCAGCCACGGTCGAGGTATTGGTCCTACCGTGTTTCAGATCTGCCTTATGTTCACAAACACGGTCCAAGAAATGTCGGACAGTGTTTGTTATTTTCTTTTAACCTATCTACGTGACTTTACCGAAAGACCCAAGGAATATGAATTCCTGCAGTCACGAAAGCTTTAAGTCAAGATGTCACGTAGAATTTGCAAAAGTGGTCAAATGTCCACTCACAAATGCCCTTCTATGCATGTATCGTAAATGTAATATTTATTTTTAAATCGATGCATTGTCATATGTCTAGTTGGGATGCACAGTCTTGGGGAGTACTGTCATGTATCCATCCATGTGTCATCAGAAGCAAGAATTACCACTTGCAAACAGGTCACAGCACAATATGATAAATCTAGGATTGAAGCTTTCGTGACTGCAGGAATTACTATACTCATTGGTTCTGTATTTGCCTCCATGCAGTTTGCTGTTCTCTGTGTGCTTTGTGTGTGATGTCCCTCTGTGTGTTCCCTCGCTGTGTGGTTTACGCCATTTTCATCTGAGGACGAGCGCTTGTGATGCGTTCGAAACATCGTGATTTATTTTAATTTTATTTTATTTCCACATACGTGACTTTACCGAAAGAACCAATGAGTATAATATGATAAATATTTTATATCAATGCCCCATCACCTGACATTCCTGTCTGCACGCACACTGCTCCATTATGGACTCTTGTAACTCACCAATGCCTCTGTGGCACTATTAGCTGGCTGGAATATGGTGATAATTGCGCAACCTGTGCTCACCGGAGGGCGTGGCGGTTGTGAGGGCCTGCAGCACCGAGTCCGCCTCGAGGGTCGCCATCATCTTGAGCATCAGCTCTGCCTGCAGGTCCAGTCCGACCTCCAGTCGCGCGTCCACCGCTGGAGCAAAGAAATCACATGGATTAAAATCACAGCACGGCCGCCAGAAACTCATCATCGCATGCCATGAGCACCCCACCACTTCTCCGCGTCCTTCCCCTAACCTTTCGTAACCCCAAAGTAGCCTCCGTCGCAATCACCTATTTCTCAGCCCTTGCATCTAAATCATAATTTTATTATACCATTTTTTTCACTATGTTAAACACCTTATAGTGTTTGTGTATATATGTTGAACTTATTTTGCATCTTTAGTCAACCGTGCTGATAATCTTAAGCAAAGACGCTCTATAAATATAAAACAAGATACTTGTGATATATTTCACTTTTGTTGATGGTTTTGTCGCCAACGTCCTCGAAATGTTTTTATTTTAATAAAAGGTCACCTCGGACACATCACTCACCTTGCGAGACCAAGATGGAAAAAGTCTGAGTGCTGGCCTTGTCCACATTGTTATTATTGGTATTGTTGGCCGTCTTGGTGACGGGCACAGTGACTCCGCTGTGCGTCGGGTAAGCATAGGTCGTGTAGTCCGAGTAGACCCAGTGATCGTACCATGAGCCTCCTGGGGGCTGCAACACACAACGATGATGCCGACAACAACAACTCAAGTCAGCATCGCTGCATTGTTCCTGGTGCTCGGACGCAACGTGGCAGGTGATTTCTGATGAGTGCATGGCTTAATAAACGCCACCTTGAAAACTTTGGCAGCCAGAGGGTCGTCATCGTAGTAGACATCAAACGGGAAAACAGGGATTTCAGCGAAATCCTGAAGCATCTCCATGTCTTTGTCCTTCTCCATGGAAGCTGCCGTTACGGTAACTGCTGCACAAAAATAGCATCTCATCATAATGAAATACAACAAACGAAAAGTACATAAACCTCACCTTATATGTAGAAATGGAAATGCAGGGCCAGATTTACATTTTGACAAAATTACCCAAATATGTGGAGTTAATGGGCCAGTGCAGAAATTGACACCATCGAAGGGAGCACATCTTTTGTAGCACATAGTTATTTATATAATTAATTAGAGTTAATTGATAACCCACTCATAATTTTTATCACAAATGTCACCGTTATTGGCCTAATAAATTTAGGACCACTACACATGCCACATTAGGTGTTACTGAAAAGTAATAGATCTGGTCTGGGCTCATGGACTAATTGGCGATTTGCCTCACCAATGGTGGTAGAGAGAGAGAGACACTGGCATGCATTTTCCAACAACTCTAATTTTTTTAAATATTATTTCCTAACGTGTAAAATCGGGTCCACAGGGTTGTAATGCCACACTCAGTATCTGTTGACGACACCCAACAACATCAACATGAAAGGAAACCACTGCAGGAGGAGGAAAACATAATAGGAAGAGCGAGAAAAGAGCTGAAAGCAGAGCAGCCATTGAAAGCAGCAGGACAGATTACCCAAGATGTCAGGCGTCACTGGCTCACTCTCGCTGGGCTCTCCGATGGAATTGGAGGTGGACGGCTGGGGGCTGTCATCAGACATGTCGGGCATGGCACCGGCCGCCTCGTCTCCAAGCGTCACGCCATCGTCAGTGACCCCGTCTCCTACCGAGCCAGATGACTGCAGCTCCCCTAATACACAGAGACGCATCTCAGCATGACCACCACACCTTGAATGATCCGCCAAGCAAAAACCAACATTTCTGAAGTTGTTTTTAAATTGTTCAAAATAACCATACCTATGGTTCCATCTTGGTTAAATTTGTTTATTTACGGACTTGTGTTGTCTGCAATATGTTGTCTGTATATGCTTTCATTACAAGACAGTCAAGTAAACATTATTTGATCATCAGTATATCGCTGTCTAAATAAATAAAAACTAAGCAAATTATATGTAAATACACAACTTGCTGAAATACAAGGGTCTCCACTTTTTTATCCATCGGATTAACTTCAGCCAAATAATTTCCTCACTGTCTCATGATTGACATTAATGATCATAAGACATCACATATCACTTAAGTTTCAATTGTTGATGATAGATTTTGGAGGATCCAGGGAAACCTTGGCAGTATTTTGTTGGAGAAGATAATTAAAGAATATTTTATCGCTCAGAATTCTGACAAATGAGATTTTAAGTTATGAAATTAGCCGTAAAGTACACACTTGTATTATTCATAATCGGAATAATTTTTCCATCAATTATGGTTAACAATGCAAATTAGCTAAACACAAATTTAATTTCAGTACCTAATTGCATCATGTCCATAAAGACACTTCATTTTTGCACAAAAACTGGATATGCAATGAAAACTGGATTTAAGGGAAAATGTGTTACTTTAATTAAATCTGCAGCAAATTCAACAAATGCCTGAAAATTTTAAACATCAATGTCCAATTTAAATCTCCGTGAACAATCCTTTACTCCCAGCCACTCTGCCCATAATTCCATGTCCCGAATGTTGACGGGGCTACACTCTCAGACACAGCCCTGGAGAAGTAACAGGACAAACTAGAAGTCAAAAATATTGTTTCATCCCTTTCCCAAAAATGTATCCAAATTGAATCTTGACTTAACGCTTTCGTGACTGCAAGCATTCATATTATTGGGTCTTTCGGTAAAGTCACGTAGATAGGTTCAAAGAAAATAACAAAAATAACAAAAAACTACGACGTTTCGATTGCAACACAAGCGTTTTTCTTATTTTCTTTGAACCTATCTACTTGACTTCACCGAAAGACCCAAGAATATGTATCAAAATTGTGCTATTGGTGTCATGAGGTTAGATAATCCATTTAGATTTCAGAGATCAGTGCAACAATTCATCTTCTTGGTTCTTTCGGTAAAGTCACGTAGAAGGGAAGTAATAAAATAATAAAAATAAAACATAATATTATATTATTTTATTATATTATTTTATTATGTTTTATTTTTTTACTTCCCTTCTACGTGACTTTACCGAAATAACCAAGAAGATGAATTCCTGCAGTCACGAAAGCTTTAAATCGCAACAATTCATGTTAAAGAAAAGTCTGCAGAAGCGGACACCATTGAGCTAACTTCTGAGATTTCTTCAAGTTCCGTTGACCTCGGGACGACACATGAGGGGGGGGGGGGGGGGAGCCCTTTCATTTCTCTTCTCTCGTCTCTCCCCTTCCCCGAACTGCCTTCAGGGTGGCCTCTGCTTACCTGCGAGGATGTCCTGTAGCATGCAGGTGAGCGCATGCTGCGCCCAAGCTCCGCCCCACGCGATGGTGCCCTTGTTGAAGTCCGTCCCGACCATGAGGAGCAGCAGGCGCTCCAGCTGCCGCTCAGTCACGATCTCGCTCAGGTGGATGCTGGGCCGCGTGCAGTTGGACAGCCGTGCCAGCACCTGTGAAAGCAGAGTAAGACACGTGGCTTACTTTATGTTTCGTGTGAATGAGTGCCAACGAAGCAGCAAGTGGCAGATGCCGAGGTCAAACCGGGCTTTTTTGAAAAGGGTTTTCAGTGTTGAGAAAAACCTAAGTGAGGCTTTCCTGGATCTAAAATATATATACAGTTGCATCCGTTAAATTAACATAGTGGGCAATATTGCAATTGAATAACACAATCAGCAAAGATTCGTGGTAGGCATGCGACACCGTTTCATGCCTTCCTTGACGAGACCATAACATTGCAACAAAAGGCTTGCATATTGATACACTTATGTAGTCATCTTCAAAATGCCACCAATCGTGGCTTAGTGAGACACCTGGTGGTCACTCCGCTACCTTGCACACGAAGAGGAAGAGGTCGGCGTGGCACGTGAAGTCCATGGCTAGCAAGAACGAAAGCAGCTTCTGCACCACGGGGATGCACTGCTGGTGGGGCAGGGTGAACGGCAACGGCTCCACCTCGGGCCCATCCCAGCCGGTGCCTGCCGCTTGCTCGCCGGCCTCGCCACCCGGACGGGCCCAGCCCGACACACGACGCAGGCGAAGGAGGTCCTTGAAATGCTGCGTGAATACGGCCGACACGACCACGGTTTATAATCGTCCTCCAGCATGGCTGCTGCTGTTACTTAATACTGAATCCACCACCTGGCGGTAATAATTGGCGGTTGAAGCCGATTACGTAATATCTACATATATATGGCAAGCACCTTAGTGGGGGGCAGGGGGATCCAGTCTTTCCACAAAGTGGAGGTATTATGGATCGAGTTGACATCTGACTTGAATATGGAATTGCAACATTCCAGTGGCACGTTGAGTTCTATGCACAACATCACCTGGCCTTTAGTAACCTAATTACATTTAAATTAAATTTTACAGAGGATGAAAAAATAATAATATAGGTGTTAAAATGTTCAAACACCAAATAGACAACTATTGCAAGGCATCATCTTTATCCGCACCTTCCGATTAGCAGTTGGCTACATACGGTGCGAAAGTAGTTCAACATCCATCCAAAAAGGGTCCCATAAATCCATTTTACAGAATGACTCAAGCACACCATGTTAGACCAAGTCTTGTTCCAAAAAAATGCAGCGAGCACCCATTCCAAACCAAGGTGTTGGATCGTACCTTGGAGGTGGCCTGCTTGAGCTTGGCCTGCTCCATCAATAGTTTGTAGGAACCCCCCTTGTTGATCTGCGTTTTCTCCTTCTCAATCTGCTCCACCAGGGCTTTCTGCTTGGCCTTCAGGACACTCAGTTGCTGTTGTGAGTTATGCACAACACAAGAATACAAAACCCCCATCAAGATGATGCACACTGGTAATTTTCGTTTAAATGTAAAATGTGCTCAAGTGCTGCATACAGTACCTGCTTGTGGTGCATGAGTTGCTTGCGGATTTTGTTCAGGTAGAGCCTGCTGTGGCCCTTGCTGGACCGGCTTAAGCTCTGAGGCTGGAAACTGTTGTTGACAAAGCTCCACTGGTTTCCTGATCAACAACAACCATGACAGAGCGATCACTCGGCGAATGAACATCACAGGTTATCTTCCGCTCGCAGCCCGATTGTTAGCAGCGCTAGCAACTCTTTTTTAACGGAGGAACTCACCGGCCAGAAGCCTTTCGATCTCTTTGTCGACAGCAATTTTTTTGCCCCCAGCCCCGACCGCCAGGCCCTCATCCTCGGCGCTGGTTACACAGTCAAGCAGGCGAGACACCAGCATGAGCACCCAGCTCACAAGCGGGATATCCAGCACACCTGCATACAGACACACACACATACAACACGGGGGTGACACCGTTAGTTACAGCTCAGACTATTGCGCTAACGAGGGCAAGCATGCCACAAAGCAATGTGGGGATATTAAGCAGCACGTGTACCGCAAGGTTGAACATCTTCCCAGCCGGCAGACTGTGGCTGCAGTGGAGAGAGCAGGCGGTCCAAGAGAGCCAGCAGCGACTCAAGAACTCCACTGTTGCTCAGGGATCTCCGGCCCAGGCACGACAGCAGAATAAATACTCTACAAATGGGCAGATCCACAATGCAGTCATTTGTAAATATGCATGACAGTGAGTCAATCTGGTAAGATGATTCACAAGCGTTTATCAGTTTCATGTACAACCCTTTCTTAATCCACAGTTGGATGAGGGCATCTGCAAGCTGTGCAAGCTGTGGAGGTTAATAGTCTTTGACAATCCTTGACGATGTTGGTCAGTATAGGTTTGGAAAGGTGTGGATATGGGAGAGAAATAGTAGTACAGTACAACATATACATTTTCCTGCACTGGCCCTCTGCTGCCAACCACACAGCATAACATTTTATATAAGCAAGCCACCTTGGTGTGCAGTCACACGGGTATAGATAGACGCACCGGTCTTGCGGGAAGACAAGCAGCTGCTGCGAGTTGTAGAGCTCCTGCAGCACGTTGGCGAGAAAGCGGCCCCACCAGCGCTCACCCCCACACAGCTGCACCAGCAGCAGCCCCGCGTGCAGGCGGATGCGCGGCGTCCCACTCAGGCACAAGTGCTTGAAGAGCTCCTCGCAGGCCGTCGCCTGGAATGTCTGCTGCAGCACCGATGGCACGGGCTGACCTGTGATACGGAGTACACGCAACACGCTGCTTTCAGCACGATGTCCTTCGCGCACGCTGTGAGCTTGATCTGGAAAACGGAATAGAGTTTGCATTGCCATAAAACACCGCCATCATTTAACAATATCTTAGAACCCAAAAATATGCAGTATTTTTTTAAAAAATGGGCCATTCTTCAGACACAAACCTATAGCTCCAGGAGTTATAGCTCCAAATATGATTTGCTTGTGTAATGATGGACGGGTACCATTGGATGTGTGCAGCACGCTGAGGAGCGTGTCGAGCAGGTACTTGATAACGGTACGCAGCTGCTCGGTCGACGAGCCGAGGATCAGGTCCCTCTGGGAACGGTTGCTCTCCGGCAGGCCACCGCCCGCCGCGGCGTCCTCCTCTTTCCGGCTGGACCACGCCGTGGTGGGGCCACCGCCGCCTATGAATCCGCCCTCAGAGCGCGGCGCCCCCAGGGCCACACGTAGCCGGGCCACAGCGTGGTGAGCCAGGTTGAGCTGCAGCTGCAGCTGCGCACACGCCTGATAGGCGGCACACACGCGGGCGTCCTCCTCGGCCGCGCGCTCCGGCCGCCGCAGGGAGTGGTGGCCGTTGCCAGCGCTTGAGAGCGGGGGCAGGTCGACGGCATGCAGCAGGGTCTCCAGGCGGTGGCACGCCAGATTGTACCTGCATGGAGACTATACTTTAAAAACAACCACTGCTGGTATACAACCAACACGGAATGCTGCGCATTCAATTGCGAGGTTTAATAAGGCAACAGCAGAACAACCAACGAAATAAAATAAGAATAAAACCGTGCCGACTTGAAAAATGAAGAAAGCTTGCTTACAAAATTTCTAAAAACATAACCAAATGATCTTGATTTTAGGCTTTCGTGACTGCAGGAATCCATACTCTTTGGATATTTCGGTAAAGTCACGTAGGTAGAAAAAATAATAGATCATGACGTTTCGATCGCAACACAAGCAACCGTGATCAGGTGTGAAACAAACACAGCAGGAGGACTGCTGACATAGTGTCCTACCTACGTGACTTTACCAAAAGAACCAAAGAGTATAACCAATTGATCTTTAGAAATCTAAAATTTATATCACTGAACTATTTTCATTCATCAGCACCATTCCAGAAAGAAGAGTTTCTCTAGTGCGGGTCGCCAACGGGGCAGTGTGCGCACACACCTGCACTGGATGTCCTCCTGAAGAGTGACGAGCGTGCTGAGTTGTTGTTCCAGCTCCTCCTGGCTCTCAGCCTCCCGGCTCGTGCTATCCGGCTCTCCGACTATCGTCCGTCCCTCCTGTTCCCACGGAAGGATGTATGTGTGGCCGTAGTACAGCCCCAGCGGGATTTTTGCACGCGCGTTGGTGCTGCCGTACTTGCCAATGACCGTCACCTAATGGAGAAAGGAACCATTAAGCACACAATGGGGAAGGAGCATACAGGTGCATCGTACCCAATGCACCGGGTCACCAGTGTCAACGTGCATACAATAAGCCGCAAGGCACCTTGAGGAAGCGGCACACGGGTGCGGGCAGCAGGTCGTGCAGGATGAGCGAGTGGGTGCCGATGTCGGGCGTCACCACCAACCGCCGCCCGTCCACCTCCTCTCCGCGAGTCCACACGTCGATGGCGAGCGATGCCAGCTCCGAACATGCCGGCACGAGCAGGTCCGTCAACAGCACCGGCCGCCCAAAGTCCAGGGTCACAAAACGACGGGCACCTGCGTTCGCAAAATTGAGCAGAAATAAAAACGAACGTGCAAATGCTCGTCACGCACGAAGTCCAATAATATGAAGAACTACTCGCAGGACGGATGTACTCGGCGTAAGAGGAGGTGCATGTACAAAAGACGGTCAAGTACCCGAGTGCATTCGCTCAATGACCATTGACTGGTACGTTGGTGGCTGCAGCAGCTGGGACGCCTGCGTGAGAGCCTGAGCCAGACCCCCGCCCGCCAGAGAGGTTGGTCCAGACGAGCAGGGGGAAGCAGCAGATGACTTTCCCGCGGAGCTCTGCCCATAAAATGACGAGAAATTAATTCCGAACAACATGAAGCCACGATGTGCTTAAGACACAAAACTGCATTAAGGAAGTTAAATAGTGCTTTATATGTTCATGATGCTAGCATGTGGTTGCCTGTGCACCCACCGATTTGCTCTTGCTAGACTTGGAGGTGTGCAGAGCCACAGTGACTGGGTTGAGCTCCGAAAAGGCAGGCGGTGGGAAGAAGTGGGAGAGGTCCCCGTTGACGGTCGGCGCAGAGGTGACGGGCACGTGGACCGGCTCGTTGGGCGGTGTGAGCGGCGGGGTCATGAACAGGGGTGTCGTCTTGGGCGTGGGTGGGAAAAGCTCCGAGCTGTAGGGGTAGTAGCCAGGGTGGTGGGCCACAGCAGCAGCCGCCGACGACATGAGGGGGGCGGCCGAGGGCCCTGCCGTCACCGAGGCCCCCGCAGCAGAGGCCGCGGCCGCTGCCGCCGCCGTTGTCTGATGTAGCTTCGCCTCCAGCTTCACCTTCTGCTGCTGCAGCTTGAGCAGCTGGTGCTGCTTCTCTTGCAGGGCGTGCAGCTGATGCTCGGCCGTGGCCATAGCAGTGGACAGAGAATGCAGCGCGGCCTGGGCGGCAGTGCTCAGGGCCTGGCTTGTGTCCCCACCACTATTGGCCGCTGCTGCTCCACCTGGCCCCGCCATCATGCCAAACCCATTGCCTAAGATATTATTTGTAAACAAAATTACACAGAAATGTTAAAATTAGAAACTTGACTATGGCCAGCATTCCGATTTGCACAGTTGTCCACATACGGTGCAAAATAAGTTAAACATACATACGTTATTGGAATAAAAAAGGAGTTTCAACTACAAGCACGAGATTGTGCTAAAGCAATCGCCTATGGGGGTAAAAGTGACGTGAAATGGCGCACCCCTCTCGTCTTTCTCCACGCGGGTGCCGTCGCTGGTGGCCACGCACGTGAAGTGCAGTGGCTCCACCTCCAGCAGCCCCGTGAGTGCGGTGAAGCTGCTGTCGGCAGCTGCACCTCCAGCCACCTTGCCATTACCTGCACCACCACACACAAGGGGCATACACTAGTCAGAGAAGCTGATTTTAATACGCAAAGTTAAAGTGTCTACACACTCAAATGAGCATTGGGGAGAGCTGTTCTTGGCTTCATGAGACAGTCGTGGCAATTAAACATTCCTCAAACAGTGGCCAATATATTCCATTGGAAAAAGTTCATGAACACCACCCTCTTCACAACATTCTACATAGGCTTAAATGGAATGCTCCTGTCATGCAAAGCGAAATGTTATTTGCATATGCTTTGTAATTAACACGCATGCTTCCATGATGCAGCATCATGCAACTCACGATGAAGCTCCCCACCTGTCATGATCTCGGAGAGGTCGATCTCGTCGGACTGCACGTTGCTGGAGCTGCTCACCAGGTAGGCGTTTTTGTAAGAGGAGCCGCTCATCTCAAAGTCAAACAAGAGGGGGTCGAACGGGGAGCGGTACAGCCCATACCTGGGGTCACATGGAACACATGAGTTATTTGAAAAGCCTCTGGTTAAGATATTTACCGATGAGCAACGTTAAGATAGACATGCATAACTACAAATCAATTTAGGTTATTATTGGGTGAAGGCATGGTGCAGTTTTTAGCACAATGTTCTGTGAACCTGTCGACATGAGTTATGTTCTAAGCCATGGCTAATATCGGTGATGATCGCTATCTGAGCCAGTCCTCCCTTTCATGAACCTGCACTGACCAGCATGATGAAGTATGGCCATACAACCCCAAGGATCGACATAGCAGGAGGTCTTCAGCAATGGGTGAATTTCTCACGTTATATCCCTGTGTGTTCATTAAATAAACTAAAACGGATACAACCTGGAGAGACGATTTTGTATTTGCATGCTATATATGTTAAAACTTAAATTGCAATATACTAGAATTAAGCCGATTATATTATTCTGCTACTGCTCATAATTCTGCTACACCGGGGGTAGTGACGCGGCCGTGCGGTAGCACATTCGCCCCACTTGTTGCAGAGGCTCATGGTTTGAATCAAAAGGCTGCCCTAATTAATACTGCGGGTCTAATCTGTGCTGTCTGCTTCCCAGTGGATGCGAAAGATCCCTTGACATTATTCAAAAGAATAGTCCAAATATAACAAATTGTAAATTACCCGCAAATCAATCATTTTGGACGATATACAGCAATCATCACCCCCTACTGGAAGACGAATGCCCCAGTTCACTCTTGCCAATGGTCTCTCTTGCGTGCGCACCCGGTTAAACAAAATAAACTTTTAAACTTGAGCTCAAGAGCCAAGCCCGGGCTCGGTGTGCGCACGCATGTCTCACCGTGCCCGCAGCAGCGCCTCCAGTGGCGTGAGTCTGTCCGTGAGTTGACGCGACACAGCCATGAGCAAAGCGGCGCACGCTGTGCTGCACTCAGCCAGGTCCTCCTCCTTCACGTAATTCAGCAGCACGAAATACCAGTACAGAGCTCCTACACAAATTAAAGGAAAAGACAAGCGTTAACAGATTGTTGGGTCAGCTGCTCTTAGCAAGCACCTATGAATGGCAGCACTGCATACGAGGGGGTGGAGTGGCCCACACCACACCCCAAGTGACGATGTTTACACATTGCACCAGGTTCTCATTTGAAGCCGAGTCGATCAAAAGGGAGGCCCAGAAGAGGTTCAGATAATCGTCACTGGTGTTGGCTGCGAGCAGGAATCGAACTCGGGTAGCTGGGTTTGTAGCGTTTCACGCAAACTGCTACCCATACCACTCCCCATAAACACACACAGACATCTGGACAAAAAAAAAATCACCATTTATGTGGAATGTATTTTTGTATGCCCTGGCAGCACCTACACCCTTCGCTGGTATTTTCATGGGAGCTACACCAAGGTGTGCTAAAGAACATCCGTCTAAATTTGCCAAAATGGCTCACAAATTACTTCAAGATCAACCCCACTGTTCAAATTTGGCAGGACCCTCCTGAAAGTTCTGGACAGTTGCCTCACCTCTCCTCCCCTCATTAGGCAGCACCAACACATTTTCCTCCCTCCCTACCTTCCATTTTAGCAGCGTGGCAGTGATAGAATACATTTCCTCCACAAACTGTCGCGAATATTTTGATTGTTGAAAGGAATCATTACAAATGTGATAGCTCTAAAAGTATGATGACTTAATGGGCTGTGGACTCCTACAGCATACTAGCTCAAACTATTCATCTGCTGTCCAAAGTGGTGGGTGTTTCATATTGATCTGAGAGTCATGTGCATATTTCTATACATGTCATCCAACTTGTGATGACTGTGTGCGCTCCTAAAGCCAAAACAAAATAAATGTACGCTAGTAACAAAGCTTACATTTTTAGAGCAAGCTGATGGCATGTGCCTATTTAACACTTAATAGTTGGCATGCAATGCAAGCTGGATAACCCAAGTGGCCAAAAACGTTTGCCAGCCACATTTCGAAGTTAACTTGGTGCAAGTAATTTGAAGATGGATTAATCTCAGAAAAGCCCAAATAATAAGATAAAAAATAGAATTTTTGCTGGTGTCACCCGTTGTCAAAATGCACACCTACGCTGCTGGATTTAATTCGGTCACAGATCAATGCATGCAATTTAGCCAAACTCAGTCACTTCAGATAAACCTTCGGGGATTACAAGGCAGGCTCACCTGCAGTGGCAGCCGCAGGAATGTACGGGAGATTGTCCAGCAGGGCCAGGAGCAGAGCTCGGCTGAACTCTTTTCTGATTGCTTCCGTCCTTCCATTACTGTTGGAAAGTTCATAAATATATATTTAAAAACAACTCATCATTGGCCACTCAATCGACTGCAGGATGAAAGCTTCTCCCAAGCCGACACCGACCTCTCAGGATCCTGCAATGCAATAATCCAGCTCACAAAATATATATGCTAAGGAATAGTAAATATAGTAAAAACCATCGCTATGCACGAGTTCTGGTTTCACGAGTATCGCGAGTTACTAAATGTATACCAATTCCCTATTTGCGACTCGCCAAACTCCAATATTTGCAAGTGTACCTAGTGCCAGACCTCTAACACCGTGGAGGTGTGCGCAGAATTTTACATTTCAAACTGTCGGCGAAGATTCGGCACGCCACCTCGGCTGCCCGCTTAGTCCTCAGTCTCGCCGTAATCTCGCGGAGCTCGTGATTGTGCATGTTTACTTTATACGTACTTACAAGTCGACTCGATTATACATTTTGGTATAAACAAGTCGACTGAGGTCCATTAAAACGAATACGAATGCAATCGGGGAAAATGTTGCGACTCGTGCTCCCCCAGAGTGCAAAAATGATAACAGCTGTGCGGCATTGTTATGAAACACCTGTATCTCCCGAGGAGTCATCCTCCTGAATGCCTCACCATCACCACTACCTCCATCGTCATCAAATCATCATCAAAGGTAATGAAAAAACACGTTGTTCTTTGTAATTTGTTATTTATTGTAGTCATTGTTAGTAAACATTAACCACTCCCCTCATGTTCACTCGTACCAGGAACGTAACCCCATTTTTTACATTGGAACAAGGTTTATGCATTCGCGAATTCAGCATTCACAAACATTTGCAAGAACGTAACCCTCGTGGATAGATAGGGTTTAGTGTAATGTTTACTACGTTAAGGAAGTTAATTCACACTCAAAATAATCACATTTCTTACACCACGTAAACATACGACTGCTGCGTGAAAAAAATTGTACAGCGTTACCTGATGCAGAGCGTGAGAAACTTGGCGCACTTGTGAGCGATACTGCGACCAGCCTCCAGGAAGCAGCACCGCACCAGATCCACCAGATGGCACTGCGTTTTAATCGACAGGCTGTCCACACCATCCTTGGAGCTGGGCGGGCAGGGCATGGGACATAATTGGATTAAACTACCCGCCTCCGCAAAAACCCGTTCAAAGCTTGACCTCCAACTGCCGCTACGTGCAGATGCCTGGCCAATTTTCTACATACAAGGACAGCCAATTTGTTAATCCACTGCTGGAAAGGTGGTGGGTGTTATTGGAGCATATAACACCATGCTGGTTTGAGCATAGTAGAAAAACAAATATTTGTATACACTTTCCTCTGTTGGCAACGAAGACCCGCAGCAGCCTTTAACTTTTGCTTTATGCATGTCGGTCAGCTATGAAAGCACGATCAGGCATCCTTCCAGGAGATTTTGTCAGAGGCATAATTCAACACTTGGCTCTATTTTTCATGGGCTGTGCGCTAAGAGTAGCGCTGCGAGTGTACCTGCACTGCTGCGCATGAGCATGCACGCCTGCCAGCCAGCACAACACGTCGAGGGCCAGGCTCCGGGCCTGCTCCGTGGGGGGTGGCCCCTCGTCCGTCCGGAGGCACAGCAGGAGCAGCAGCCGCTCGGGGAAGTCCGCCAGCTCCAGCATCGCCAGCCGCTGAACCCTGCGGTGTAAAACAAATATCGACAGCACAGACGACATTTAACACCTATGTAACACCACATCCACACCACATGCTACTGCAGCACTTTTTATTTCAAAAAATGGGTTCTAAAAGAGATTTTCTGGGCTTGTTTTAATGAGACATTTTTGCAAACATCAACTTTGGAATTAAAACCATCAACAAAACGTCCATTTGCTCACTATTTTGCAAAACAAAATCACCTATGCCAAAGTCTATAATATAACCTAAGGATTTATCCATGTGTTTAGGACTGTATGTTTCATGAAAATATATCTCACCTTTCTTTTGGAATGGAAGTCTTTTTAAATTTGCGTATGGTGATGGACACCTCCTGCAGCACATCACAGCCCTGCAACTTCTTAGACTTCTTGGATGAGTTGCCATTCTCTCCAAACTTGGGTGTGGCTCCTTTATCCTAGCAAACCATTGACAATGTTGATTAAAAATACAATAACCATCTCACAAACCATAAGAAATGCTCCTTACAAAGCGATCAACATGTGATCATGCAACTTAAAATATCGATTTTTTTAATAGCAAACAGGATGATCCATATTTAGTTTTTGGGTTAGGCCACACAGTCATTTAATTCCAAAATTATTGTCAATAAACAGAGTAAGCTGACGCAGTCCACTCCATTTTTGAGTACACTACTTGAAGAAGCTCAACGCAGTTTAAGTGAACGTAAAATATCAGGAAAAGTCTCACACCACCGGTGACCAATGTCCAAATAATATTTTTGTAAAAGTGACAATCTTGTTTGGCGGTAAAGAGTAGAGAAGAATTTTGGCATAAAATGACGGCTTAACCTAAAAAAAACATGGATTGTATGAACATTGCATCTCAAGGTGAGCATCACAAAGTGGCTACTTAAAAGCGAGGGCTTACTTTGGTGGCTGTAGCTTTGAGGAGGAACGTGGCCAAAGAGTGGCCCTGGTTGGTGGTCGGTTTGAGTGTTGGGGCTCGGTAAATCGAGCGACCATTGTTCCCTGCGTAACTCCCATCCTCATTTGCCCGATCACCATTGACCGCCTTGATGTGAATGAGAAACGATCTGTACTTTCCCCCGGCCATGCCTGTTACAACAGCAGAATAAATAGAAGGCAACACTATCAGCTGGATATAAATACATGAAAGGTGTTACTCCACCCCAAAATATTTAAAATACAAAAAACAATGAATGTAGGTTATAATACTGTGCAAAACAAGGCATTTAAATCGTGATAGGTCTCCAGAAGTGTGGTGAACATACCCTTGATGAGTGCGGGGCTGGTAAGGGTGAGCACGCCGGCATGGCCGGACAAGTCCAAGCCATTGCCCAGCCACTCAGGCCCACACAGGATGTCCTCTTTGTGGTCATCCAGGAAGGGGCACAACTTTGTGCCGGATTCTGTGTGCAACCAGAAACATTGAGGGGGACGGGGAAGGTGACCAGGGCAGAATTATAGTTAACACTACGGATGTGCATGTAAAACATACCTGGTTATCTTGATTCTGGTTCGTCGCAAAAAATGGGTTACAATTCGATTTCAAATTGTGTGAAAAACAGGCAATTGTAAGTGACCTCTCACCTGTGCCCTCATCGATATCCATGGCCTCGCAACCCTCCCTTCCATCTAACAGTGAAGAGCCCTGGCCCGCTGAGTTCATGCACCATGGGGTAGTCAAAGGAAATGCGACTTTCGAGTCAACGGCACAATCTGAGATACAAACACCACAAGCAACACGAATGACAATTTACAAGTACCTGGCCACATGACGACAAAACATCATCATGTGGCTTAGAATTTTAAACATTATGCTGACAATTTAGTAATTCGCCAAGGATAAACAAGGCTCATTAGTGTTTAAGTGACATGGCTTTGGCAGGTGTGGGTGTGCTGCCCATGTGGGTTTTACCATTGATCTTGCCGAGGCCAGGAGAGCGATTCCGCAGCAGTGTAACTTGGATCTGAGGAATGCTGGCCACGTCTGTGTTCAGTATGAACTTCAGGTCCACGTGACCAACCATGCACACTTTGGGCAGCACAATCTCAAATATCTGCTCATCCCAGCTTTTACTGAAAAAAGAATTGGACAAACAAAAGTCAACCACTGAAATATATGAAGAATATAAAATCGTAACTCATACATGAAGAACAGTCACTTTGGTCTCAATAGCCTCCTCGCGGGTTATAAAGGATGAAAATAGAATTAACAAATCACCGGCTCACACAAAGATAAGGGTTGTAAGAGCAAAGGTGGCAATGCAGATTGCATTATTAAAGAGCACAGTGAATTTAATGCCCTGCACTTGGCAAAGCAACAAACTAATGCCCACGACCAAATACAGAATGATGCATTTCCTAAGTTCTGTTCACAAGGGCATAGAGAACAAGCCGATAATTGAAGTTAAACTTCATTTGTTTAACCAGGTGAGAACTCAAAAAGAGCTGGATAGTTTTATTTGCAAGAGTAACCTGTCCCACCAAAACTAACAAATGAAAAACAAATAAAATAACAATGAAGCAAGTAGAAATCAATTGCCAAGGTGGCATCTCAGGGCTCACTTGTCCGGCTGCAACTTCCAGGTGCGCGTATGCTGTGCTGCATCCCCGTGCTGCTGCCCGTGCAGATGCTGCGGGTGGCGTCTCTGCTGCTGCTCCTGCTGCAGCTCGGCCCAGCAGGGAGGCACCGTGGCCGAGAAGCGCGGCGTCAGAGTCTCGAACTGCGTGAGCTCCACCAGCGCCGTCAGGGCGGACGTAGTGAGCACAGGCTGCGCCGCCAGGAGCTCCACCCCTGCACACACCACACCAGGCACGTGGCAAGGCAAATCGTAAATGCTCATGCCGTGACCCAGCATTGGCCACGATATAGTAGCGTTTTTGTTACTATGTAATTACTCCTGCTCGTTGTACACGATCGGTGAGTGAGAGAGAAAAATAACACAAGACTAAAGCTTTTATGCAAGTAGGAAACGGTCTTGTTTGACATCTTTATAGGGGGACAAAATATATTAATTAAACCCTAATAATTAATACATCTATCCTATGGCCAGAGTTGTTTGTACTTCAGGAAACTAAAATAGTTTATATCGCATGAGTGAAGTAAATACTTATTAGGTTCCACCTTCCAGTGTATCTGCAAGAGATGCAATACCCAGGTCTGTCCACACCTTGTTGTAACTAGAATGTTGACATGTTCCAGTCACTCTTTTGCTTTTACACCTTGGTCAATGCTCATTGGCTCTTTTTGGTTAACAGAAGTCCTCACTCGACCCTGTCCATTTGAAATTACTCCAATACTTGCTGTGCCTTATCAACACATGCAGTTTGCCATATTTACATCTATAGACGTTGATTATAAAAATAAAATCGATAGTCACGTAAACAATCATTAACATTGCTTTATAACAGAAAAAAGTATGGGCTTTTGAACGATATGGGGACATGATTACTCTGAAGGCTGTTGCTCAAAATGTTCCCCCCCTAATTTTTTTTTACAAGGCAGTCATAATGATGAACATGGCATGTTTTATTTTCACAAATTTAACTAATTTGATAGAGCACTGTATCACAATTAAGGACGTCATTATTGGCAATATACTGCTTATGAATCGTTCAATATTGGAATCTACATACTAATCATTGCCCCCAACTGCAAAAAACATGACATGGGCCCTGAAATAACCACGAGACTTAGTGTGGTTTTCCTGGGTAAACAATCATAGAAATAATAATACAAATATTGCTAGTATGTATCTGCACTTTCCTGCATGCAGGCTGTAATGCTGGTACCTGCACGTACCGCTGCTTTGAAATATGACGGTACTGACCGGCCATGGCAGGGCTGGCAGGGCTTGCAGAGTGCTTGCTTGCTTCCTGGACCTTCTCCTCGGCCTTCGTGCATGAGCTCTCCTGAAACATGGTCACCGAATCCACTTCCTCGTTCGGCTCCCCCACCTGCAGAAAGTGGATCTCGCCACCTATGAAATTTTACAAGAGTCAGCCACAGCACACAACCAAGCATTGGAAACTCAATCGCAGCACCATGTGTGTACAATTCACCATGAAGAACACAGCACCATAAAGACGTGAGCACGTGTGTTGCAGTGACGAAACAACAGGCAGCAAAGCATGTACCTCGTGTGCAGGAACACAGTCTGTCGGAGCCTGAGCAGTACACCACAGACACAAAAGGGTCGACTGTGCCATTGTTGTCCTTTTTCGGTGGGACAACTGAAGCCACCGTCTCAAACGTAGACAGCTCCATGATCTTCACATAACCTTCTCGCGTCGTCACCACAAAGTGGCCTAGGTGAGCACCAAGCATCCTTTTTTCATCTGGCACGCCGGGCTTGGAAGGCTGAGTCTGGCCCAAATGCACCTTCTCGGACTGCTCCTCCAGGTCTTCGTCTCGCCCATTGAAGGCGTCGGGAGAGAGGAGGATGAGCGATGTGATGGCGTTGCTGGGGTCGGCGATGCGGTGTATTCTGACAGGCTCCTCGTGCAGGGTCACGGTGCGGGTGTTGAAGTTGAGCTTGTACAGCAGGCAGTAGCCACCGCTCGTAGCCCTGGTCTCAGCGTCCTCGGCGTCGCTTTCGTGCCGGTTGAGCGGCGGCTTAAGCGAGCTACTGTTCATGCCCTGCCCCTCGGCCTCACACAGTGCAGAGTTGAGCCTGTTCATGGCCTCCACGCCACTTGCCGTGGTGGCATCCGAGGCACGGGGCTCTAGAATGACGAGGATGTGCATCCCGTCCGAGCACGGCGTGATGGAATGCACGGACATCCGTTCCTCCTCAGAAAAGCGGGGAAGAGGGAGGCACTGCACCAGTGCCCCAGGCCTTGGAACCACAGTCGCGGACGACTTCCGGTCCACATTTGTTAGGCCCTGGGTGGCCTGCGCCAGCTGCTGCACGTAGCTCACGCCGATGGGCTCCTGCAATAAGCAAAAAAAGAAAAAAAAAATACTCTCAGCATGGAACGCCATCTCATTGTGCCTTGTTGCAATAGTTTTACTTGCGCTTTGTTTTCCTGTTGGTATATTTATTGCTCTATGTTTATGATTCTCTTATCCTGGGCATGCCGAACCTGTTGGTATATTTATTGATCTATGTTTATGATTCTCTTATCCTGGGCATGCCGACTTTAGAACAAGGGGATTTGTCAACGACCGGGGAGAGTAACAAAAAATACAAGAGCCGTAAGCCGACTCAATCTGAGCAGCGTTTCCCGAATGCACAACCTACCTGCAGGAAGAACTGGTGCTGATCGAGCTCCAGCTCCAGGATTTGCGGTACTGGGAAGGTACCACCCACCCCAATGTCCTCCTCTGGCAGGCTCTTCCCACTCACCAGGGCATCCAGCTGTGAGAAGCTCTTCCCTTCCTTCTCCTCTGAGCCCTTGATGGCGTACGTAAGCAGCATGGGCACCATGCGTGGCCCCGTCTGAGAGGAGCCTTGGCTCAGGTTCAGCGAAGACTCCACCTCCATAGCCATTACCCGTTCGGTCTGAGAGGGCTCGGCATTCTGCAGCTGACTGCACTCGCTGGAGCCCACTGGAGCTGCTTTAGAGATAACGAGCACGCCGGCCAGCAAGCAGGGAACCGAGAGGAGGCTCATCTGTTCCTTGTTCCCGCCGCCCTTGGAGCTGGCTTGCTTCCCCCCGCCACCACACAGCACCGGGGACATGTTCTCTTGCAGCTCCTCCAAGTCCTTCACCGCCCCGTCGATGACACTGGCGACCATTTCCCACTGCTGCGTCTCGGGCTGCTGCAGCAGGGTCAGCGCCGTGACCTCGAGGGACGTGACTGCTGCGGAATCCTCCTTGACACTCGACGCACCTGTCCGGACAGCCAGGGCACGTGGAAAACAAGCGTTTGACTGTTTACTTGAATGCAAATTTTGTGAACTGCTCGTTTTAGAAAAAGGACATTTAACAGATAAAGCTAATTGTTCATTTATTCTTAAACAATAAATTCCAGTGCACAAATGCTTGCTCACCCATTATTAATTCAGCAAGTGAAGGAAGAGGTTCGGAGTCAGAATCTTCAAGCTGGTCATCACTGTAGACAAAAGATTGAACATGAAAGAACAGATTTTATTTTTTAGAGCTGCAAACTGTCACCTATTTCACTAAATCGGTTAATAAACATAATAGTTTTAAGTTTCAATTATGATGAATGATAAAATTAAGATACAATTTGCATATCATGTGCATACATTATTTCAACAGTGAAAATATGTTCAAGCAAAGAATTGTTCTAGAAATGAATTTCTAATTGCAAATGTTTAGTACAATCACTGTTCAATAATTATGTGAAGCAACCACCACTTTCTTGTTTATACATAACTATCCAGTGTCCCCCCCAGACTGTCCAACAGGAGTTAACGCTAAACTTAAAAATCAGGATCAAACACGAGCACATCACGCAAGTGACATCACTACATTGACATAATATAAAATGATGGGTTGGACTATGTATTTAAAGGTATGAAAGCCTCAAGCGCATTCCAGACAGCCTGGAACAACACAGCCTAGGTAGATACTTGTTGGTTGTGCGTTCCTTTTTGTGCTTGCTGACATGCATACTTTAAAACCCTCCTGAAGTTTATTTGACCACACTTCACACCAGGCTGGACCATTGCAATTGTCAAGGTTCATGCGATTGCAAAAATCGGAGCTATATGGCAAGGGAAGGCTGCCGGCAGGGTCACCTGTCGCTCTCAAGGCGAGGCACATCCGAGCTGCTCGAGGTGTCGTCGGTCCACGTGAGGCAGGGCTTTGTGGAATCCTCGTCGGCGGAAATGCGCTCCGTGCGCGCCAATCTCCGCATAATCATGGGGTCGCGGGGGTTCATGCAGAACCGTGCTTGCACCTGCGAGCCACGATTCGTTACATGAACAAGAAAAATGTCGCATTCAAGGCCACACGAACAGAATGTCTCGGGTGTCACACACTGAACAACTTTCTTAAGGCATACTATCACTAGCAGTGATGCAGCTCAGTGGAACCGGTCCTGAGTAGACATAAGACCACCCCCCGTACCTTCATCTGCTTGTGGACGTCCCAAATGCAGACGCGGCCATGACGGGTGCTGGTGGCGAGCGTGGCGGGGCAGCTGCCAACACCCAGCCAGGCCACGCGTTCCGAACCATCTCCCTGGGGCACCTGAGATGGCGCTGTTGCCAGCGTCACTGCAATCGGCACGTTCTGCGTATGCTCGCCCTTGACGTACGGGCAGTTCGGCGAGTGTCGCTCATGCTCAGACCTGAAGCCCAATGCACACAGCAGAGATGCAAAGACAGGGGGGCAAAGAGCTGACAAACGTAACCAGAGTAACCACGCTGGGTTTAACTAGACTGCCTCATGCAGCGGTACCTCTGAACGAAGCCCGCACCCCCCTCCCATGCCGTGTGGGATGTCGTGGTGGCTATTCGCCTATATTTCAGCCTGCTTGGAAGTGTGGATTGGTGAAGGCGGGGGGGATTGAATCACCATAATACAATTATTTCTGATGCAGTGCCCTCTGCTGATTACCATGCAGTACAGGTTCCAAGCCGCCCATGACAACTGTGCACAGTGGTTACCCATGCAACCAGTAACCAGGCCCATCACCTGCTCAGATTCCAAATTTTGATATCAAGTGCAGTGCAGTTGAATTGGTTGTAGGAAAATCAGTATAAGCAGTACAACAACCTGTTAAGATAATAACAAGCACTGTAGCACCAAAACATTTTATTGACATGAAGTCTATTTTAAAAGTATATAATGCAGTAAAATCATTTTCATTTGCGCCGGTGTATGTATTGTGCATATATCTGTGCGTTGGAGCATATATTCACGCACACAAACAACCAGCAAACATTGGAATTTGACTTCTATAGTATCAATAATATACACAAGGATGCCATATTTACCACGACACATTGAGTAACATGTGTACGTCTATAGTCAGTCCATCCAGAAAAACGCGATTATGCGATCGCAAGATTCCACGCAAAATCAGCCAAAGTCCGCATATTTATGCGGGGGGGGCGTTTTTTCAAATACGCCGCACTTTCGCCGCATAAATTGCAGATTTCCGCGCGCAAAATATGCGGGCTTGCATGATTTCATAATCCCCGCATTTTCGTTGCAAAAAGTCACATATCTTAGCAGAAAGTTGAAAAATGTTGCGTTTACTTCACACAAGCGCAGCCATTTCCCCTGTTGCCATGGGAACGTTATGAAGTGTTAGAGGCTACGTAGTTAGTTTTATTCAGGAGTTTATGCAACTTTACAGTTGTAAGATTGCACTTTTTTGTTAGTAGTATGTAAATTTACATTACTGTAAGACTGTACTGTTACTGTATTGCTTACGTTACTGTGCACTGAAAACACTTATTTTAACAGAAGATGTCTGTTTTGTATAGCTACCTCTGTAAAACAGGAAGCACACATTTTATTTTTTAAGATTTTATTTATTCATTTTTACAGAAGTTGTAGCATATTCATTTTGTAAAGCTACAGAACTAGTTCGACTCAATGTTTTGTAAGTTTGAGCCATCTGTTTGTTAAGGTCTGAAATAAAACAAGATGAGAACTTAAATATTCCCAGCACTTTCTGTGATGTAGTATGCTTGCTTATCATAGCAAGTAATAAGAAATGACTCTTTACATTAAAGTAGTAGCCTAGTGAATAGGGTGTTGGGGGAATCACTTTTTTTTCTCTTTTTCATCAAACCGCAGTTTTTGCAAGTTCCCGCAATTTTTGCAAGTTCCCGCAATTTAATCGCATAAAATTGCATAAATATCCCGCATATTCCATCGCATTTTTTAAGAAAACGTGCCGCATAATCAACGATTTTTGCCCGCAACAATCACCAAAAAACTCCGCGTTTTTCTGGAGGGACTGTATAGTAGGAGAGGCAGTGCTGCCACACAAAGCAGGGCACAACATGTGAACCCTGTGCTCACCAGGGCTCATCTGTGGGCTCCCAAGAGACGAGGCACACACTGCATGTGAAGCACATGGCTCTGTCATCTCCATTGGAGGTCGGCTGTATGGGCAAAACGAGCATATTTTAACATTATGAGTGGGAGCATTCGTGAGCAGTAGACTTTAAGCACAAATGTAATTGTCACACCCATTAAATCCGAGAGCATTTCATATATAAATAAAGTAATCTTAAGCCCCTATGCCTTGAGCAATTGTCTTTTTACATGGATGGTTAACTTTTCATCGACATGGAAACTAAAAGCTTCTAGCTAATATCAGACCATGAGAGCTGCCATGAGCAAATGGCATTTTCGTGAGGACACGCCTATACATTGGTAAAATGTGACACGTAAGGGGTGGATAACCATTACGCCCAAACAAACGTGTTCCTTAAGCCTCATCACAAACCATGCTTGTACACATTCCTTTAGCCGTTCAACGAAGATGTCAAGTACAGTAATCATAAAATATTTGAATTCATAAATGTGGGTTCGCCTTCACAGGGGATTTCCTCATGCAAGGCTTGGGCTGCTCACTTGGCAACCTGTTTACCTGTTTGAAGCAGTGCATCTGGTGCGATCTGGTTTCAGTGCCAATGAGATGTACAGTGCCACATAATTTGCGCCCGTCTATTTACACCGTTATATATCGACATGTTTATGATGAAAAAGTGTCAAAGACAAGGTCAAAAATTTAGGCAATTGAGAACAAAACCTAAAACTGGTAAACAAATAAAGCGTACATTCACACGGCTTACAAGTGCGATAAAAATGTAACACGTGGGGAAAATGCAAAGATTTATTCCCGAATGACAAATGCAAAGGTGGCAGTTGCCCAACACTCTGGCTAGAACAAGCATAATAATAAAGCAAACAGGTTTTTGTGGACCATGCTTTGGGTGCGGGCGCGCCAAGGTAGCGAGAGCGTTCGTACAACCTGGTGGTAGAAGCCGGCTTGAGCCATGGGGTCGGGCTGTGCCCATCTGTAGTGGGCGTGAGGCCACGACGTGAACGTCTCCCGCCGGTTCGCCTCGCTGTACATCAGGGACCTAACACAACCAAAAACTACATTTTATTAAGCGATCCGCAATTAAACCCCCATCACCAAGCTAGACAAACGGACATTACAGAGAATCCAAAAGACAATAACTATTAGATAATACGTCAATCATTCAAATCAGCCTTTCTTGTAATGCAGCCAAAGGCAGATAATGTATTTTTTTCCATTAGAAGCACTACACTAAAATAAATGAAACCCGATATCAGAAAAAGCAACCGGAGCGTTAAAAAGGCTCAACCACTTAAATGTGACGCAGTACGTGTGGGGGCTCAGCCTGCACCAGCGACTTGCCTGTCTACGGGCCGCCCTGGCCCCCCTCCCAGCTCGGCCTGAGCGCTGGGCAGAAGGTAGGCGAGGCGGTCCATGAGGGCGGCTGCCACGGGCAGCGCCGCCAAGTTGAGGCCGACACGCTTGAGCTCGTTCACCACCCCAGCCGCTGCAGAGCGCAGCACGTGGTGCGGCAGGCACAGCTTCACCGTCGCCCACTGTCAGTGGGAGGTTAAACCAAACTCATTAGTGGTCGCAGGACCTTCTCCATCTCCAGCACAAGCACATGGCTTCGGTCTTGAGATAGCAGTGATGCAACGTGTCCAACGTCCCACATTTTTGGAAGAATGCCCACCTGCTCAAATAAAAGTACATTTGTACTTACGGTCTAATTATAGATGGAATATTCATGTATAAATCTCCAAATTGAACAAAATATTAAACGCAGTTCACTTACCTTCGCCACCTTGTGGCTGAGAGCTGGCTCCTGTGTTGAGCTCCTGACACCATCCCTTAGCTGAGAGATGAACTGGTCATAACCCTCCGTGCCAGAAACATCAATCTTCCTCTGGCAAACTGAGAGCAGCTGCTGGGCCTGAAACATTAAAAAATAGTACCCACAAACTATAAATTTGTATTATTTTCACCACTTGTATACTGCAGTACAATATGGATTGATAAAGCATTATTGCAACCACATCTCAAGATGCTGTATAGAGTGGGACATATTTATCTATATATACAAAAGGGAAATTTGTGAATGTGTGTCTGTTCGAAATGTTTAGCATACTTCCCGACATGCAACAAACTTGAAATTTGGCATGTGGGTAGCTTCCAGACTGTACACAATGGAAAATAGACTTTGTATTTGGCGGGGGGGGCGCAATAATGCATATATTTTGCACAGCAAGTGAGCGGTGACGTCACATCTGTGATGTCACCCGCATGCGGAAGCGTTACGCAGTGTGCCTGCTGACGTCACGCATCCCCCCACCCCAACCCTCCGCGTAGGCCAAGACAAGAATCCAAGTCTCGGGCAAAGCAGGGTAGTAAAGCTAGTTATATATAAGTATAACCCGTAAAAACAAAGTTTTTCACTATAAATCCTTTATATGCGTGGCGGCTAGAGTCCTCTCGTCCTCTGGCTTGAGATGGCTGCCACCTATGAGTCAGATGATTGTCTGCCAGTATTAAGCAATTGGTAATTAAATATTTAATTTGTTTTCCCTAAACAGTCTAAAATTTTGGAAAAAAAATTTCACGAACATTAATTGTCTCGCACAACGAGTCTGTGTGCAAAATGTCAGCTCGATTGGATCACGGGAAGTGGGTTAAAAAACGACCGAAAGATTTGCACGGTCGTAAGCAAGCAAGCACGCAAGCAAGCAAGCGAACTTAATATAAAGGATTTAAAAAAAAGAGAGGCAGTGCGTTATGGGTGGAGTCCAAAATGCATTGAATTCAAATACATTCCAATAAACAATAATGTCCAAACGATGGTCTATCATGACAGTTAAGTGACAGTGGAAGACAGGGGCTCGGCGGCAGCAGTACACGTGCGAGACGGGCGAGCCGATGGAGGGGAGTGTCTGCAGGTAACACTTGCCTCTGAGACGGGCAGCTCCAAGTGCACCGGGTCGTCAGGCTTGGTGACGGCGGCCTGCAACGCTGTGTCCAGCAGCAGGATGCCATTAAGATCCTTCCGGCAGCCGACAGCAAACCCATCCGTGAAAACCACCTTATCTACCCCCGACAGGTAATGGCACTCGATCTGACCACCTGCCTTGGCTGGAAGGTACGAAGGAAAGGAAAACAATGATGGCATTTTAATCATGTTCCTTACGGAGATATATTATTCTGTTAGCAGCCGCACAAAATACAAATGCTTTGTTGAGATTATGTCATGTGGCTGCAAATGTACTTTTAAAAAGTAAAAACCAAACATGTGTGAGCATTGTTAACTTTCTGAAATAACACATATGCCGCCTTGAAATGAATCACAGTGTGTAAATGTGACGCTCGGGGAGATGTGGAGCAAAAGTGGAAGACAGATGGTTTCACTTTGTAATAAAAGAAACAGCAGCATACATTTATGGGATCAATAATTCACAATCACGAATGCAGGCAGACGATAAATGAAGATTGAATACCATAATGATTAAGACAATGATGTGTCAAGAAACATGTATACATCATGCTCTGTAGCCCTGTCAAATGAATTATACGCAATTATAACAGTCGTATGTATTAAAACAAGTTCACTAATTAAGAACAATTACTTACCAAGTAAAAAAAACCACTACCACAACTCGAGTGAAATAGTTGTGGTAGTGAGACATCACTCCAATACTCATATTCCTCTACGAGCATCCAAAATAATTTTTAAGATCACTCAACATCTCCAACAAACAAAAAGAGCATTTTGAAATCTCCAGTCAACCTTTCTCCTCAGCATGTCGCTCATTCTACTCTGCTGCCTCCAGAGATTCCTTCCACCAACCATCAATGCCAGACTCCCTGAACCTATTCAAGTCTCAACTTTACATATTCCTTGTTGCCTCTACCTCCGACTGACTGCATATCTATAAAATAAATATTCCCACTGTTTCTGTACGGCATCTTGCGATGCAGTTTAATTTAGGTAGTCTTGATGCCAATTGCATTGGATAAACTATTTAATTTGACATTACATCATCGGTGGCTAGGCATACTAGACAAATATTTGTAAGTCCAAAGGTAGAACAATCTACAATGGTAAATTGCAAATTACCTAAGCCATCATATATAGAAAATGTGTAAAACAGAGGCAAAAAAAAATAGTCATGTTGGTTAAAAGCAGTTCGACTTTGACAATACCTTTAGAGATGTGCAAGCCATTCTCAGAAATAAAATACATTATTTATGATATCCACTTCTTGCTATTGCAATAGTGAGTACTTCTGTTACTGAACTCTGGTTGAACTTCTCCTCACACCTCGCCGCCTATGGCATCCAAGAACCAGTTTCTTATTCTCTAATATATGCCGGTACCAACTACTGCGCGGGAGAGCTCCTTTGGCCACCAACAGTAGCAATATTAAAAAACAACACTACAATTTTCCTGGAATTGGTCTTATGCATAGGTTTACTATGTGAATAAAAGTTATAACATCCCGTGATAAATCTTGACTTCTCTTACAACAATAACGACCTAAGAACTCTAGAATAAATATACTTAATGTATGAAATAGTAATACTGAGATTTTATTAACAATAACATAGAAAATCTGGCCTCATATATTTATAGGTAGATTTTCCATGGCATGAATCTTCACAATAGTCTAAATTTAGGATGTTAACAATTGCCATACACTTGACACCTTAATACATAATTTACACTCAACACATAACCACAAACACATTTGCCTAGGTATGAAAGTAAATGATTAAGGGATATGCACAACCGACAAATGTTTGTCTGTATTTAAATACATTTTACCACAGCTAAGTTTAACAGTGTGCAGTGAGCACGGTACATATTGTAATGACAAAACAAAAATAATGGCTCATCATCTCGCCTTTCAAACTTTTCCATTATGCCTAGACATGATGACCTTCATATGAAACGCATCAAGCTCCACATTCAGTGCAAACGGCCGAGTAATCTAGGAATCACAAGCCATGTGTGATGTCACGACACCAACGTGTCGAATTGGCTTGAGTCAAGCATGGCCACTGTCTCATCAATAGTGGGGCACCGTGGGTATGGACCAAACGGCCATACACTCCAGCTGGTGTTCCTGAAAATTACTTAACTAGAGGCATGTTTTGGTGCCATATCTTAGGCACCTAATGATGCAGTATAGATGTATGTCGTGACATCAAACCCCAAGCATAGTAACCACACGCATGACAACAGTCAAGTGAAGGTTATGTAAAGTCCCTAGGTCATAAACCGAACGATACTCTAATATGTTTATGAACTTATAATTCAATAGATGAGAATAATAAAGAGGCCAAAATAAGACCCTCTACCTATATTTCTGAACTCAAAGGTTTAAATTATAACCATGCTTGTAGAATCAGACTATAAAGCACACACAAAGTTTAGCATTTGGTACATGTGCCTATGGCTCATGCTGCCAAAGAAGGCACTTATTATACTAAAATTAGGTTAAACCGGTCTTAAAAACAGTCTTAATTGGATATCCTATCACTGTACAAAAGTTTTCAGCCAATAAATGATAACATAAGAAAAAAAAGTTGGGAGTTAATCTTCACACATACGTTGCAGCACATGCAATAATATACATTCCGTGGTCAACACTGGCATGGGAAACCGAAGTTAATGGAAATCAACATACCAATTTACATAAAAAGAAACGTATTGTGCATTCTATATTACCTGCTATATGGATCAGAAACTTGGAAATTGCTAAAAAAAATACAAAGCTGAAAATAAAACCATGGAAAGTAGTACCTGCTAGGAATTAAGCCGAGACACGCGGATCAGAGAGCGAACGCCGGTTCAAGATATCTTGTTGACTTTGAGGAATGTAAGTAGGCTAGGGCATGACATGTGGTTAGAAGAGAAGAAGGGATGATGGCCAGTGGTCTAGGCTCATGACAAGAGTGGCAGGCAAAGGAGGGCACATGCTTGAGGGGATGTCCAATACGGGGATGGAGCGATGAAATCAGTTTTTTGTGCAGGAGCAAGATGGATTGTTGCATTGCGTGACCAAGAGATAGCTACTGCTTGGGAAGGACTTTATCCAGCAGTATATAGATAACAATTAATGATCATAAATAACACTTGCTTACATCGAGTAGAATTTAGAACCAATGAAATAAGTTATGGAACTGAAGTTGACCTTCAGAGAAGACAATCGAAGCAAGCGAAGAGGTGTGTCCATATCTGATATCTGGGAAGTTAGTTTCATGGGGAGTTTACCGCAACAGTAATTGACACTTTAATCGAACTATATCAATCATTATATAATTCATCTTGTGTTGAAACTATAAATAGTAAATTCTTGGAATGGATTTTAAACATTAAGGTATAGCATTTGTTCATAACTGCCATTGATATATCAACAAAATTAAAATAATTCTCATGTTGTGAAAAAATTAAGTATTTTTATTCTCAAAACACGTGCATGACGGTGTTTGCCTCTGTTGGAAGCTCTGAGCCAATGACGAAAATTGCATATTACCACAGCATATCCAAGAATTACACAAAATGCCCACGATTGACTTTGGACAAAGGCGTACTTATTTTTTTATCAACCAGTGAGATGATGGGATGAATCGACCACCCGCTGGGATGTGAACTCGAGCAGTGCCATCATCCCGGTGTTTCTGGAATGTTATATTCAATGGCTTGCCAATAAACATGGGATTGTGCAGTCTAAATGCGTCCTCCTCTCACCACGCACGCAGTTAAAGCCGTGTCGTAAAGGACAGTATGCGCACGTGAACACTCCACATTGATTTTCAATTCAGGAAATCATGTCACCAGCCCGTGAAGCGGCGTATGAGAGAAATTCATAAATATGTTGCAACCAAATACACACCACGCAACAAAGGTTAAAAAAAGTGACAGCGCGGAGACAAAGCAGCGTGCACCACCAGCAGGAGGGCTCTTTGGTCCAGATCGAAGCGGCATATCTCAATCTACACGTGGGTGGCGAGTGGCGAGGTCGTGAACGCGACGCGGAAAGATACCGTCAATAATTAATAACGCGGTTCAAACTGGGCCCAGAGGCCGGGTCTGGGGCCGGGTCTGGGGCCGGCGCCGGGTCTGCCCTGGTTCGGGAGTGAACGACGCCCTGCGGCCTGGAGCGCGGCCGCTGAAACTCAATGGGGAGGAAGAGGTATTGCGATGGTGGTGGTAGTGGTGGTGGAGGCTTCGTCACAGCCACGTCTTCCTCATTCTCGTCTGAGGCTAGGGCCGAGGAGCAGTGGACCGACGGTAGCGAAGAGCCTCGTCGTGTTGTCGGTGGACGGCGCGGCCGGCAGAGAGGTGGAGAGGGGAGGGCAGGCACGGGGCAGACGGCGGATACAAGTGGGGATGAGAAGTGATGTCGGAATGGAGCAGAGAGGGCAGGGAGGAATTGGAAGAGGGGGGGAACGATTACTGGGGATTGAGAGGCGTGGAGGCGACTAACACTAGAAGAAAAGACCAGGGCAGGGGAAGGAAGCAGCGAAAATCTTCAGTGGGGATGCGAGAGTGGAAAGGTGACGTAGATGGAGGGGGGAGGAAGAGTTAAACACAAGAGAGAAGAAGGCGGGAAACGAGACAGTGAAAGTGGAAAAAAGCGAGGGGATAAACAAGACTGATAAGTCTGTGAGAGGGAAGCTGAAAAGAGGAAATAAAAAATACCGGCATGAGACGATGCTGAGACAGGGATAGGACAGGAGATGAGAGGAGAACGAAGATACAGGGAGACGAAAATACGCGCGAGAGATGGAACAGGGAGACCGAAAATACGTGAGAGATGAGACAGAGAGACGAGGACGTGAAGAGATAAGCGATCGTGAGATGAGCCTCACGAGAAGACGAGTGACAGGCAGAAGATAAAGAGGGGAGAGAGCACCCGAGTCGAGAGGGCCCAAAGTGTCAGGGAAGGCAAGGCGAGCCCACAGACAGACACGCACGCAGCGTGAGAGAGCCAGGGGAGACACGGCAGGGACACGGAGACACGGCAGAGACACCAAGGCAAGAGACAAGCGAGAGACAGACAGAGGCCGGCATCGCGCAGAGACCCGCGAGCGAGCGGCCGACGCGGAAGAGCGGCGGGAGACCAACTCCACCACCCCCCCTCCGCTCCCTCATCGCCTCTTCCTCAACACTGGGCCGCACTCACCGTTGAGCCCCGACACCTGCAGCAGCGCGCCCGACGTGCCGTCGATGACCTTGACCGTGGCGCTGCGGGTGACGGCGAGCACGGCGTTGAGGGACGGGTGGTAGGCCAAGCCGTGGAGGCCCTCCTCGCACCGGAGGCAGCCATCGCTCGTCACCACCCACTCCGCCGCGGCCATGTTCGCTGCGGACCACGGGCCGTGACCGTCTGACCCCACCCCCCACCGCTAGCCCCGCCTCCTGCGCGTTACGTCACTTCCGCCGGATACGCCCACTTGCCCGAGAGGCGGTGACGTGCGCGAGCGAGCGACTTCTGTAGGCCATGTTGGGTGGGGGAGGGATGTGTTGGGGGGGCAGGGCTCTATTCACATGGGTTATATCTTCTTGGTTAAATGTGGATTTAAAGCTTTCGTGACTGCAGGGATTCATATTATTGGTTCTTTCGGTAAAGTCACGTAGAAGGGAAATAATAATATAAATGTAAAACAATAAAACTTCTCAAGAAAAAAATTCTTGCTGTGGATTTCACACCTGATGATGATTGCTTGTGTTGCAGTCGAAACGTCGTGAGAATTTTTATTTTTTATATTAATATTATTATTTCCCTTCTACATGACTTTACCGAAATAAACAAGACTATATTCTTGGTTCTTTCGGTATTCTCACGACGTTGTGGCCGAAACGTGAGAATTTCATTTTATTATGTTTAATTTTCATTATTTTATTATTATTTCCCTTCTACGTGACTTTACCGAAAGAACCAAGCAGATGAATCCCTGCAGTCACGAAAGCTTTAAATCGAAATTCAAATGTATTACAATTAATCCACGATATAATTAATTATGTTAATGTATAAGGAAGCCAATCGGCGTCGAGCGGCCGACTAACGTGGGCGCTGATTGGCTGCCTTCATCATTAACATAATTTATCACTAATTCTGTCGCGCGCCCACATTAGACCGCCCCTTCACGCTGATTGGCTTATCTTCTACATTAACATAATTTATCACTAATTCTGTCGCGCGCCCACATTAGACCGCCCCTTCACGCTGATTGGCTTATCTTCATCATTAACATAATTTATCATTAATTCTGTCGCGCGCCCACATTAGACCGCCCCTTCACGCTGATTGGCTTATCTTCTACATTAACATAATTTATCATTAATTCTGTCGCGCGCCCACATTAGGCCGCCCTTCACGCTGATTGGCTTATCTTCTACATTAACATAATTTATCATTAATTCTGTCGCGCGCCCACATTAGGCCGCCCTTCACGCTGATTGGCTTATCTTCATCATTAACATAATTTATCATTAATTCTGTCGCGCGCCCACATTAGACCGCCCCTTCACGCTGATTGGCTTATCTTCATCATTAACATAATTTATCATTAATTCTGTCGCGCGCCCACATTAGGCCGCCCTTCACGCTGATTGGCTTATCTTCATCATTAACATAATTTATCATTAATTCTGTCGCGCGCCCACATTAGACCGCCCCTTCACGCTGATTGGCTTATCTTCATCATTAACATAATTTATCATTAATTCTGTCGCGCGCCCACATTAGACCGCCCCTTCACGCTGATTGGCTTATCTTCTACATTAACATAATTTATCATTAATTCTGTCGCGCGCCCACATTAGGCCGCCCTTCACGCTGATTGGCTTATCTTCATCATTAACATAATTTATCATTTATTCTGTCGCGCACCCACATTAGACCGCCTCTTCACGCTGATTGGCTTATCTTCATCATTAACATAATTTATTATTAATTCTGTCGCGCGCCCACATTAGACCGCCCCTTCACGCTGATTGGCTTATCTTCCTCATTAACATAATTTATTCACCGGCGCCCCGAGGCGTGCTGTGTCACGGCGCTGTCAGGAGTTTCGCAACCCTTAGTAAGATGGCCGCGCCTGTCACATCGCACGCCACGTGCGGAGCGGCGTGACGAGCACGCGTTGTGGACGCGTGGTGACCGGCGCTGGCAGGGGTGGGAGGAAATGTCGCGACTCTTGAATTAACTTGTCTTATTATTCATTAACCCGCGAGTTCAAGGGGTACAGCTTTTCTTGTAAAACAGCTTGAGGCGGAATGCGTCGACAAATAATATCGATCGATAAAGTACATCGATAATGCGCCCCACTTCACGTAGCTTGTCACCACGTGACGTGCGCGTTTTTTGTGTCAACAACGCATCAGTTTTTTTTAATTTAGCGAATGCTTTTTTTTTCACGCGTGACTCTCACACACCGGCACCAGATACAGAAGAAAAAACTAAGCAATTAAATCATGGATACGTATATCCGATGTGTTATGCGAGTGTACGTCGGCCTAACGTCAAGTAGCCACAGAGCCAATGTTGACAGCTTCCCCCTTTCACGTGCAGGACAAACCAATCCGCCCGGCACGCCTTGACGCACTCCACAGCCGGAGCCGAGCCGCGCCGGGGTCTCCTGCGCCACGCAATCACAGCAGCGAGCTGCTGGGCACCGGGGTTGATGTGCCCCATCGATGTGTACGGAAGCGGCACACACTCCCGGACGCGGTTCAAGTGAACGCGCATCAGTCGGTTTAACACGTAGGAGGCTTTCGCGAGCACTATCGTCCATAATAAGAGGTTTTTTTGGGGAGGTTTTATCACGTAAAAATGTGTCGTTAATTCTAGATTTGAAGCTTTCGTGACTGCAAGGATTCATACTCTTAGTTCTTTTGGTAAAGTCACGTAGGTAAAAAATGAAATTAAAATTAATAAATGAAATTAAAATTAATTTAAAAAAATATGCTATTATTTTTACCTACGTGACTTTACCGAAAGAACTAAGAGTATGTGTCGTTAAACCCGCCACCAACCGACAGCCAGTTAGTAAGGTTTGTCACGTAAACAGAACTGGCCAAATCGTTACTAGTACAGCACACCGGTGTGTTGGAGAGTAAATCCACAACATTTACAAATGTAACGAATTGGCATGTTCTGTTTACGTGACAAACCTTACTAATTGGCTGTGGCGGGTTTAACGATATATTTACACGATCTTACGCAAAAAAAAACCTGTATTATGGACACATCAGTCACACGGCCTTCGGGGAGTGCATCATTTTGGCAGCATTGGTTCAAGAAAGGCAAACTCTGGATCGGTTTCGACATTCAGTGTGTCTTCAGCAGTCAGGCACGCTTAATAAGATACAGGTGGGCTGGCAAATGCTTTCACAGCAGAAATACAATGATCCGCGTTTACATAAAGGGGGGCCATGATGCGGATCCTCTAATCCGCGGCACAAATGACGCATATGTGCCGTATAGGTCGATTAAGTTTATACTGTACTGAATTTATATCCAAGAATAAAGCAAATCCGAAAAAAAATCTGTTGCGACAAAACAAAGTAAGTCAGCACAACCTTTTTCTGTACTCGTGGGGCGAAAAATAAACAACATCCGTTACCTCGACATTTCCCTTGAAGATCTCCAGCTCTGCCTTAACCCGGCTCACTTGTGGTGATCGAATGTGGTCCATGAATGTGGTCCACAATTGGCCCCGATGTGCCATGGACCACAGGACCTCAAACTGACAACAATCCACGAATGAACAGCGATTTGTGGACGTCCGTTATTGTCCAGACTTGGCTCGCAGCGATGTGTGTTGGTCTTTCGAAGATGCACTTGTGTGGCCAACAATTCCAGTCGAGTTCAAATGTGTCCACAAATGGTTCAAGCGGGGACATTTCTTTCGATGGTGTTGGCCAGTGGTGGTCAATTGACGTCTCCTGAGCCGCATGCGGCTCTTTAATCCACCACACGTGGCTCTATTGAAGGGGCATAACGCAGAACATGCCATCACAGTAGCAAAGAATAATGAATTGAAGATATATAAATTGGCTCTTTGCAGAACTCCTGGGTTCTTTGTGGCTCTTGGTCTGTCAAAGGTCGGCCACCCCTGCTGTAGGCATTCAGGCACTTGTACATCAGTGGGAGACGTTGTACCATCAATATGTTGAGAGATAGGAGCTGCCATGATCTTCCAATTAAAACTTTGTTTTTCCTCTGAGCGAAGTCCAGGAATTACTTGAACCACCCTGAAACAAACCTCAGTTTTTGGCCGAGAGGTTAGTAGTTGCGTAAGTTTCCTGTTTTATCGGAATGCAATCAATCTCATCAAAACTTGTAAGCTAAGCAGACGTGAAGCTGAATAGGGCTTGGATGTGTGACCACTAAGCGCCCTTACATGTTATAGGCTGCAGAGCTACAAAGTTGGCAGCAAAAGGCAGTGCAGAAAAATATATTGCACTGTATGTCTATGCTCCTACATTTTTGCTCCCCAAATGTAGCGTCGTATTGGAAGCATAATCATATTTGCAGGGCTCTTTAAAGACGTGTATAGGATTAACCAATCAGGTGTGTGATGAACATAGATGCATAGGTATATTCCACAGCTGGGAAAAAAGCCTCTGTCAAGTGCAGTGGCAGTGGAAGCGAGAACGGCTTTGGTACAAGATGCACAAATGTAAACACTATTGTGGTAATGATACACAACCTCCGGTGTTTACCCTCCACGTTTAGAAACATGCATTAAGATCATTTAGATTATTTTAGTGCTATAAATGTCCAAATGATGGGCAACTTTGGTGAGCTATCATGTGGCCAGGTCACTTGTAAAAAAAAAGTTAATACCTCAGTGGGCTTTGCCGAGGTAGGATGGGGATGGTATCGCTTTATTTGTATGTTTGGAAGATTTGTTTACCTTTCATGTACTTTGCACTGTTTTTGTACTGTTGTAACGTTCTTACCCGCCCCTACTTGGACATCTGTGAAAAATATCTTGATAGCTCATCAAATTCCTCCAGTATAGCTATTGATTCTGAACCATGTGGAAAACGAGAATATAAAACGGTGTTTAACTAATTGAGTGTTACTTTGACAAAGATTACTGTAACTTGGCTTGTTGTACTCATGCATGTTTCACTTTCGTAAAACATGGTAATGTACGACACGTAATTTGGAGTTTATTTCCCATTCCTTTATTAGTTTTAATACACCAAAATGAAATAAGGAATCAGAAGGAGGAATTCTTCATATGTATACAAACATGTATATGTATACAAACCCAAAACAACTATAAACATTACGGATCATATACAAAATGCATCTCGCTGTATACATATGTAAACAATTCATGGGTTCTTAACCTGCCGAGTCCCATTCAATGGAAATAAAAATGATCATTTAACATTTGCAAAGTACAGTATATTGAATGCATATAATAAAAGGCGAAAGTAATATTCTGTACTTTTGACTAAACATTACTCTCATCTTTTACACTAATCACATTGTACATACCAATATTTTAGGGTTAAGCAAAACCGACTCAGATGCACAAAATGCAATTATAGTATTGATACCAATGTTACAGTAAAGAAACAAGTTAAAGAATATTCGATTGAAAAATAAAATGTATAATTTGCCTGCTAATTTAATGTTGTACTTTCAGTATTGCACTATTTTTCTTCAGCCCTTAGCTATAACTCAACAGATTAGTTATGTTGGTGTATATTTCAAATGACTGAATTTTTTAAAATATCCCAGTGAACCAAGATATTAACCTATTTACTAATAAAACGTGTTTGTTTAAAAAGCTGCTACAACATAAACATTTGCAATTAATGTGAACACATTTACCAAAATAATCCCATAAATTAAATAAGTGACAGAAATTTTTATTTGTATACCTTTGTATATTGTACCTGCAATGTGCTTTACCCATGCAACAATTTTAAAGCACTTCTAAGCAAACAAAAACCAAAGCACCACAAGGATTACACCATGAACTATTAAGAGTAGAGCACTAGAAAATATATCTTCTTTACACATATCTGTATAAGGTGGGAGAATGTCATTCATTTATGATGGTAACACATCCTGGCGAACGAAACATTCTGAATGATATCTGCATAGAGTATTGGATGAGTAAATCCCAATGAGTACAGATTTTCCATTCAGTTTTTCTGGGACTACAAGAGAAAATGGTTGTCCCCATATTCTTAAGAGCAAGTTAGTCTGCATTAGTTTCAATTATCCCCCTTTAAACGTATATAAAAAGTACTTAAACGTACTTTTTATATACAAGTGTTTTGTTACTGCTATTAATAACTGTCTATACCCCGGATTGTGTGAGTTTTGGGGCTGCGATAAATTCCACCTTGGGTTTTCCAGATTCCTTTGGTCAAAGATTTATGTTAACCTATCAGGATCAAAACCATAAGCGAGGATTTTGCAAAAACCGAGGTAGAATTATTTGCAGCATCTGTCAAACTTTGCCATAAAACCTTATTTATTTACTGAATTAAATGTAACAAGGGCATACATGTAACAAAGACATACATGATAACAAGGGCATACATGATTTAATTTTTTTTAACATCTGTTGTGAAATATACACATTTCAGGCCCCACTGTAGAGGGACAGGAAGTAAATGTACAGTAGAAATATGGGGTAGATGAGGAGAGGCTTCTTCGCCTTGAACTCGTCTCCAACAAGAAGTGAAGCAGCACTGTATGCCGACCAGAAAACACCAAACAGCTGAAAGTACAAAAACAAACACTTAAACACGATTTAATAATCATGTTGTGAAAAAAGGAAGCATTTTGGAAAATATATTTAACATTTCTAAATGTATCTGTCTATTTAAGGAACGTAACAGGAGGATTTTTCCACAAATCTGGCTCCCGCCTGATGATGCTAGTTGTAATTACTGGCGAAACGTCGTACTCAGATTGTAAATGTTGTGGCTTTGCTCTCCAACACACCGGTGTGCTGTACTAGTAACGAATTGGCATGTTCTGTTTACGTGACAAACCTTATAAATTGGCTGTCGGGTGGTGGCAGGTTTAACAACACATTTATATTTACGCGATCTAACCCAAAAAACCTGTATTATAAATTTCTTACCTTGACAAGAACAGATAGAAAGTCAAAAGAGGTCACCACCAGCAGCATAGGCACGATTACTACGAGTGGCAGGAGAGAGTACCCAATCACTCCCAAAACCTGCCCATAGGACACCTGCACACAGAAAATGATTATTTATTTTGATATACTTTAAAAACACAAAGGCAACATAATTCAAATATAATATAAAAAAAACAAGTGTATTAGGTTTCTGACCTCTCCACCCAAAACTCTGGCCAACAGGAAGATGGTTAAGGAACCAAAGATCCATATTGTTATAATCCATGAAACTACCTGCAGAGAAAATAAAAACACGTCACGTTAATATTGTTAATTCAGTAAAAAAACGAATATTCACTAATTAAGTGGATAAAATTAAAGGAAGACTTTTGAAACTTACCCTGAATTGGCCATAGAGAGAAACCATGGCAAAGAAGAGAACCACAGCCAGTGGCCCCCAGAAGTCAGGATTGTCTCGCACGACCTGGCGATTAAAGCCAAGTGCTGGCAATGGCATAAGGACACATCGTAGTTTGTAATAGATATCCTTCAGGTCGATGTCAAGCTCCTCCCTGTGCAGCACAACAGATATCATAACAGAGTCATTCAAATGAATGAAGTGCAAAACTAGTTACTACTGGCAAAGACTAATTAGAAAATCCATTGAAATAGAGAGAAATAAGAATGATTTTAACCATTCTGATAGTTAAAGGTTTAGTGCTGCATGGAATCATATTATCAAGTAATACACTGCATGCCTATACAAGATCACCATACGTCGATGGTGATTACTGTGAGCAGCTAAGAACAGGTATTGCGATTTTTTTACCCAAAAACAGCATAATGTACATACATGTGCTTTACATTATGTATGTTGATTAACTGTGAATAATCCACCAATAATAGATATCCATTGTAATTTATATGAAAACATTAACCTCCCCCCTCTGGTCTTTGCACCCGATTGGCTTACAAGTGATGACATCACATCTATCCATCTTTAAAACAGGATTTCTCCACAATTTTGGCTCTCCTCTGATCAGACTGGTGGTTGTAATCACTGGCGAAACGTCGGTACTCGAATTGTAAATGTTGTGGGTTTACTCTCCAACACACCGGTGTGCTGAACTAATAACATATTACCATATTTTGTATATGTGACAAACCTTACAAATTGGCTGTCAGGTGGTGGCGGGTTTAACGACACATTTATATTTACGCGATCTAACCCAAAAAACCTCTCTTCGGCTAAAATCTGCCAGTATGGGACAATGATTGCTGCGAGTAATACCAACGGAGTAATTTGCAGATGATTTTAGAATTGACACCAGCACAATGGCTGGTGTCAATTATGGTTAATATACCCACACTAATAACCAGGGCAGCCTGCTGCGTTCAAACAGCAAATCCCTGCAACAAGTTGCAAACGTGCTACCGCTGGGTCATGCTACTGCCCCCAATCACTCTTAGAGGGGTTATTTGAAGATAGTTATACTGTATAAACACTTTTCACAAACATTGCCTTCATTGGGTTACTTTCTTCAATTGTGGCAAATCACGATTGCACGGCCCTGGCTTTTGATCACACACACCCATGACTGAGACTTACAGAAGCGGCTTGCTGTCTTCTGGTTCATCACCCTCCTCCACCTCCAGGAGCCAGCCATAGCCCTTCTTGCGCAGGAAGGTCGTAGCGGTGGAGTCAGTCTTCACGTCCTCACCAAACTGCACCTTCACGTCCTCCGCTGCTATGTTACCACTCAGATCTGGAAGTAACAATGTCTTTCTCTTAGCGAAATAAAGTAAATAGCAAAGCAGTTGGATAGGTCAACAAGCAGGCTGAGAAAAAAAGCCAGGCAGGTGAAGAGACAAGGCAGTGAGATTTGGAGTCCCAAAGGCAGCGATGGCGATGCGGGTAATAAGATTAAACCGAGAGAGTTCTGTTGCGAGGACACTTGAGTGGAGACAGAAAGAAAATCTGTTCACATACACTTTTACCCATAATGGTCCACAATAACGCACGAGTTGTGATACTGTATTGCTTCTTACGTTGAATAAGCCCAATAGTTTTGATGGAATGCTATTGCCAAGAACTGGTAACGCAGAATGTTTACCTTGAACTCCGATGAGCCTCCCCTGTCGGACAAAACCGGTCCAGCGTTTGTTTGGTTAAACAATAGCTGCTGGATATTATTGGGTTGGAAATCCAGCAGCTAAACATTTTATGTTTTTGTGGAAACAGAACAGAGTTCTGCTTACATAGTGTGTAGATACTGCATGTGATGATACGGGGACAAGCATAGGCATGACAGTGCGGGGAGTCTTGAAGGCAAGAGAGACACGGTGACAGATGAGCACAGAGGTGAGACAGCAAGAGATGGACAGAAAGATGTGCAGACAGGGAGAGAGGGGGATACAACTGCGGAGTGCCCAGTCCAGGAAGACAGATTATAAGGGCGAGGGGACATGAAGACGATGGGCAGACAAGGAAGCTGGGGTACAGGGCAGAGGGGGGGACATGTCCGGCACTATGGTCGATCCACTGCTGGATTCTGGTTTCCTGACTCCGTTCAGGTCACGGGGGGTTGTTTGACCATACTTCACCACGCTGGTCGGCGCGAAAAGCCTCGGAGATGACGCTGATACACCCAAGTAACAGTGGCGGATCGCACAGACCCCCTTCGAGTGTAACAGTTGCCTCGAGTCGATGACTTAGATGAGGCGCTAAATCACTTTCCGCATTGAACCCTCCTCGCCCTGTAAACTCTGCGCTCACCCTCGTTCCCTGGCGACGCCACGAACGTGAAGTCGCCGTTCCCGGGCGCGAACCGCTCCTGTGGCACGCTCGGAGGATTCATCTCAGCGAGAAGTAGTGGCTGTAGTGATGATAATAGTAATTGTTGTTCTTGTTGTTTTAGCTCTTGTGATGACTAACGCTGCTGTCAGCAAACCGAGGCCTCGCCTATCGCGCGCCTTCGCTAGGCCGCGCCGCCATCGTTGCCCGCGCGGTGCCCCACGGGAAATCTCCACGTCGCTACCGGGGGGGGCGAGTTATTTTTTGAAATTTACAAAAATTAAATTAGTCAAAACTAACCCTAACACTGGCGTCGTCTTATTATCACAACTATTAATTTAATACGTTGGTGTATTGTTTTCAGCGTTGGGTTTGTCGTCGTTATGTTAATGAGGAGGAGGAGGCGTGGCCACCGCCGCCGCTGCACCAATCAGAGAGCGGCGCGCGGGAAATTTGGCGCGCGAACGCCGCCGCGCAGTAATCTCACCCCGGCGTCGCTGCTCAAGAGTCACACACACGGATACAGAGAACGACGACGGATCGCAACTAATATTCCCGTATAAACATAACAACAATCACCCTCACAGGCTCCGCGCCCGAAACGTCGTCCTCGTCGGAGCCTGTGAGATTAATTATTTTTTTAATCGGCGTTTGTAATCAAGGGCACGAGTCAATAGCGCGCCGATCTCCGCTCGCGAACTACTTTTGGGAACCTCCCCGTCAGCTCCGAGGCCCATTCATCAACCTCTCGTTGTTTTTCATCAACTTTCATCGCCACCGTTCAACCTCTCTGCTCGGTACACACGCCTGGCTCTCGACTGCAGTACAGTACCGCGCTCTCGTCATTTAGAACCGTCGTTGTTTACTGCCGCGTACACAACGACGGTTGTCCAGATGCGCACCGTCGGCGAATGAAGTTCGTTGTCTCCCGCGATTGTTTTCTGTGTCTCGGCTGTCTCCTCTCTCCATTCTATCTCCACTGTCACCTACCCCTCACCTATCTTTGTCTCCTCTCTGATGGTCTTAAGCGGTGTGCTTTCGCTAAGTTGTCCCCACCTGAAGAAGGACGCTTGTGTTGCGCCCGAAACGTCGTTATTTCTTTACCTACGTGGCTTTACCGAAAAAACTAGAATCTCTGATAGTCCCCTACCTGACATATTGTCCCCCTGTTCTGTCCCTGAGATTCCCCCCCACCCCTCCTCCCAGCCCTAACTCCATCTCATTTCTCCCCAGCCCCCCAATTTGTCTCCCCGTCCCCTCATCGCCGTCCCCCATGGGGATCTCGGGGCTTCTGCAGTTCCTGAAGGAGGCGTCGGAGCCCATGAACGTGAGCCGCTACCGCGGACAGACCGTGGCCGTGGACACCTACTGCTGGCTACACAAGGGGGCCTTCGCGTGTGCGGACCGCCTGGCCAAGGGCGAGAACACTAACCAGTACTGCTGACAAACATCCCACCTATAGGACCACAAATCTTGGGGAATTGTTTGGTCGCCCGTTCTGGCAGCCATCCTGTTTGTGCTCTTTGGTTCTTTCGGTAAAGTCACGTAGGTCTCAAATGAATTAAATCACGACGTTTCCGGCGCAACACAAGCGTCCGTCATCAGGTGGGACAACCACAGCAAGAGACAATTGCTGAAGTGGGTAGAAGGACTCCCGTAATACGAGGTTATACTGGTAGGAACCTCCTGGTTACACCAGCCCACAGGGGATTGATTATTCTGTCCGGCCGTCTTGCAGGGAGGGGCTGGGTAGGGTGGGTGGGAAGGGTGGGGCTGGGTGGAGAGGGACTGGTCACCCCGTGGTGCCCTTATAAAACTCAACGTTTAACCTACTCACGCCGGCTTGTGCCCGCCCTCACAGTCTGGCATATTTGCGGAATACACCATTGACCGAGCAACCCAACGTTCCTCATAGCTCCCTCCGCAGGAATGTGTTATAGGTAAGAGAGGGGGGGGGGGCAGGGAGGAGAGGGGGGGGGTGCTGCCGGATGAAGACGCTTGTGTTGCGCCCGAAACGTCGTGATTTATTTTATTATATACCTACGTGACTTTACCGAAAGAACCAAAGAGTATGGATCCCTGCAGTCACGAAAACTTCAAATCTAGATCTTATTTGTGGGTTCGGGCCATCCTTGGATTGTTCTCGCGTTCTCTTGACGAGTCAAAACTCGTGTGTTACAAATCCCAAATTATGTGCGTTGAACTTCTTTCGCACCATACATAGACAACCGTGCTAATCGGAAGTGCGGGGGAATGACAACAAACTTAAACACTATTACCGTATACTTGTTTCCAGTGTTCAAATGCCTTAAAGCAGAAGTCACAAACCTTATTGAAGTCTCGGCATGTCACTATATATTCTAGAGTCATCAAATAGGTCACGAGACAGTTTGACAATTATTAAACATAGTAAAATGATACAGGATCCTCTATATACTTTTAATTCTGCATAATGTGGTGTTGCTAGATCTTTCCATAATTCTATGAACAATGTGTTATTGCTAGGGAAACCCAAAAAAGTCACTAGATCTAGTGACGAAATCGCTATGTTGGTAACCGCCGCCCCATTTTCTACATGGCCACTTGTTAAAGTCGATTACAGACTCCATTACTCTATAGTGAGCTGCAGGGCAATGTGCTTGCTTTGGAGATTGCAGAGGCAGTGAAGCTGCACGAGGTCCCACGAGTAAGAGGGACCCAGGCACTGCGCTACGAAAAGGGGAATTTGGACAGGAAGTCCCATTTAATGAATTGCATCAGGGCCCATGCAAACCACATGACACAACTGATGAGTAGTGTGGGTGCAATTGAATGCATCGTCATATCTCTTTATGAACCCCCTATGGCAGGGGTCCATAATCAAAATAACAAGGGCCATTTTTTACGTACTCGGTTAAAAAAATTCAAGAACCACAATGCATGTGTATAATGTCACGAAGCAGTCCTTAAAGAGCCGTACGTGACTCCGGAGCCGTAGGTTGCAGACCCCTACCCTATGGCCTATTGGATTTTTATAGCCTGGCAGTCACATTTGCAGGTCTCCAGGCATTGGCCCATCCAAACGTGGTATACATTTCTCTGCCACTGTATACTGGCTCAATCAAATCAAAGTTAGGTAATCACTTTGTCGTAGATGCATCTCTTGCTAAACAGACCCTCTTAGCTAAACTAGAATGGATTGTTAACTCTTATTGTAAGGAATGATGGAGAATGATGGATATATTCTCCCAACACAACAACTTACAGCCTTTTGTCAATCCACTGCTGGATGAGAACTCTCCACACCTTTGGGTCATTGGGTTTGAATGACCATAATCATGCTGGCTAATATAGGTTGGTGAAGGGGGGAAGAGAGTCAGGATCAGTTGAGTTATCACTCACCACTAATGTCAGCCATGGCTGGGAATTGAACACGGGTCACCAGATTCATAGTGAAGTGCTCTAACAATTGTGCCACAGCTTTCCCCCAGGTTATTAATAATTTCACTAAATAATTTTACTAAATTTGCTTTATACCGTGCTTGTTTATGGGTCCATTCTCTCCTCCGGGCGCTATGGGCAGTAATTCCACGCAACAGCTCCGTGCTTGTTTGTTCAGAAGTCCAGTGTCCAGTTCGTCCGTCCCCTATGGGCAGGAATTCCACACAAACCCCCTCTGCCCCCCCTCTCTCTATTTAAGGTCTCGACACAGAGACGTTGTCTTTCTGTGTGCATATGTTTGTGTTTCTCTCTGTTTGTCTCTGTGTGAGTCTCTCTCTGCTTGTGTCTGTCTGTGTGTCTCCGTGTCTATGTTTTGACTCTTTCTCAAATGTAACAATCTTTGGAAGAATGTAATCAACCCGGTAGGGTGTTGACTGTTTTGTTGGCCGACTCTCTGTGTGTTGAATTGCATTATATTTCCAAGTTTACTATGTTTTATTTATTTCTACGTGACTTTACCGAAAGTTTCGAATCTAGTTTATTAATAAACGTGTCAAGTATTACTACAGTTATTGTAAAGTAAATGTCAAAGAAAAAACATCCACTAGAAGAGAGAAAAAATGAGTAACATTGTTATGCACGTTGTGTTCAGGTATGTGTTCTACTGCGTCAAGTTCATTGAGATGCTGCTGGGCTGTGATGTGAAACCAATCCTGGTGTTTGACGGTTGCATGCTGCCCTCCAAGAAAGAAGTGGAGAAATCGAGGAGAGAGTGAGTGTCAAAGAATAAAAAGGCAGCATCTGCCATCAAGCCATGGTAGCATCTGCCAGGGCTTGATAGCCAAGTGTTAAGTGAAAAAGTGTGAGCTTTATCCAAGCACAATACAGTATATTGACAAATACTCTGCATCTCCAATATTATCTGATTCTACTTGGCACATCCACCTGTTCCGTACTGCCTTCCAGGTTACTTCCAATTGGTGAATGGAATACATTGGTAGGTTGACTTATTTCTGTACTGGACATCCGTGAAAAGAGCTTTATGCTCATTGGATTCCTCTCAAGTCTAAATAAAGAAGATTCTGATTCGGAATAGTGCAGATACTCAAATGAAACAGCAATATGTCGAGACATGAAATTTAAATCTATTGCCACTATTGTGTGCGAGTGTAGGAGGCGACAGCTGAATCTACAGAAAGGCAAGCAGCTGCTGCGGGAAGGAAAAGTGTCGGAGGCGCGTGCCTGCTTCACACGCTGCATCAATGTCACCCCACAGATGGCTCTAGAGGTCATCAAGGTACCACACACAGGACATCTTCAAACCAAGCTCCACTCAATGTGTACTATATAATGAGTGCTTAAGTATTTTCCAAGTTGTATACCTTGAAGGTTGTATACAAGTGAAGTGCTTGACCCCTGCAGGCAGCACGTGCCCGGGGTGTGGACTGCATCGTCGCTCCGTACGAGGCCGATGCACAGCTTGCCTACTTGAACCGGTCTGGGATCGTTCAAGCAGTCATCACAGAAGACTCAGATTTGCTTGCATTTGGATGTGACAAGGTGCTGGTTTTTTTTTTACAACAGAGCCTATGTTGTTTTATGTCAATCAAGATTTTAATTTTGAAAACTACATTTATTTCTGAGGTCAAATCGAACGTGTTTTGATTTCCAGGTAATTCTCAAGATGGATCAGTCAGGAAATGGAGTTGAAATTTCTCGGTCTCGACTTGGCCGTGTTACACACCTGGGCAACTACTTCACAGAAGAGAAGTTCCGCCACATGTGCATCCTCTCTGGATGTGACTACCTGCCCTCCATTCCAGGCATTGGCTTGGTGAAAGCCAGCAAGGTCCTCAAGTTGTCCAATAACCCCAATATAGTGAAGGTACTGTCCACAGCCAAGCCATTTAGATTTTTTTTTCTGTTGTGACAACACATTACTTTGATGATTAGATTAATAATTTTCATGTACCCATGCGTGTGCGTGTTCCTTTAAAATAGGTAATCCGAAAAATGGGCCATTACCTTAAGATGAATGTGACTGTGCCGGAGGAGTACATCGAGGGGTTTGTACGTGCTGACAACACCTTCCGCTACCAGCTCGTTTTTGACCCGATATCCCGGCAGCTGTGTCCCCTCAACCCATATCCCGAGGATCTTGACTCCAGCCAGCTGTCCTATGCAGGGGCGTATCCTTTCAAAGCATTGTTCACAAGAAAACAGGCCCACATTAGCAAAGCCTGATATCGCGCCCAGCATTATTCGGTTATGTGCTAGATTAATACTGATCAAGTTTTATTCAGAAAAGAAGTGAGTGACATTCCAACACCTAAGAAAATGATATTTGTACTTTGACCTTACATTATACTATTAAACAGATGGATCGACAATTCTCAGGCCCTACAGATTGCGCTGGGTAACATCGATATCAACAACATGATGAAAATAGATAACTTCAATCCAGACACAAGCAAGGTAATGCACATGCACATTTCAACAGTTTGCCTATCGAACAGAGGACTTTTGTCGAAATATAATTTGTGTTAACTTGTGTTTTTCTCTGGTTTTGGCATTAGCCTGTTGCTGTGAAGAGTCACAGCTGGTATCGTAATTCACAGCGTGTGGACGCTAATGCACACATGCTGAGCATTTGGGACAAAAGATACCGCCCTGCTGGCAAGGATGGTGTTTCTGCAGGCAATGGTCCTTCCCCAGTCAAAGCAAAGAACCAGATACTTCCAGAAAGGAGTGGCTGCATGAAAGGGAAGGAGAGAGTCATTGTTGCGTCTTTCATGAAGTCACGCAAGACAGATGCGGCTTCCAAGAGGCAGAGGCAAGGTGTGTTGCACGTAGAAAACATTTTGTCGATTTTTATGAGTCGGTTCATACATTGGTAAATATATTTTATCTCGTTAACTAAATCTATTGTATGCCTGTAAAAGTTTACAACGTTTTTTTTGTGAACGGTACATTATTGTGCATGTTGATCTTTTTGCTGCTTTAACTGTTTTCACGCAGACGAGTCACAGGTGTTGGAAATGGACCTACTTGAACAGTATTCCTTTTCCGGAAACAAAAAAACGTGCAAAAGCTCAGATGTAACAGACAGCCTTCCCTTGAGTGAGGGTGGAGTTGGGGGTGAACAATCATGTTCTCAGCAGCAACAAGTGAAGCACAGCTCCAACGTTTCCAATCACAAGAGCAGGTTCACCCGCCTGTTGAACAAGAAGGATCAACAGCAAGAAATTGTTTTCACACCTGGCACAAGAAGCAGGTAATTCTCAGCAACATTTAAACATTTAACAGCTTTTAATCTTGTTTTGAAGCTTTCGTAACTGCAGGAATCCATACTCTTTGGTTCTTTCGGTAAAGTCACGTAGGTATAAAATGAAATAAATCACGACGTTTAGGGTGCAACACAACCGTCCGTCATCAGGTGGGAAAGCATGGTCTGCTGCTGAGGCAGACTTTTTAAAGGTTTGAAATGGGTGTAGCCTAAGGGTCATAAATAAGTGGTCAGGGCTAGTGATGTCAATGTGAGAAATTAGCATGTAACTGTAGAAAAGAAGGAAAGCGGCCTCCTAGAGGAGGGCGCGGAAGTGGCTATGTTAATGTGAGAGATTAGCATGATGTTAATGTGAGAAATTAGCATGTAACTGAAGAAAAGAAGGAGAGCAACCCAACGGGTGTAATCCAAAGGGCCTGTGAGTATGAGAGTGCAATCCAAAAGACATGCGAGCATGAGAGTGCAATCCAAAGGCAAGAGACTGCAATGCAACGGACATGTGAGCATGAGAGAGACATAGAGAGAGAGACACAGAGAGTCGAAATAACAGCTGACATAGGCAGGTAGGATGGAAACATCGCAGTCAGTAAAGACTTTACCTGGTTAATAACATCCTTCCAATGATTGCTCAGTTTGTACCCATCCTCTCAGTTGAAGTTGTGTCTGTGTTTATATATCTGGATGGCTTCATGAACAAATCTCTGAAAGTAGCCGGTAGGTTTGCAGAGTACCTTCGTCTTGGAGGAATAAAATGTGAGCTGTTATTTCGTCTAATATTTTTCTTAGGTTTTTCTACCCATCAAAAGAAGAAGCACAATCACCAAACTTGGTAAAATCATTATCGCCAAGTCAAACCGAGGTCAAGTCTGGTAAAGATCAAGGACAATCGGAGGCAACAGTTGATCAAGAACTAACTGGCAGTTCAAACCAATCAGGAGAAGTGTCATCACCCTTAAAGGAGACACAATGTTTGACATCCTCAGCACAAGATGAAGGGTCACCACTTTCAAATTTTCCAGAGAATGTCACGATGACAGAAAGTAAAATATCCAGTGCACAGCCACGGCAGGTGACTGCAACTGCCTTCAGTTGGTCCGGGAGCACGACAAGACCAAGACATGCACAAGAGAGCAACTCTGCCATCGACAAACTTAGCCGTTTTAGAAGGCAACCACAGGTTTGAATTATACTTCTTTTCCTTGTTAATAAATGAGGTGATAATGCATTATTTTACACAGGAGAACCTTGAATATCGCGGGTTTACGTCCGCGGTTTCGACCTATTTCGGTCAACCTTTTTGTATACCAATTTATCTCGCGCGGGGGTTAGTTTTGGCCTTTCGCGAGTCTACTGTATCATTGGCTGATACCGTGGGGCAGGCGAGGGATATGAGGCAGTCAGTGGCACCTCAACCTTTGCCATGCAAGCATCTCGCGGACAAAGAACCCTATTATAGCCTACTAATAGACTGTTGGGGTAAGTGCTGTTAACGAGCACCGATAAAGGCTGGCACGGCACATGAGGGGGTGGGTGGCCAACACCATGCCTGGTCGCCGTTTCATCTGCCCAGTGGTGATGTTTACAGATCACACTAGGTACTCTTTTTAGGTGGACCTAGGGGAGGCCCATGACCGGTTCAGATAATTATCACTGGTGTTGGCTGTGAGCGGGAATTGAACTCCGGTCGCCGGGTTCGTAGTGCAATGCGCTAACCGCTACACTACTGCGCCACACTCGTGGACAAACAAGCTTTGGATCATCATCATCGGTAAATACAGTATTTAGGATTTATGCTATTGTCTAAACTTTTTATATAGGGTTTTTACATGTTCATTTCAGTTATTTCGTTTTTCGTTTATTTGGCATACAGTACTTGTTTACTTTGTGATGTGCCTTTTTGGTTGCCATGTACCTTACCCCATTATTTAGGTAAGGCTTAAGTATTGAATATCGTGGTTTTGACTTTCGCGGAACTTTCAAAGAACGTAACCCCCGCAATATTGAAGAGTCTCCTGTATGCGTCAGTAATAACATTGCGGTGTACATTTTATTTCCCAACAGGAAGCAGTTTCAACAACGAACCTACCAAGCACAAATACGTTAAATCCATTTGCTCAAATGGGTCAAAGATGTTTACAGACTCGGGCAGCAGGAGATGGTGGTGGCAACCTGAGTGAGACTGAGGATGGCCATGAGGCCTCCCTCTCATCCTCCCCACCATCATTACCACATGCCAGCCTCCATTCTCCTGCCAGAGGAATTATGGTTACCTCTCCAGCACAGGATTTTACAAGCTGTCCACCCAATCAGCATTTTAAGGTAATTTTACAAATAATTACAGTCCTATGATTATCGTGCAATTAACTTCAGCAATGCCACCAACTTGAGCAGCTGCATTCTTACCGTTTCAAAATAGAGCAAATGCCACTCATTTCCAGAGCATACACATAACAAAAAGTGTTAATCTTAACATGTTTATGTAAACCTGAATAATGATGGCCAAATATACAGAGTGATCCTTTTATAGATGCCCTACTAATTTTTCATGACTATCTTCTCAACATATGATTGCATATTGTGAAAGTATTGCTCCATATCTTACAGAGGAGAGTTCAAAAGATTTAACAAGTATATTGAGTGAGAGTGATGTTTAAGAAGAGTGATGTGAGATGTTGAATTTTTTTAAATAAAATGTCTTGTGTATATCTACATTTTTTTAGATCGGTACCTAGAAATCAAATTTTGGGAAAATTCAGACTTAATTTCAAACTTATATATTTTTAGTAATTGCACTTGCCATCATAATTGATTAGTTAGCGGTTGATATTTTTGTGGCATTGCAAAATCTCGCACACTATTTAAGTTATTCCAAAGTGCGCCATTGAAACAACATGTGCTTTGCGCAGGGTGTGGGGCTGTCGAAGGCAGGCAAGGTCCTCTCTGGAGGCAGCCACAGCCCCCACATGTTCGGCCAGGCCAAGGCCAGTGGCCTTAGCCGCAAAAGACCTGTAAAGCACAACATCAACTCTGAGAACCTGAGCCAAGGCTCTCAACCAACGCTCAGCAACCTCTGGAGCAATTTCCAATATAAAAGGTGGGCTGCTATTTTGTGAATTGAAAAAAAAAATGTATTCTTTAAAAAAGTTAATAGACAATATGAATCTTCGTGAGGATAAATCTGTTTGATTTCCTACCCAACCCGTAGGGAAACCGAGAACCTGATGTCTACAAGAAGTACGCTTCCCCTGTCGCCCGTGAAGAGCAACATCTCTGTTTGATTCTAGATTTGAAGCTTCAGTGACTGCAAGGATTCATACTCTTAGTTCTTTCGGTAAAGTCACGTAGGTAAAAAATGAAATTCAAATTAATAAAAATAAAACAATAAAAATCACGACGTTTCGGAGGCAACACAAGCTTCCGTCTTCGAAACGTAGTGATTTTTATTGTTTTATTTTTATTAATTTGAATTTCATTTTTTACCTACGTGACTTTTACCGAAAGAACTAAGAGTATGAATCTCTGTTTGAGTTTGCAAGCCAGAGAATGTTGGTGCCTTTCCCTGGCTCGTCATCATATATGCTGTATATGCTGCTGAACCACGATAGTGTGGGTTTATTTGAGGAGATAAATTGCTTGTCACATTTTCTATTTTCATTACGTTATAAAGATCCCACTTTATTATTACACTTCCAGTGACAACTAATAATTGTACATAAAGGCATTGCAAAACTGTACAGTATGCCATTTCTATTAGACATTACACTGCCTATTGGTTTACATGGTAAATCAAGCTTTTAATGGTTAAGTGAATAATTGACCGTGCATAAAACATGACATGCTCGACTGCTCGTAAAACTTAATAAAGTCGTTTTACTAGAGGGTTTCCCAATGTGTTGGCTCCATATAGAATGTGTCTTGTGAACAGGTGAGATCCACACACAAAGTACCAGTGAAATAAAACGAAATTATCTCTTGGAATATGGTAACAGGTGAAACTGGAGTTTGGTCATCATCAAGCATGATCACTACTGAATTTTGGTGCCTTTTTCCATGCTCATTGTATGCGGTATATGCTGCTGAAATACTAGTGTGTTCATTTCAGAAGATACATTGCTTGTCAATTTTTCAATTTTCCTAACCTTAAAAATATAACTATTTGCACTTACAATGACAACCGCTAATTGTACTTGAAGGCTCTGCAAAACTGCAGTACGCCATTTCTATTAGACATTGAACTGCCTATTGGTTTACCTGGTACATCAAGCTGTTAATGTTTAAGTGAATCATTGACCGTGCATAAAATAATATGCTCGTTTTACGAAGGCTTGACTGTTTGGCTTCGTATAGAATGTGTATCGTGGAAACGGGTGATATTCACAAAGTACCGGTGAGATACAATTAATCTATCTCTGGGAATATGTTAACATGTTCATCTCCTCGGTGAACGACCCTTGGGAAGCGTTACATCCCTTGGCGACCACTCCGTCATCCATTACCATTGGGTCTCATGGAGGGCAGGGTGGTGCAGTGGCAAACGCGTGTGCCTGCCTCGCTGCAAGAAGGTCTCGGGTGCCTTTGAGTGTGTAGTTTGTATTTTCTCCAACCTCTTGGGTTCTCTTGTGTTCTTCCATAGCTAAAAACAAACGCAGTATAATGTAATTGGTATTGAATTTCGATTTAAAGCTTTCGTGACCGTAGGTATTCATCTTCTTGGTTCTTTCGGTAAAGTCACGTAGAAGGGAAATAATAAAAATAAAATACAATTCTCACGACGTTTCGGCCACAACGGAAGCAGCCGTCCTCAGGTGAAGAACAGGTATATTTCCCTTCTACGTGACTACCGAAAGAACCAAGAAGATAACTGATATTGATCAAATATCCAAATGCTGAAAATGTAACTGCAAATTACTCGGCAACATCGTCCCCTACCGTCAAACCTGGCAGGAAACGAAAAAAAGTTGATAATGAAGGCTCGATCTTGATTTGAAGCTTTCGTGACTACCGGAATCCATACTCTTTGGTTCTTTCGGTAAAGTCACGTAGGGTAGAAAACTAATAGATCACGACGTTTCGATCGCAACACAAGCAATCGTCATCAGGTGGGACAACCACAGCAAAAAAAACTGCTCGCAGTCTGTTAAAATATATAATAGTTGTGTGGAAACCCTCCCCGTAGAGGCGGTTCAATCTTGATTTAAAGACTTGAAAGAACCAAAAAGTAATGAAGACTTGTGCAAACACGACGTGTCCTGCCCAAGCCGACTTGTGATGAATTGTCAATCTACGCATGCTCTTTAATTCATGTTTTATTGTTTCTGCCCCACAACGTAACCTCAAGCAACCGTTTATTCAGTATGCTTTGTGCAAGGTGCCACATTGTTCCATTTCCATTCATGTCTGACCCTGATCCATGTCATAGCAGGCAGTAATTACACTGAATACAATATATTCTCAAGGGACACCGGTAGGTGACTTCACTATCGAGTTCAGCTTCCCAAAAGCACTCCATCCCACTCTCGTCCGCCTCTTTATTTCATCATTTAGTTGATTCTGTTGCGCCTGCAATGCAGCTGCCCCGAGGTTGAAAGAAGAATGGTAACAGAACATTATGGAAATCACCGAGGTGATGACACAACGGGAGTGACGACTCAGCTTTCAGGGGGCTGCAGACTGCTGACCCCCCCCCCCCCCCCACACACAAAACCCCCTTCCCACTTCCTAAAGGATCAGCACACCCCCTTCCTTATCTTCTAAATCCTTCAAAACATGTTGGTGCAATATTCAACTGCAGTGGCTGTTTTCCTTCGGCTTTTATAAACATACGTGGGGGGGGGGGGGTGACGGCAGAAATGCACGGGAGTGGCACGCAGATTGTCTACTTGTTACTCATTACTGTTGAGCTGTCGTTCAACATTAACTGTTGTGTGTCCCCCTGGCCTGTTTAAACGAGGGCTACATTGGGTTTCTTTTGAGGAATGCTAGTTATCCACCAGCCTTATTGCCATGAGAGTTAGGTAACCATCTTTATCGTGTGTAGGGGGGGGGGGTAAAGAAAACATTCGCTCGGCGAATAATTGAAGCGTCCACCACGGGCGAGTGAGTGTGCTTTTGGTGTCCATCCAGGGGAGTCGTGGGAGTTTTAGCAGCGAGCGGCAGGAGGTTGAAGGGGGGGGGGCTCATTCGTCACGGGAAGAGCGAGAGTTGCCCGTCGCGGACCGACGGGAGGAGCGATCAAAGTGTCCCATCGCGGACGGAGGAGGAATTGGCCCGCTGGTTTGGAACGGGGCAGGGTTCTGGGGCCGGACTTTGCGCAGGAAGCGCCGTCACATGACGGCCTCGCCCGCGCCTCCACTGCAACGAACACAGTAGTGCGCGTTTGCCTCTTTCTCTCTTTAAAAAAAAAAAACTTGTATAAATCAACTTTAGTTTTGTTTTTTTGGCGTAAACTTGCGACGTTCTCAACGCCGCCGCGGCACGCACATCCCTGACTCCTACACGGGGACTCGGAACTCGCGTTGAAGACTTCCATCTGGGGGGGGGGGGGTGGTGGTGGGATAGAGAGGGGAAAAGACTGCGAACCTCGACAAAAACCGGTTCGAACGCCCTGGTGGTGCCCGGCCGAATCGGATTGCAGGAGAGAAGTTGTTGCTTTAAACCACACAGCTGCAGAAGAAGCCTGTGGCTGCAGCAGTCACGATGCAGCGTCAGGGTCGCGAGAACGAGCGGGGCCCGACAGACGAAGAGGTGAGGACGGTGGCTCGGTGATGAAGGAGGGGGTTTGTGGGTGAGGACGGCGATGAGATGAGGGTGGAGAGATGAGATGAGACGGGGCAGTAGGTGAGAGGAGATTGGAAGGGAGGGAGAAGGTGGTGGGGGTTGCGAGAGGCGATGATGGGAAGAGGTGGCTACGTGATGATCACACAATGGAGCCACGAATTATCATCCCATTGCTACGAGTTGTGGGTCGATTTGTAATGCGCGGTAATTACGTCTGCAGAGTGTAATTAACGCATTACAGCCTCTCCACCCCTCAAATTGCGAAATTGTATAGTGGCGCTCGACTGATTTCCACGTGCACATTAAAAAAAGTTACTTTGTTCGATTAATTTAATCAGCCTGAACTGGCGTAGGACGATGGTGATGATGATGGTGGTCTTCCTCTTTCGTACGGATTCATAGCAGCAGATTCAAGGTGTGATTTTAGATGTTATCCACTCGATTGTTTGTTCAGAAGCAGAGTCGATCTCGTCCATTCCTCCTTTAAAGGGGGCGAAGGCAGCAGCAGCAGCGGAGTTTACGATGTGGGTCAATGGTATTGGATTCTTGGCCGCACTCGCAAGCCGTCGAATCTTTGATAATGATGATGCAGCTGCAGTATAAAAAAATTAACCCGTAAAAACAGTTTTTCACTATAAATCCTTTATATGCGTGGCGGCTAGAGTCCTCTCGTCCTCTGGCTTGAGATGGCTGCCACCTATGGGTCAGATGATTCCCTGCCACCATTAAGCAATTGGTAATTAAATATAAAAAAAATCCTAAAAAGTGTAAAAAATTGTAAATTTTTTTCACGAAAATAAACTGTCACGCACAACGAGTCTGTGTGCAAAATGCCAGCTCGATTGTATCACGGGAAGTGGGTTAAAAAACGACCGAAAGATTTGCACGGTCGTAAGCGCGCAAGCAAGCAAGCAAGTGAACTTAATATAAATGATTTAAAACACAGAACTCACCTGCCACGCCTCGGCAGGCAAATCAGTCGTCAAGGATCATCGGTCTCCTTCAGAGTCGGCGCTGCAGGGGTACTTTGGGATTGGGCCCCTTTGGGCGGACCAAAGTTCACTCCCATTAGCGGGTCTATCATCAAGTGAATTGGTGGTGCACAGGCACAAATAATAAATTCAACGTATTCGTCAACGCACACTTTGGCCTCAAAATAAACATGTATAACTGGCGACGTTTCGGACAGTGGCCCTTCGGCATAGCACGTCAACAGAGAAGCCAGAGAGACGGAGCGGATGCATAGCTGTGAACCAACACGGTTTACTCGTATTCTTGCACAGGGAAATGTCGTTTTCAGGTCCATACGACGTACAACCGTTTCAATACGGGCAAAACAATGTTTTGTCTATTTGTTTGTTTATTTCTCCCTTGTGATGGGACTTTGTAGGATGAACGCTGAGATTTATGAGGGCACGGGGTGACCAATAAGGGTCTGAATTGGTCTGTAATAAAGTAGGCGTTGATAAGGGCTTGACAGCTGTGCCGTTATACAAATGAAGTGGCGATACCCCCGTTGGCAGCGGTGCACAGGCACAAATAAAACACTTTGGTCTTCAAATAAACACGTATTATTGGCGACGTTTCGGACAATGGCCCTTTGGCATAGCACGTAAACAGACATGCCAGAGAGACGGGGCGGATGGGAGACGACACTTGACACCATGGGGCATTTCCGCTTGCCCAGACAAGACCAACTAGAATATCTATGGGACCTTTTTTTGCCAGTATCAAAGTATATGTAAAATAAGAATAGGTGTCACCCTTTCTGGAAATAACTGCTCAAGCCGAGCTATAATGTTTTGTCTTTGTACTGTTCGTATTTTGGCGTTTTCTCGTTTGACACTGATGTTGTAAGGCCATAAAGAAGGCTCTCTCTCTTTCTGGTGTTGGCCAATCCGTTTTCAAAGACAATGCATTTATTATCAGAGCAAGTGTGTTTGCATGTTTTACCACGCGTACGTGTGGTTAATGAAGACATGATTCCTTGCAAAAGGCATCCTTACTCTTTGGTTCTTTCGGTAAAGTCACGTAGGCAGAAAAATAAATAAATAAAATCACGACGTTTCGATCGCAACACAAGCGGTCGTCCTCAGGCGGACAAAATAATCCAGCAGTGGAACTGCTGAACCAGCGAGAGAGCTGTTACAACAAGAGGTTATTTACGTGGCGATGGGCAAGCAAGCGGGGTCTGAGCTGTCACGAAAGCTTCAAATCAAGATTATTTGGTGTTCCAGCAACCACATTGTGGCCACACCATCCGAGCAGAATCTGGAGCTGGTGGTGGGGTTAACCCCCCCCCCCCTTCGCTCTTTAATCAAAGTTGTCTTCTGGTTGTTGTTGACTTGCATCCCACTGGGATTTTTGCATGGTGTACGGTGCTTTTTTCTGGAAGACTTTGCAGTTTTTTCCTGGATTTTTCTGTTTGTGCATAGTCACTTTAAGATGTTTTCTTGTTCATGTTTTTGTTTTTTGTTTGTTGCGGTTGCACCCGATTCAAGAGCCGAATGGCTCACAGGGCTATACCAAATAAATGAAACTGAAAAACTGAACTGAGCTCTTCTTCTAGATTTGAAGTTTTCGTGACTGCAAGGATCCATACTCTTTGCTTCTTTCGGTAAAGTCACGTAGGTAGAAAATCAAAACTTTTTTTTCACCTACGTGACTTTACTGAAAGAACAAACGAGTATGAGCTCTTCTTATGAGACGCGTTGACTCTTTGAGAACGACGCAGTGGCGGACGGTGAGCGCCGCGTCTGCTGAGCCACTATCGGGGTGTCCAACTCAGCCAGGGGCTTGTGTCGGGTTAATGATTGCGAGGTCACGCTGCCTTGATGCGCGCACCCACACCGAGTCTCAACGTGTGTTGCGCGCTCCTCGCTTGCTTCTACGGAACCTCCGGGGTTTATCCCACCGAATTTAGAAACATTGCGCCGAAGTTATTATTATTTTATTACACGCTTTTTATTAACTCACTCTGTTGTTGTATCCTCAAATCGTGTAACTCAATTTTTGCCCACTTCCCAATGTGGTATCGACTGCAAACTTGGTATACTTATGTCATACCAATCACAATACTATATTCTATCATAAAAAAGAAAAAACATATATTTAAAAAAAATATTTTGTATATGTTATGTTTCGGCTTGCCTCTAATTGTCCACGGTAAACTGACGTTGGCTGTAAATCACGACGGTCCCTTACGTTATGGCAAGCTTCGGGGCCACTTTCTGGAGTCGTGGAGTTCTTCCATTACTAATAGGGTACATTTCATTAAAGCGTGTTTTTTTTAAAGTTTTTTTTTATATTACTTATTTCTGTTGTTGTTTTTTTTGCCGTGATGAATGTCCGCGCGATAAGCCACTTCGTCGAGCTATCACTCGTTGCCAGGTCGTTTCAGAAAAAGAAGCTAATAACTCAGAGGGATTTAACTGGTAAGATAGCAATAGTTTAGTTTTATTTATATATATATTTTTAAAAAGTGATTTGTTTACCTGTCCACTACTTTGCACTCCAATCGTGTTTGTGTATTGTTCTTGTAACGTTTTGACCTGCCCCCTACTGGATATCTGTGAAAAAGAGCTTGTTAGCTAATCGGATTCCTCCAGGATAACTCAATATTCTGATTCTTACTCCGTCACGCGGTGAGCGAACCTCGTAACCGTTGAGGACCCACGCATATTGGTGGAAGTTCCACGTTGCTATGACGGGGCCCAGACGCACCGATTGGATAAACAAATGTTGACCGACTTCTTACACTGGGGATTACTTTTCCTTGCTGGAATTTGTGAGCAAGCGGGATTATTGTAAGTCAGGATGCTGCCGCGTCATGCCACCACCACTACACCAGTTATAAAAACGCGAATGCACTGCTGGATGAGGGCCTCCGCGTGGGTTACTTTGACCAAACTTGACCAGTGCGGGTTGGTTACACGTAGGCTTTTGCGACAAATATTATCCATAATAAATGGTTTTTTTTGGGGGGGTTAGATCGGTGTGCTGAAGTAGTAACTAATTGTCATGTTCTGTGTGCATAACAAACCTTACTCATTGGCTGTGTCGGGTGGTGGCAGGTTTAACGACACATTTATATTTACGCGATTTAACAAAAAAAAACTCTATTATGGATATTGGTCGCGAAAGCTTACGTGTTAAAATGTAACTGGAAGTGACGAAATATGCAGTGGCCAACGACATGCTATCTCCCCATGGATCGTGATGATGGTGAACTGGATGTGTGGTATTGGCCAAATATCCCAATTGGGATTACACACAGCAGTATCGCCTCCTCCGGAGAAAAATTGGCAGAGCCCTTCCTGGAAAAAGGGTCTTGATACCTTCCTGGGTAAACAGGCATCATAACAGTGATACATAACAATAACCTCCCCGTACTCGAGCCAACCCTCTGCGTATATGAACAATCCATGCCCCCCCCCCCCTCCGTTTATCCAGGTAGAGTTCAAACAGGTCCCTGCGGGGTGGGCTGGTAGGAACGAATAACCAAAGAATATAAACATAATGTATTATTACACTTGTTTAGCCAGGAAAGCCTCACTGAGTGTAAAGGTTTTTGTAGGGTCCTGCCAAGTGTTTGCAGTAGGGGGCGATGTTGCTACACGTAACCGGACATCGGACGGACGGATGATATAATCTATTGTAGGCTGGTTCACTTCGTTCCTACCAGTATAACTTCTTGCATGAGTGCAGAGAGCTGCTGCTGCTGCCACTGTGTGAATGCAAACACTGTCAGCAAAGGCGACTGAGCACAGACATGTGGAACACATCACACGGGGCAAGCACCGTCTGCCCTGGTGAAACGTACACAGAGACAACATGCGACCATTCGATTGCCTAGAGTTAAGTGCACACAAGATTATTATTTGTTCTACACAGCCATAGCGCAATTTGTATAGGCATTGACAAACAAGACGGTCGTCCACATAGTGTGTACGTACGCGACAGAGCACGTGTACATAACCAGCATTGTCTGACAGCTGTTGATGTAAGGGTCACTTGGCGACTGCACACATACTACCTGCCATGTAATGTTACTGTCACAAAGTGAATAAACAGGCGCTACGCCTCATTCCGAAACCCGTATTACCACATGACACGTTTTTCTAAAGGTTTTTTTTTACATCCCATCGGTCCAACCCATCTTCTGGGAGTGAATTTTCGATTTCTGAGGAGACACTCAATGTCAAAACAGGTTCATAGTTTTGTTGTATTAAATAATTACTGCTGAAAAAGAAGTTACTCCGCAGAAGGTTGTGGTGGCCGACAGATCTGTAAATTAGAATTAAATTTATGTTGCACAGATACGAGTAGGAGGCGTATTGTCCAAATTATTTATTTCGATGCTTATATTCTCCACAACGACGCTGATGATCACGTGGTGTGATGTAATAGGCACGTTTCCGACCGAGTTCCCACCGTAGCAAAGACGAAAGGGGTGGGATTAGGGACGGTGCGTGGTTGGGTAAGTCTGCAGGCAGCCGAGATCCGTGTGCTGTGTGTGGTGACCGCTGCCTCCCTTCCCCAGGCGTTCCAGCTCGCCGCCGCGTATGTCTCGGACGCGCAGTTTGCGCGAAACATCCCCTTCCAAACGGCCCGCCGCTGCATCTGGTCAGCAAATGGCTCAGCTGAGTTATTATTTTGTTGAAAAAATATAACCGCAGTGTCATTCCGCAATAGTGAAATTGAACCTATCATCAACGTTACCAAATGATAATGGCGCAACTGTTAAAATTCTAACGCATGACAATAGTACATTTTGATTAATACTGATATGTAACACGATTTTTGTTCCTGGGTACTAAGTGTTATTTTCTAATCGCTTATGCCTCAAAAGTATAGAAAATGGCTATTATTCCCCACAAACGTTGTTTTTGTGATCAGGACTTTATGTGAAGGAATGGCACAAATGCACACGCTTTCTCATTGAAAATAGGTACATTTCTAAATATCACTGTCCTGGTCACAAAAGCAAAATTTGTGAGGAATAATAGCAAATTTCTGTACTTTTGAGGCATAAGCAATTAGGAAATAACATTTACTACCCAGGAACAAAAATAATCATTTTGTTACACACATCGTTCATGAATATAACAATGATCTTAATATGATGTTATGAATTCTCACAGTGATAATCAGGTAATTCGTATTAACATGATAGTAATATATTTTAGCTTACATTCACAATCTTTGCATTCATACATATTGCTAATGCCAATAATAAACCCACGAAATGTGATCTGTGCCATGACCCCAATCAGGTACTACCGCCTGTACACGCGCTGGGTCACCTGGGGACCCATGTACATGTTTCTGGCGCTGAACCTGGCTCTGGCCTTCCTGGAGACCCCTGCTAAGCCTCAGCTGGAATCACCTCTCTGGGTAAGGCATACAAGTCCTAACATCACTTAACTTATTTTATATTATCACCTAGGAAGGCCTCACCGAGTCTCAACTTAGTTTCATGAGGGTCCTACTGCAGGATGCTTTCACATTCTTTCGATGTTTTAAGCCAAGTTATTGAGCATATTTTGTGGCCCGTGGTGCATCCTGCAATACTCTATGTTGCCTGCCAAAAGATACAACTTTTCCACAGACCAGTCGGTCGAGCTTTATAAAAACAACTGTACAGTACACTGTAATCAAATTCAACACATTGTCACCAGATCTTGGTATACATTACTTCCTGCCACCGAAACACAGATGCTAACCCTTTGGCCGAGACATTTCGAGATACAGATTAGTTAGGTGAAAGATACATAACCAAGAGACAGAGATGAGAGAGCTGAATCCAAGAGATCGAGATTAGCGAGGTGCAAGCGACATCAGCAATTGGAAGAGATGAGAGACAAAATATAGAGAGGTTATGGCGTCACGGCGCTGTATGCCGCCATAACGTTCGATGTCATGTGGCCCAACGACGCACACAAATGTATTATTAGTCTGTCAGCCCAGACTCGATATTTCACCTGTTGGTACCACCCGAGGGTCGCAAAACCTTAGTGGTTCCAATTTGTTTCTGTGGCCAACAGCTGTGAATGATGTGAAAACCAATTTAAATGAGTTATCAAATAATTAACTTTTATCATCCATAGCAATAAATCGGTGCTACCTTTGGCGGTACTGCCTGCTGCTCTGGACCATGGGCTATACGTGTGGCCCACCAGAAAAATCTAGTTTAAGAACCCTGCTCTACTTGATTGATGCTGCCTGCAGCCGCTAAGGCCGACGCATGACCCCAGCGCTGGCCGCCCCTGCGCAGGTCACCATGCTTCTGGAGAGCCTCTGCCTCGTGGCCTTCTCGGTTCGCCTCGTGCACCTGGCGAAGTTCACGGAGCGCAGCGTGTTTTGGAAGGACCCCAAGAACATTTGTGTCCTCGTCACCATTATCGTAAGTGGTCAAGGTTGAACGTCTTTCACGTGCCTTTATAAATGTCTGCCCATGGGCTATTCCCAATCATCATCTCCTACGATGGTAGGGCTGTGAGTCCAAGTGTTTCCAGCAGGTCCCGTTCTTAGAGGGGGTTTCGCCCAGAAATGTTACGCCTTCATGAGCTGTGTTTCCCTCGCAGATGTTTGTATGTTGGGTTTTTTAAAAATAACACAAATGTCTGCTCATTAAATAATTATTTTTCGTTGATTGCTGGAACTTTTTCTACAAAAGCGAGGAGCATAAAATGTATATTGTTATACCGCACAGTTACCTTCCGTGCAGATGACTGAGGCTACCGTGTGGTTGTGCCTCAAGTTTATGTTAGCAGTAGATGCTTTCCTCTCTAGTAATATGACCATTTTCATTTCTGTTCAACCCCAGAGTGGTAATTGAGTCATCAGAGTATACAAAAAACAACAGTCATTATTATACTCTACATCAGAATTCCCTTTATTTATTCATAAAAGCCTAGCTAAACCACTATTATTTTTCAGTCTTGAGGCTCAACGGCTAATTCTATCAATGGGTGTCTGGCATGTGGGAGGAAACCAGAGAACACAGAAAAAAAAACCCATGCATTTAAAGGGTTAACACTTAAAGATATGCACTCAAGGAACAAACTAATCCACTTGCCGTACTGCCAAATTCATGACAGCCCAGTGAGTTGGGGAGTTTCAAAAATCTGCATGATCCACAAACCCTTGCCTCCAAAGTGGCCGACCACAGCTGCCACTGCTGCAGGACCTGTGGCTGCCGTGAGTTCTGTTCACGAGGCCGTCTGTCCAGCAAAGCGAATGTTTGCGTAATGTCTTCCCACTGCCGCAGCTGACGGTGATCGACATGGTTATTTACGTTGCGCTCACGCACAGCGGCTATTACATCGTGAGGTGGTCGCGAGCTCTCCGGCCGCTCTTCGTCATCAACTTCAGCGAGAGCAGGCAGGTGAGAGCCCAACTTGAGGCCGGAACTGTCGACATCTCTCTCACTCTCTCCGTGTCTGTGTCGGTGCCGTGTGCCCTTTTTTCCGTCTCGAGGTCGTGACATTGTGCTGTGTGCTTCGGGTGTGCAGCTGCGTCGCTCGTTCCGGAACATTCGACGAACACTGCCGGAAATCCTGGGCGTGCTGGTGCTCTTCCTCTTCAGCATTGCCATATTCTCCCTCATGGCCTTCAAGCTCTTCGGGAAAAGGTGTCGGCACACTCGGATCATTCTTTCAATATCTGCACATTACGGTCATTGAGACCGGGGCTTAATTCAACCTGGTCTGTCTGGTATACTGGATGTGACACGCCACATCCAGTCGACCTATTTTCTTTTGTCTGTGGCTACAAGTTCGGTCTTCTAGTGACCCAGAAAATGCTCGGTGGGAATGTACATCCAAAATTATACAGGTAGGAACAATATGTTCCACACTGCCCACCAGGGATTTTTTGTCTGTCTGTCTGTCGTGCATAAATATAAATATATAATATAAACAGCCGTTTGATTGTTGGAGACCTACTGTCGGGTACGGAGATGGGAGGTGCCTAAGGAAGGGGGGGTCAGGGGAGGGGCCTAAGGATATGGGGGGGGGGGGTGGTCAGGGGAGGGGCCTAAGGATATGGGGGGAGGGTCAAGGGAGGGGCCTAAGGGAGGGGGGTCAGGGGAGGGGCCTAAGGGAGGGGGGTAAGGGGAGGGGCCTAAGTAAGGGGGAGGGGCCGATAGTTAAGGGGGCTGGCTACCTGGCTGGCTGCCTGGCTACCTCAAGTCACGTGATCTTGTATACAGGTAGGAACAACAGGTTCCACACTGCCCACCAGGGATTATTTCTCTGTCTGTCGTGCACAAATGCGCTGTCCAACCAAGTTCCTACCTGCCCACTCCGAAGGAACGTGTTATGGTTGCAAATTTTCTACTCGTTGAATGGGCTCGAGAGAGTTGCCCTGTCTGACACGCACTATTGTTTCATTTCAGACATTTGATCACAGGCGAAGGGAAGCCGTACTTTCAGAACTACTTGAATATTTTCTTTGAGCTCTATGTGCTGGTGACGACGTCCAACAGCCCTGACGTCATGTGAGTTGCAAGGCAAGGGGCGCTTGCTCGACACCCATGTCGTATGCATGTTGAACTTCTTTCGCACCATACACAGCCAACCGTGCTAATCGGAGATGCAGGGGAAGGACAGCAAACTATACACGAAAACCAGTTCTAGAGAAATTAGTCTTCAATTTCGATTTAAAAGTGCATAGCTCCAGTGGCTTCCTAATATGTTGAGATCCATGACACAGTAGATACATGGCTCCACACACTCAGTGAAGGGCACACAGACCAGGCTGACTCAAGACAGCCTGGAGCGCAGCAGATAGATGTTGATTTAAGCTCGTGCGCAGCAACAGCAGCAACTGGCAGCACAGGCGTACTGAGTAAGGCCGTTGCTGCCAAAGAAAGTGTATTTTTTTGGAATTCGGATAAATTATAATGTAAACAATCATAATGTGTTTTACTTAACAATAAAAGCCACACTGAGTCTCAAGACTATTTTCTCAAGGGGTCCTAAATTGGAATGTATGGCCGATTTAATTTCAGGAAGTTTTGTGTGGAGAAGGAATTGGGAAATACCCAGCGAAACACCACTCCTACAAAGATATAACACTCAAACATCCACACGTGGGTTTCACAAGCCCACTTCCTGGGTTTTGTGCTTTTACAAATCTACGAGAGTCACTGACCCCCTCGCTTCGAAATCGCCGGATCACAGCAGGCGTGCGTCACCATTCCCAGGTCAGCGTTTCTGCTCCTACTGACGTCGTTTTACCACCTTCAATAAATTTAACGAGCAGGTTTTTTGAATTGCCAAAATGAAACTCAATGCACGGTTCGTTAGATTACTCACGTCACTTTACCATACACCAAGCAATCTTAATAACAAGTCGCTGAAGTTCACTCGCATGCACAAAGACCCCCCCCCCGTATAGACTTAACAGACTGTTGAGGCAAGTGCTGTTAGCGAGCACCTATAAAGGCTAAGACAGAATACGGGGGGGGGGGGGGTGGGTGGCCAGCACCACGCCTCGCCACTTTAGTCTCCCTAGTGGCGATGTTTACACGCCTCACCAGGTACGTATATTGAGGCCGAGTCGACCTAGGGGAGGCCCAAGAGCGGTTAAGATAATAGTCACTGATGGTGGCCGTGAGCAGAAATCAAACACCGGGTATCCGGGTTCGAAGCGCAGGGCATTAACCACTTCGCTACCACTCCTCATTCTCGCACGCACGCACACACGCACGCACAGACGCACGCACGCACACACACGCACGCACGCACGCACACAGACGCAAACGCATATCCCCCCGCTACGACCACCTTCAAATGTGAATTCATCGTCGGCAGGATGCCAGCCTACAACAGCAGCAGCTGGTATGCCATTTTCTTCATCATCTACATCGTGGTGAACACCTACCTGTTCATGTCCATCTTCCTGGCGGTGGTCTACAACAACTACAGGAAGCACCTCAAGGTGAACACGCGCTGGGTCCGCACGCACAACCCCGGACGGCCGGCGCGCACGGGGCCAGTCCCAGTTTGACGCCCCTCCGTCGCAATCCTCGATTGTCGCATACTGCCGAGCGTTCGCGGTACACGTGCATTACCAGGGGGCAACGGTTACGGGTAATTGATCAGTGCGACGGGTACACAGTGAAGCAAAACTGTGCCATGTGAACTTTGTCATTTGTAAATCAAAGCTGAATTCAATCTTAACTTTGGAGCTTTCGTGACTGCAGGAATTATTCTTTGGTTCTTTCGGTAAAGTCACGTATAAAGAAAAAATAATAAATTAAATAATAACATACGACGTTTCGATTGCAACACAAGCAATCATCATCAGGTATAATGAAATAGCGACATAAAATCTAACCAGAAAAAATTATAGACAGACATATAAGCAGACAGATATCACCAAGATACACACAGCGGGCAACACAGGTACAGAGAGGGGTGATCGTCTCTGTGGGGTGGCCTTAAATAGTGTGTCTCTTTCTCTCCCTAAGCCTGCTCACTCCTTTTTGTTGTACTCATTGACATGTAAATTTTGTCTCTAACCCCTGCCTCTCGCTGCCTCCACCCCCCTCTGTCTATTTAAGGCCACCCCACAGAGACGATCACCCCTCTCTGTACCTGTGTTGCCCGCTGTGTGTATCTTGGTGATATCTGTCTGCTTATATGTCTGTCTATAATTTTCTCTGGTTAGATTTTATGTCGCTATTTCATTATACCTGATGATGATTGCTTGTGTTGCAATCGAAACGTCGTATGTTATTATTTAATTTATTATTTTTTCTTTATACGTGACTTTACCGAAAGAACCAAAGAACAAAGCTGAATTGTGGGTAATTGGAATCATCTTCTTGGTTCTTTCGGTAAAGTCACGTAGAAGGGAAATAATAAAAGAATAAAAATAAAACATAATAAAATATAATTCTCACGACGTTTCGGCCACAATGCAAGCAACCGTCCTCAGGTGAAGAACAGGTCTGTCAGAAAGACAGCGTCTGAATGAACACCACCAAGCTTGGCAGCGTATATTTAAGCTGGGTTAGGGGAGGAAGGGCGCCTTGACAAAGGAATTTGCATATCAACAAAGGAATTTAGCATATTTATGGGAAATGCAGATATGGGATTAGTCACTACTTGTGGAATGCGTAGGAGGTGGGGGGGGGGGTCTCAAAGTCATATTATGCCCGTGCATTATGTAGGATTAGCAGCAACAAAGGGAGGAGGTAAGGTTAGCAGTAATAAAGGGAAGGAATTTTAATAGTAAGAAGCTGCAGCAGCCAAACCACCACGTAAAAAATTGGAATGTTTAGTATTTAGCAGAAGTATCTCAGGCTCAGAGATTTAAACTTAGCCCCCCTCCCCGCCAGCATGAGAGAGGATATTCCATGTGCACGTCACTACAAGAGGAAGTGTTACCGCGGTGTGTGCGAGCAGGTCACCTCTAACCAACATCGCTCGTGTCTTAACAAAAAATGAAGCCTTAACGATGACTATGATGATCTTGATTATGATAACGATAAATATAATGATCTTGATAACGATGACTATAATGACCTTGATAACGATGACTATAATGACCTTGATCTTGATAACGATGACTATAATCATCTTGATGATGATAACGATGACTATAATCATCTTGATGATGATAACGATGACTATAATGACCTTGATCTTGATAACGATGACTATAATGACCTTGATCTTGATAACGATGACTATAATGACCTTGATGATGATAACGATGACTATAATGATCTTGATGATGATAACGATGACGACGTGAAGGACAAATGGGATCAATGTGCATTTTGCATTCTTCAGAATGAGGTTCGCAACTCGGTGTTCAGCAAGCGGCGGACGATGGCCAAGGCATTTGGGATCCTGCGCGAGCGGCTCGGGGAGGGCTGGGCGGTGAGCCAGCACAGCTGGATGCAGCTGGTGGGGATGGCAGTGCCGAGCATGAGCCAGGCCCAGCGCCTGCTGCTGTGGCAGGTGTCTGACGAGGAGCACACGGGGCACATTGGTAAGTCTTGCGCATGTAGCCACTGCTGGGGCAAAACATCGTGCTGTCAGTGAGCACCGATTAAGGCTGGCACGGCACACGAGGGGATGGCGTGGCCGGAACCATGGCCTGGCCACCTCCATCTCCCCAGTGCCGATGTTTACTCGCCACGGCAGGTACTCGTCAACCTATGGGAGGCCTAGGGCCAGTTTAGATACGACTTGTCACTGATGTGAGCTGTGGCTCCCGTAACAATAATGTTATTATTGTATCTATTATTGTATTTATTACTTAATTTAGTTTATATTTAGTGTCTTGAGCAAATGGTGGCTATTTAACATTCATATGGATGGGAATCAATCGCCATATATTCAACAAATACTGCACAAATCGCCAGGGCCAAAGTGCAATCGTGCTTTATTCTTGTTACACAAGTTACGTTTGCGTGATTTCGTTATGGCGGTGCGCGTTCACGTGCGTTCACCCGGCGCCGTGTGGCAGGCAAGCAGGCGTTCGTGCGGCTCACCGATCTACTCAACATCGAGGTCATCGAGACGAGGGGGCGGCAGCACCCCCTGCAGAGCTGTGCCCCCCGCGTCTACAGCTCCGCCGCAAGCCAGGCCCTGCGTCACGTCGTACATCACAGGTCGGCGCGATGCTACGCGTCTCGTGCCCCTTCCACTGAGTCGATCGTAATCATCATCATCATCATCGTGATTTTTGTGTTTAGTTTGTTGTCTTTCGCCTGCCCCTCCGATTAGCACGGTTGACTACGTACGGTGTCAAAGAAGTTCAACATACATCTTCACCATGATACGACGCTGCTGTGTAAATGTACACAGCCCTTTTGTCAGTTCACTGCTGGACCAGTTTAGACATCGCCACTCATGCAGGCCATGACAAGGAAGCAAACTCAGGTTGCCCCCCGGTTCCGAGCGAAATGCATGAACCACCACACCACTGCTCTGCACCATTGAGAATAGCCAACTTACAAAATTATTCGGAATTGGTTTATTTTGGGTGAGATCGTGTAGGTATGATATCAGTGAGAGCCGCCGTACGTAGCCAACCGTGCTAACCGGAGATGCGGGATACATATCACGTGGGCAAATGCGCGAATTTGCTTTTCAGCAAAAGTTTTGACAAAGTTTATTAAAATTGTCGAGTTTTGCTTTCTTTCTAATTGCCATTATACATAGGTGATCCAACCCGAAGGAATCCAATTGTCAATCGTAATATTGGTCGTGAAAGCCTGTGTAAGAATGAAACTCCTAAAACATTTGTAGAGTGCAGGTCGCCAATACTTGCCTTGTCGATTGCACCGACCTTGTCGTCCTGCCATGTAACAGGGCTTTTGCCTGGTTGCTTGTAAATAGGAAACGTGTTTAGATCATTTGGCTGCTATCATTTTCGACATAAGCCACTTCGTTGAGATATCATTTGTGGCCAGGTCGCTTCTGAAAAAAAAGCTAATAGCTCAGTGGACTTTACCTGGTCAAATACAAAATTTGTTCAGTTTTGTTTCTTTTTTGGTGATTTGCTGAACTTTCATATACTTTGCACTCCTATCATATTTTTGTATTGTTTGTTATTGTAACATTTTGACTAACCCCTACTGCACATCTGTGAAAAAGAGCTTCATAGCTCATCGGATTCCCCCCCGTATAAATAAATATTCCGATTATGGTCCTCGGTAATCACGAGCCATCTTGCCGAATCGGCGCAGGTTTTTCCGCTACTTCTTCGATGGGGTCATCCTGCTGAACGCGGGCTTCATCGCGGGTGACGAGGCGAGCCTGGTGATCCGCCAAGCTGAGTGGCTCTTCCTGGGCCTCTACGTGCTGGAGATCTTGCTCAAGCTCTACACGTACGAGCCACAGACCTTCTTCTCACGCAGCAACTTCTGGAACTGGCAAGTGAAACAAGCTTCATCCCGTGGTGCATTGCACGGTCTGCATTCATTCCACAGTAAATCATACACACCCTTCTCGCAAGGGTGGTGTGGAGTGCTCTCATTAAGGAAGATGAGTGGGGCCGTGTTACGATTCTGCAGCCCTGTTCAGAATCATAAATTGACCAGAACAGATGCAACCCTTGATGAGACCTCCTTTGCCAGTAACAAGATATAGTAATAGGTTTTTATCTGGCACCAAAACTGACACCTTTATACAAGGGATCATGTTTGCAATAACCACAACACAAGCAGTCAAAATGCAAACAAAAATAGACAACTCTGATAATGATATGCACTGTCCTTGAAATTGATTGGTCCACACCCGAGACGGCTTTTCTTAGAGCCTAGTTTCCACTGGTGTTGGACCAGATGACGCCAAAAGGCGTACAACTCAAAAACAGCGCACTATCAGAGAATTGAGAGCTTGGGGTAAGCATTTACTAGATGCAATCCTATTTAAAATAATAGATAAGTTCTATTTATAACACCCACAACATTTGATGCAGCGAGCCACGAACACAAGTCAAGACGTGGCCCATGGCACTACAAGACTGGTCTGGGTCAATTCCATGACCCCGCCTGGAATACTTTTCGACCACGTGTCCTCAAGTCGCCCCAATAAAGGCTGGCCAGGTGACGTGCGTCTCTTTCTCTGCCCGTGTGACTCCACTTTGCCGCACAATAATCTTTATTTTTAAATGCAGGTTTGACGTGATGATCGTCGTCTCGGCTCTACTTGCAACGATCATCGTACATTCCAGTGAGTAAACAATCACGGCTCATTCATGGCTAAAGGATGACACGCACGTTATTATGACTGCTTTAATATTATATTATAGTACGTGAACACATCTGTGGGAGGTCAAAACCCTTATTCCCTGCTATGGTAATGCAGTTGTGGGTTTAATCATGACTGTTTATGAAGGCTACAGAATATATTGTTGAGAAGTGCTAGTATTTGATGGGTGATATATGTAGCCAGATTCAAATTGAACATGCATTTGAACCCTCACTTAAAGGCGCAGTTATGTGAAATATGAGCATCCGTTCAGTGAAATATTATATCAAATACCCAAAAAAATACTCAATGACATTTACTTTCGCGTTATGGAAAGAGTCATTTTAAATCTCTATTAATAATATGTGCAACTGTGTGTTTGGTTTTGTCTTACTTTTGCACTCATATAATTACACTTGGCTGCAGTTAATTATTATTATTCAGTGAATTATATCAGTGTTAGTGATCCAATTCAATTTGTGGATTCTGACTTAATATTTTACTCTCCCACCTGCTCAATGTACGCGGTTTATTGAAACTTGACCCAGGTTTCGGGTTGAGACACTTCTAATCGCAATAGGTGTTTACCGCCTCCTAAATTAATCCAATCTATAATCCCAACAAGCACCAGCAGTAACCCTCCTATGGCCTTGCATAGCGCTGCGCGTAGCGCTGACATCAGCGATGAATGTTTCCATGCCTCCTCATTGCAGTACTATCTCTCACAATCACCCGTACATTCGGGGGATAATGCAATTGTCTTGTCAGAGGATTATGATGAACCTGCTTCTACGGGAATCTATTTTTTATTACAGAAGGAGGCACGCCAATAGCAATGCGGGTTTCGGTTACTGCCGTGTGGATCGAGTAAGCTTACAGGAGTCTTGACCGCCTCCGTTTCGTTTTTTCCAGCCACGTCCAGCACTCAGATTTTGGACTTCTTGCTGATCATCCGTGTGTTGCGGTTGTTGAGGATCGTTGAAAGTTTTGAGCGGTGAGTTGTTAGGGAAAAGCCAAGTCGCGTATATTTAACGGTCTAAATCTCGGACAGACACAGGGTTGTCTGCAAAAGCATAATTATACTGGTAGGAACCTCCTGGTTACACCAGCCCACAGGGGATTATTGTGTCCGTCCGTCGTGCATCAAAAAATGGGAGGGGTGGGGCTGGGTGGGGAGGGGCTGGTAACCCCGTGGTGCCCTTAAACATTTAACCTACTCACGCTGGCTTGTGCCCGCCCTCACAGTCGGGCATATTTGCGGAATACACCACGCTGCCGTTGACCCTGGCCATTGACCGAGCAACCCAACGTCCCTTCGCAGGAATGTGTTTTGGTCAATCGCGATTTCCCCCACCCCCACTACCTCACAATTTAACGAATCGTTACAGTTCGGGGTTTGCGGTTCTTGTTTCTATTGTGGTCAATGTGGCGCCATCTTGTGGCCAGCAGGGGTCAAATTAACCCAAAACAAGGTAGCAGTAATACTAATAACCATAATTTACAGGTACCGAACAATGCACCAATCGAAAGGAATTGATCCTTACACGCATGATTCGATGCATATACGGCCAGCAATCGAATCATTCTTAATCTATGACCTCATGCATCGTTATTCCCATAACAATTCTGATAATTAGTGTGACAACGATATTTCAGGTGTTATTATTTTCATTCACTCTTGATATTGAGTTTTTGTGTTAATTCTGCAGGCAAGGAAGGGTGTATTGCACAGAAATGTTTAACGTTCGTCAGGCTACGTCACTCACAACTCTGTCCTCGCCCTGCCACATACGGCAGTCACTGCAGACAAGTAAATGTAATTGCTGCCGATTTATGGTCTCGCCACAGATTCCGCGTGGTGATTCACACCATGATCAACATCGGCCCCACTATGGTGACGTACGCAGGGCTCGTCATGGTGAGAGTGATTGTGGATTGCCGACCAGGCCGTTGTTCATAATAATGATACCAATTATTTACCCAGCAAAGCCTGACAAGTCTCAAGACACTTTTTTCTTTTATAGGAGAGTCGTGCATTGGGATGTTTGGCCAATACTATTTACGAGTATTCGGATTTTTGTTGAAGTCAAGCTACATGGAGAAAACCCAAGCATACAAGGGGATAACATTGCTCTGCACAGCATTATTGATTCCACATACACTAAAATCTGCTGAGTGGATAAAATCTACGTCTGGAGCAAACGCCATTGCTGTACTACCATCTCCTGGTACCTCAGCACTTCTAGGCATATGCCTACAATATCTGGTATGTTCATGCGTTCACTACAACACTAGACAAGTTCAAACCTGCTTAGCTTCCAAGATCCAATCAGTACGGGCACATTCTTGATGATTGGGCAGTAGCTCTCATTGGTACGCCCCCCTCCGTTAACCGAGTTTACTAAAGTCACAATAATACAGACACATCACATGCCCCCCCCCCGTCTCGAGTCAACGCGTAAATGTGCGAGTGAGTCATTCGTTTCATGCTGCGTAGGAGTGTGTTTTGTCACTTGCTACGTGGAGCGGACATTCCCCGCGCACATAAAAACATTTCTCTTGCACAGTATCCATGCTGCAACCTGCACCCTTCCGTATACGGTGGCGGAGCCAGGGCTGGTGCCGGGGGGGGGGGGGTGGACCTGGGGGGGGGGCGTACACCCCCACAGGTCGTCTTTGCTGGGCTCCTGTGATCAGAGGCGCGTGCAGCAGGCCACCTCTGACAGGCCACCTCGTCCCGCCCCAGGTGTTTTACTACACGTTTGCCATCCTCGGGATGGAGCTGTTCCAGGGAAAGATCCGATTCTTTCCGGCTGGGAGCTCGGACGCTCAGCCGTTCTGCGGGAACCCCCTGCTCAATGGCTCCAAGTTCTACAACGAGAAGTACTGCAAGAACAACTTCAACGATCTCTCCTCCTCCTTCGTCCTGCTGGTGGAGCTCACCGTGGTGAACCAGTGGCATGATATCCTCCCTCTCGCAGCCCCCACGCGAGTTATTATGTGGGGGGGGGGGGGGGCGGGAGATGTAGGCCCGGTTGATGATTACCTCGTTCGAGAAAGTCGGTTAAAATCGAATTAATTATAAACCCAAGCTTAAGCTGCCATAACGAAGCAATCTAACGCATTCTATGTGTCTTCCTGAACAAACACCCCTTTCCATAATTTGCTTTTCAATACAACTCTCTGTCTTATATCTTTTCATACACAGCACCTTAGAATGTGCCAAGGTGTATTGGGAATTAGGTTCACATTATTGACAAAACGTCCAAAGACCGTAGTTGCTGTTAACCAATAGCTTCTCTCGTAGGTTAGTTGGCATGGTTTATAGTAGTTCTGGGAAAAGTACAACGAGAGGCTTTAGAAATGTTTGAGGTTGATCTCCTTGACGCAAGCACTTCTCGCCAGCGGATTTGTGGCCGTTACCAACGTAGGAGCCAGGGTTTACTTCATCCTCTTCCACATGATCGTCGTCATCTTGGTCATCAAGTGAGTTTGCTCCTCTACGGCGACGCATTTTGATAACAAAAAAGTTTTTTAGCATCCTGCATTTCTCTTGCCCAGAGTCAAGTAGCTCAATGCCGCGTGCTGCGCGTACGGGTTCCCTTTCCAGCATATTCATTGCCTTCATCCTAGAGGCATTCATCCTGGAGTACACGCTCGACAAGGGCGAGACGGAGTCGGCGATAGAAAAGAAGATCCAGGAGTTGGGCTGGGCATCGCCGAGTGAGGCTCTGCGCGACACCCCGAAGCAACTCAACACAGCCCGAGCTGGGCGGCTCCGTTATCGGAGAGGAGCGTGCACGCAACCCCGCGTCATGGACGACGGATGAGAAATGATCATCCAGGCTGTTCGGTCCTTGAGATTAGCTCTATTTAAAATTAATGCGTACAATTTACAGGTATGATGGTAAGCCAGATCAACTTCAACTCTGAACATTACAGCAGAGGAAGTGGGGGGTGGGGGAGAGCAGTGGCACAGTGGTTTTTAAACTGCGCTATGGCTGGTTACCAAAGTTTGATTACCGGTCACGGCTAATATCTGAACCGGTTCTGCCCCCCACGCCCTCACCAATCCATGGTGGTGAGATGTTAAGTCCCTCGCTTGGTATGCAGGAGGGTGTGGCTTTATCCTGACCCTGACGCCTGTATATTAGGAGTTTCCATGTTCTTCCCGTGGTCGTGTGGATTTTTCTCAGGGTCCTCCAGTTTTTTCTTCCACATTTGGAATCCACATGCATTTTGAGTATTTGGCTGCTATACATTTCCACACGATAAGCCACTTCGTTGAGCTGTCATATGTGGCCAGGTCGTTTCTGGAGAAGAGCTACATAGCTCAGTGGACCTTACCTGGTAAAATAAAAAAAATGGTAAACATTATTTTAAATGTTGGCATATGCACCACAATAATAGGTTGTTATTGGGTTTTTTTTTCAGTATGGCTCAGACTGTAGGCCTGGCGTGTCCTTTACAGTACATGACTTCTCCAGAAGCTGGCAGACCAATAGATGTTGAGTAGTCACATCCATTAGAGCTGTAAAAGGTAGTGGGCCTTACCTGGTAAAATAAAAAATAGTTTTAGTTTCTAGTTTAGCAATCCTCACAGGCCAGCGTGGTGGAATACGGTCAAACCTCATGACCGACAGTGTGGGGATCCCTTCTTCCGGCAGTGGATTGGCAGAGGGTTGTGAATAATAATAATAATGGGGATGTGGCAGCGATGGCCTTAGATGCAGGAGGAAAAATTTCGTTTCCCGAGCCACAGCTGCCTTCCCAGGGAGGACGCGGCGGGTAACGGCATGGTGCTCGTCGACAACATGGAGACGCAGGACCAGGAGCCGAGTGGCGTGGAGACCAGCAAGCCCGCCGGCAGCCGCATCATGTTCAAGATATCGGACAAGCGTACGTGCTGCTCCCTCAAACCGATGACGCCACCCACGACGTTGCCCCTGTTAATGTAGCAGCAGCGCAGAGAGAGAGTCTGCGGAATGTGTTTTCCCGGGAGTGAAACTAGAGTTGGGAAAGCTACAGACCATGGGCCGATACAGCCTGCTCATTCATTTCATACGGCTCGCGTCCACACGGGGCCTACCATTCCGAAACCATCCAAATGATATTTTATCTGTCACTGCAAGCATATTAGCCGCACGCATCCGGTACTGGATTGGAATATTTTTGACGTGGCAACAGCGCGTTTCTAATTTGAGCACGCTCAAGTCTCACGTTCGTCACCGCAAGGGCCTCTTGCAGTGACAAAAGTGGTTGAGGTCCATGTGGTCATGTGTGGTCCACTGAAGGTACCATATTTGAAAGTCACATTCGGCTCTCAGTAAGGAAAATATTACTTAGCTGCAGCGTGTGCAAATTGCAAGATCTGACCAGATCTGTCCAGTGCTCGTCAAGCTGCATTGCTCTCGGGTTGCCGAACAAATACATTATGATGTCGCACTCGTTACACACAAAATGCTTGCCACAAATGAACCACAATACCTCGCTGATCTCGTCAAGGAGCATAAACTCCAGTCATCCACGCAGCAGCTTTTGGCTGGCCATTCAACAAAGATGGTCACTGCATCGCGCGCTTTCAGATGCGATTATACGGCCGTTGTCCTCCTGCACCTCCGATTAACACGGTTGGCTATGTACAGTGTGAAAGAAGTTCAACATACATAACCCACTTTGAGTGGCAGATTTGTGCGAGAAAGGCACCAACGTATGTAATGACGATGTATGGTGAACTTCTTTCGCACCGTACGTAGCCAACCGTGCTAATCGGAGGTGATGATGAACGACTGCGAGTGGAACGCGGTGCGAGATTCGTATGATCACTGGAGTGTGCGTGGGTGTGTGCGCGTGGGTGTGCGCGCGTACGTGGGTGTGTGTGCGCGCGTACGTGGGTGTGTGTGCGCGTGCGTGGGTGTGTGTGCGCGTGGGTGTGTGTGCGTGGGTGTGTGCGCGTGGGTGTGTGTGCGCGTGGGTGTGTGTGCGCGTGGGTGTGTGTGCGTGCGTGGGTGTGTGTGCGCGTGGGTGTGCGCGCGCGCGTGGGTGTGCGCGTGCGTGGGTGTGTGCGTGGGTGCGTGGGTGTGTGTGCGCGTGGGTGTGTGCGTGGGTGCGTGGGTGTGTGTGCGCGCGTGGGTGTGTGTGCGCGTGGGTGTGTGCGTGCGTGGGTGTGCGCGTGCGTGCGGCGCAGGCTACAGGACGGTGGACACGCTGCTGCAACGCATGTTTGAGGAGGAGCTGGCGCCGGAGTACGAGGGGCCGTGTGACGAGCACGAAGACATCGACGTCAGGCCCCAGCAGCTCACGCTGGACAACCTCGTCTAGGCAGGAGCCGGCAACGACGCGAAGCGAGGACGACGGGCGTAGCGGTGGCGAGGGTGGAGTTCTGGGTTGGAGGTTCGTGGCTGAGTAGGCCAATGGTCTTTATAACCACTGAAGCTGAACGAAACTCTCAATGCAAGCGTAACTCGCAAACGGGGTGGCACGTGTTCACAATTGGAAGCCACTTATGATGAGAGAAGTCTCACAGGTCTAGGGAGAGCTGTGTTATCGTGACTTGTTCTGAAGATGAATTTCATATTTATTGTGCTAATATTTGATATTCAGCCACTACAGTGTATTATTCTGATTGTTGCTCATTATGATTATATGTCATTCCTGGGATTAAAGGACTAGAAGTAGTACTAGTTATTGGCCAACTTTATTATCCACACAACTACCGCAACTGTGATTGACAGTGCCCTCGATGTTTGTGTATATTTGAGTTATAGGCCAGTGTTAATGGTGGCAGTCAAGTGTTTTCAGCCTGCCAACTCAACTGCCAAGTCCATTTACGTACAGTGTTAAAGTCTTGAGTTATTAGAATGGAATTGTTTAAATCGTAACAAGTGCAATGTTGTTAAGCATTACAAATTCCTGTATTTTCATGAGAAGGCAGATTGCGTGATTGGGGGGGGGGGGCAGTGATGGGGCAGCTACGCAAGGCTGCTGCTGCTGCTGTTGGGGCAGCTGAGACACCACGGGGCAGCTGAGACACCATGGGGCAGCTGAGACACCACGGGGGAGGGATGTCGAATTCACTCTTCTCCGGCAAGATTTAGTTTCTGATTCGCGTTATCCGATTCTTGTCATTTTTTGTTTGTTTACATTGTCGTCGTCTATGTGCACAAAGCCTCACAGCTGCATCTTGCCTGAACGTAATCGCAATTAAAATACGTATATGATTGAGACCGATGGTCTTCCACGTGGAGAATTAATCACTGGGGCAAATTAGGGCATTGACGTGGGCGTGATTTGTTAAAACCCCAAGGGATTGTGTATTGGTCATCACTCCTATTGTGTACATAACAGTATACGGACCCTTCTTCTTGGTTCTTTCGGTAAAGTCACGTAGAAGGGTAATAATAAATAATAAAACATAATAAAATACAATTCTCACGACGTTTCGGCCACAACAGGTCTGTCGGAAAGACGCTGAATGACACTGTCTTTCCGACAGACCTGTTCTTCACCTGAGGACGGCTGCTTGTGTTGTGGCCGAAACGTCGTGAGAATTGTATTTTATTGATATTTAATTTTTATTATTTTATTATTTCCCTTCTACGTGACTTTACCGAAAGAACCACGAAGATGAATCCCTGCAGTCACGTAAGCTTTAAATCGAAATTTATACGGACCCTAACTTATATATGGACAAAAACACGTGGCTAATCGGCACGCAACACGTACACAATGTACACAATGCAATCCCCTCTCGTGTACATATTCACCCATCGATAGACGCGCGCAGTGTCTGAGAAAATGCCACGTTTACTGTCCCCAATAGCTTGCACTGCTACAACTGTGCACATAGGTCAATCCACCAACTGCATGAAGGCCACCCTCACCCATCGCGTGGTGAACGTATCACCTGTATCATAAACAGCAGGCTGAGCCTGCTTCCAATTAGCGTGTTTGCTGGAGTTAATTGATGTTTTTATTTGAATAAATGAGGTTTAGTCGGTCCGTCGGACGGATACAACTCATCATTTTATAATGTGGACCTCGCAAGCGTGGGGCAATTGCACCACGATGGAAACGCAGTGACTGAGGTTGCATTGTTCGCCTTGGCATCGGGTTATGGGAGGGTAAAGCTGGAAGAATGGCGACGACGAACCTGTCAACCCCTTATCAGTGCCTCCCTTATTACGGACCAAATCAGACCTTGTTGGTCACCCCGTGCCCTTATAAATCTCAACGTTCATCCTACAAAGTCCCATCACAAGGGAGAAACACAGACAAAGCATTACAAAAACTGTGCCCGATTTGAAACGGCTGTATGCCGTATGGACCTGAAAACTCAATTTCCCCGTAAAAGAATTCGGGTAAACCGTATGGGTTGCCAGCTATGCGACCAAGGGATTGAGAGGAGGGAGGTGGGCATCGGGACGGACGCATGAAAGCGTCACACGTGTCCTCATCGCCGAGACGCGGGCCGCGTGGGCGATCAGGAGGTGCTCCGGGCGAAATGGGATTGAGATGGGGGGAGCATGGGGGGGGGGGCAGGCGATATTTTGAGAATTTATGGAAGCGAGGGGATGATGTAGAGGGATAGGAGGAGAGAAGGGAGAGGAAGATGGGGGAGGGAGGCCAGACGATGCAGAAGCAGGAGAGTAAGAGGAAAGCAACGAGAACCATGAGATGGAGGGCGACGTGACGTTGGGAGAATCGAGGGAAATGGGAAGGCTGGAGTGGGAGGAGAGGAGAGAGGAGAAGGAAGGAAATAAAACGAGGGAATGCGGCGCCGCGGGTGGGTGAGGTGGGAGGAGAGGAGAGGAAGGGAGGGACAGAAAAAGCGAAGGAAATTCGAGAGGTCCGTGTGACCCCCTCTCCTCGTCCTCCCGGTGACGCAGAGGCCGAGGCGGGTGGTGGTGGTGGCAGCTCGCGATTGACGTCAGCGCGCGTGGATTGTGCGCGAGCTCGGCTCCCCCGAGTCGCCACCCTCCCGCGCTGCTCCATCATTCATCACGTCCCCACCACCACCACCGTCACAGCATTGGCGCTCGTGCTATCAGGCTGCTGTGTATTCGGCCTTAATTGGCAGAAGACGCAACCCTGGGTAGGGGGGAGGGAGGGAACACAGATCTCGTAGAGAAAAACAACAACTCATTGATCAACAGCGCCGTCCTTAAATGGGGGTAAATATAACGGGCGACGTTTCGGGCAATGGGCCTTCTAATTAGCGGGACAAAGTGGCTATGAACTAGTGGCCATTGCCCGGAACGTCGCTTGGCACAGTATATTGTAATTGCTGTTGAAGAGCGGTGTCAGTGACGAGCGTGTTGGGAGGCGGACATTGCCAATGCTCGTGCGCACGGTCGCTGTTGTGTTCTGGTGAGGCCGCGTAGGGGACGAACGGGGAGCGGAGAGGGCACGCGAGCAAGAGGAATGGTCACCGTAAAGTTGCGGGCAGCGCCGTCTTCAGCCGTGACGATCTAACTAACCAAAGAATAATTCCTGCAGTCACGAAAGCTCCAAAATTAAGATCTAACGCCGTTCAACACGCCATCCCCCCCACCCTCCACCAGCGTCTCGAGGCAATTTAAATGCATTGACGTCACTGCTGCGGTTCGGCCGGGCAACGCTTTTTTCCAGTCTGTGCCAATAACATCGTCCTCAAGGTGGGGTGGAAATACAGTGCATGTCTAATGGGCGACGTTTCGTGCCAATGGCCCTTCTAAACAAGCCCCCCCTCCCCCCCGCCGCCATGGTTTTAAGAGAGCGAATTGTGCCGACTGTGGTCACCCTACCCACAACAGGACCGTGGGACATCCCACGACTCAATGCCCGATTCCCAAATAATCACAGGCGATACACCAACTCCGATACTCCTGACGCAAATGATTAATCTGCCTCGACCGCCGCCGATGTAACATTAGGCGATCTTTGGGGCTGTCCATAAATGACGTCACGCGATTTTGGACGATTTTTGACCCCCCCCCCCCACCCTTCGTCACACGGCGTCACAAAAGTCAGACCCCCCCCCTCAAATATGACGTCATAAAGCTCTGCCCCCCCACCCAAAAATGTTTAAACATACTTCAAATCGCTTCAAACTATTGTCATTGTAGTGCGTATTTAATGTGGCGCTGCAATCTGATGTCGTAGCAGAAAACATTTATTAAAAAGTCTATTTAATTAAGTAGAACGTGTTGTCTATATTTATTTAAAGTTGCGCATTTTGATGTGACGTCACATTTCTCACCCCCCTCCCTCGTCACACATCGTCACAAATGTCTAACCCCCCCCCCGCCCCTAGGTGCGTGACGTCATTTATGGACGGCCCCTTAGCAGCGATCTTCACTCATTGTCAGAGCGGGGGGGGGGGGGGCACAAGGCATCAGTGTGAGGGCCGCCACACATTTGAAACCACTGGGATTTGGCAGCACGACGATGACGATGATGATGGGGTGTTCTCACGTGTGTCTATTGTCGGGGGGGGGGGGGGCAGTGGCTGGCAGGCCTTGCGATGAAGAACACTGGGATAGCCTTTACTGCAGCCTTGCACGCTTTGGTTATCAATCGTAAAACAACGCAGCATGTTAATAAATACACGGGGTTTGATGAAGCAAAGTCGTTGTACTCACGTGCACGTGCTCAACTTGTGTTGCGATGATTATACCTTCTAAAGAAATCTGGCCATGGCTCGTACCCCCAGAAGGGGCATCTGGCACCCCCTTAGGGGATGCGTGCACCCCAGGTGAAGAGCCACTGGTGTACATCAACGTCAGCCACGCGAAGAAGAACAACAAGAAGAGCCCCCCGGGGTCGCGTCACACCCTCAAGCGTCGTGGCGGCGCAGAGCGCGACACGAGGAGGGAATGAAGAGAGACGTGAAACTGGGTTTCATCGCGACCACGAAGACTGCGACGCGATTCGCGAAGGGAAAACCCGCGACGGAGTAAACCGGCGTTCAAATCTGTCACGGCGCGTTCTGAGCGTGGCTGCCCCAGGCAGACACGCCGGGTGTCCCAGTGTCTGCGGCACGTCGCTACTACCACGAATGCCACCGGGCTGCTGCTGCTGTCGCGGCTGCTGCTAGGATCGAGCCCCCCCCCCCCCCCTTACATTGGTGGCACGCAGAAGCGTAACTAGCGTGGGGGCAGGGGGTGCCTTGGCCCGTCCTGGTGGCCAAAGCTCCGAGTTGGGTCCCCCTTGACCAAACCACCATGAGACATGGTTTCAACAACAGCGTAACAAGAACAACAACAAAAACCCGGTATGTAATGATGTGATTAGGCAAGAGGAGCCGCCATATATAATAAATAGCCGAGGTGCGATCGTGCGAGACGTATCAAATATTGGGGCCTCTGCCTGACCGATTTCCGTAACCCCTTGAGCTGACGATGCAGCCACAACGCCACTGGTGCCACGTCAGTCGTGACATGGGTGGCACGTGTAGAGAGTAGTTAGGGCAGTGGTTCTTCACCTTGACTGCAGCCTTGCAAAACCCCTTTGGTTCTCAATCGTTAAAAAAATATATATGACGTTCAAAAAATACGTAGGGGTTGATGAAGTAAAAATTAAGTTGCACTTACGTGACCGTGCTTAATTTGTGTTTCGAGCATTTAGCTTTCAAAAAATCCGCTACCCCCCAGAGAGGGCATCTCGCACCCCCGGGGAGCGCGTGATGCACCCCCAGGTTAAGAAGAAGAAGAAAAGCCACTGAGTTAGATGACGAATTGCGGTGGAGCCCAATTCAATAAAACACCTCGGCTATCAAGTTACACGCGCGCACAGCAGCTTCCCGACAGGACGCTAACGTTTCAAACAATAGTTCTTGAAAAAAAAAGATCTATTGCTCGAAACGGTCGCCTGTTATCTTGACGATGTGTGAGAAGGCCATTGTTTACGACGCTGCTGGTGAATTGTTTTTTTGTAACAGTGTACACTGAATACCTATACACACACACAAGACAAAGATCCCCCGTATAGCCGTAAACAGACTTTTGGGGCAAGTGCTGTGAGCGACCACCTGTCAAGGCCGGCAGAGCACATGGTCAACACCACGCCCGGCCGCCTTTGTCTCCCTAGTGGCAACGTTTTACACATCGCCCCAGGTACCCATTTGAGACTGAGTCGACCTAGAGGAGGCCCAGAATCGGTTCAGGTAATATAAGCGTCATTGGTGTTGGCCGTGAGCGGCAATCGAACTCGGGTCGTCGGGTTCGTAGCCCAGCGCGCTAACCGCTACACTGCCGCTCCCCACACACACCTTGACACGCGCACCACAATCACCTGTGCACAGACGCGCGCACACACACACACATCGCCGATTTGCCATGCAGCAGCATGTCTCAAAGTGGAACTCTGCAAGCTCGACCATTATACAAACTATCGGTGGTGATTCTTCAGTGATCATCCATTTATTCAATACGAAATAGGAAAAGCACACAGATTGTTTCGTTTCATGGCTGAGCGAGATTTGGCGTTTTCAGCCGGCCAATATTTTTGTTACAAATTACTTTCCACTCTCTATTATGTACAGTACTGAAAAAAAACGAGAAAATATACCCTCCGTCGTGTTACAATACCGCACAGTACTTCCTTTCAACCTATTTACGCGTTTAAGAAATGTACAAATCAAAGCGATCTGCTGCTGAATACTAAAATGTGCCCATCTCTTAACACGGTTAACACCAATATTGTAATTATAACACCGATACACTGTGAACTTACTGCCTGCCACTGCCTGCCATTGGTTCAAGCAGGCGTGAGAGCACAACTCAAACACGAAACTAAAGCATTCCTCCACATTGTCAGTTCCCCAGCTTCACATCTCCCATCTCGACAGCTCCCATCTCTCATCTCCACAGCTCCCAGTTCCACAGCTCCCAGCTTCACATATCCCATCTCCACATCTCCCATCTCCCAGTTCAACAGCTCTCATCTCCACAGCTCCACAGGTCCACAGCCCCCAGCTTCACAGCTCTCATCTCCACAGCTCCCAGCTCTCATCTCCACAGCTCCCAGCTCTCATCTCCACAGCTCCCAGCTCCCATCTCCACAGCTCCCATCTCCACAGCTCCCATCTCCCAGCTCCATCTCCCCAGCTCCCATCTCCACAGCTCCCATCTCCCCAGCTCCATCTCCACAGCTCCCATCTCCCCAGCTCCCATCTCCCCAGCTCCCATCTCCCCAGCTCCCATCTCCACAGCTCCCATCTCCCCAGCTCCCATCTCCCCAGCTCTCATCTCCCCAGCTTCCATCTCCACAGCTCCCATCTCAACAGCTCCCATCTCCCCAGCTCCCATCTCAACAGCTCCCATCTCAACAGCTTCCATCTCCCCAGCTCCCATCTCACAGCTCCCATCTCCCCAGCTCCCATCTCAACAGCTCCCATCTCAACAGCTTCCATCTCAACAGCTTCCATCTCCACAGCTCCCATCTCCACAGCTCCACAGCTCCCCAGCTCCCCAGCACACGACACTGCAGTCGTTAATAAAGAATGGGTGACGAGCTGCGCAGTGGGGTTTTGGCAGCCAAATGGTGAATTGTGTTGGACACGGCTAATCCATTCGTCCGTTTATAGCAGTTTACAACCAAAGCGCCGCTCGCGGTCACAGAAGTTTCACAGAGTTCGTGGAACAGATCGGAGACGGGTGGCCTGGGGAGAGGCACCGTTTGTGCACGTGCGTCTGCGGTGTCCTGCCCCGAAGCAGATCCCCGCATCAACGTCTGGAGCATCGCAGGAATTTGCTCAACAATTCAAGAAAGCAGTAGTTTACACCAATTATAATACGGTACATTACTTGTGCCCTCAACCAAACACAAGTACAGCCTCGCAACATTCGCGTGATAACGGGCGGAAGAGCCGTTCCTCGGTCTCGCCGCGTTTGATAACGAATCGGGCCGCGCGACTGCGAGAGATGAACATCGCGGCCACGTGCCTGCCCCAGGTCCCTATCTCTGTGTGTGTGCCACAGGTCCCTGTCTCTGTGTGTGTGTCCCAGGTCCCTGTCTCTGTGTGTGTGTCCCAGGTCCCTGTCTCTGTGTGTGTCCCAGGTCCCTGTCTCTGTGTGTGTCCCAGGTCCCTGTCTCTGTGTGTGTCCCAGGTCCCTGTCTCTGCGTGTGTGTCCCAGGTCCCTGTCTCTGTGTGTGTGTCCCAGGTCCCTGTCTCTGTGTGTGTGTCCCAGGTCCGTGTCTCTGCGTGTGTGTCCCAGGTCCCTGTCTCTGTGTGTGTGTCCCAGGTCCCTGTCTCTGTGTGTATCCCAGGTCCCTGTCTCTGCGTGTGTGTCCCAGGTCCCTGTCTCTGTGTGTGTGTCCCAGGTCCCTGTCTCTGTGTGTGTCCCAGGTCCCTGTCTCTGTGTGTGTGTCCCAGGTCCCTGTCTCTGTGTGTGTGTCCCAGGTCCCTGTCTCTGTGTGTGTGTCCCAGGTCCCTGTCTCTGTGTGTGTGTCCCAGGTCCCTGTCTCTCTGTGTGTCCCAGGTTCCCTGTCTCTGTGTGTGTGTCCCAGGTCCCTGTCTCTGTGTGTATCACAGGTCCCTGTCTCTGCGTGTGTGTCACAGGTCCCTGTCTCTGTGTGTGTCCCAGGTCCCTGTCTCTGCGTGTGTGTCACAGGTCCCTGTCTCTGTGTGTGTCCCAGGTCCCTGTCTCTGTGTGTGTGTCCCAGGTCCCTGTCTCTGCGTGTGTGTCACAGGTCCCTGTCTCTGTGTGTGTCCCAGGTCCCTGTCTCTGCGTGTGTGTCACAGGTCCCTGTCTCTGTGTGTGTCCCAGGTCCCTGTCTCTGTGTGTGTGTCCCAGGTCCCTGTCTCTGTGTGTATCACAGGTCCCTGTCTCTGCGTGTGTGTCACAGGTCCCTGTCTCTGTGTGTGTCCCAGGTCCCTGTCTCTGCGTGTGTGTCACAGGTCCCTGTCTCTGTGTGTGTGTCCCAGGTCCCTGTCTCTGCGTGTGTGTCACAGGTCCCTGTCTCTGTGTGTGTCCCAGGTCCCTGTCTCTGCGTGTGTGTCACAGGTCCCTGTCTCTGTGTGTATCACAGGTCCCTGTCTCTGTGTGTGTGTCCCAGGTCCCTGTCTCTGTGTGTGTCACAGGTCCCTGTCTCTGTGTGTGTGTCCCAGGTCCCTGTCTCTGTGTGTGTCACAGGTCCCTGTCTCTGTGTGTGTCACAGGTGTCTGTCTCTGCGTGTGTGTCCCAGGTAACCCCGTCTCAGCGTTACGGGAACAGATACATTTCGCTGCGTGCCTGTCCCAGGAACCTGTCTCTGCGTGCATGTCCCAGGTACCTGTGCCGGCGTTAGCTCAGTCACGACAGTGTCCGTGTCGGACCCGCTTGAGCGCGGAGGTTGCGCGGTGCGGCTGATGCGAAATCATCGGCGAACCAGTTCCGTGGAGAGAGGAGATGCGAGTGGAGAGAGGAGAGTGACAAGACGCCGGCATAGAGGGGACCACGGAGAGGAGAGTGCAGAGTAGGAACTGGAGACAGAAGGGTGGAGATAGGAGAGCAAGGATGAGAGGAGACACGGGAATGGAGAAGTGGAAAGATGAGAAGAGGGGAGAGTGGAGACAGGATGCATCGAGAGCGGAGTGGGGAGCGGAGGGCGGAGGGCGGAGAGCGGAGAGTGTCGAGGGGGAGAGACGCGGGGGCTGGGCAGGGGAACGAGCCCGCGGTCACACGGACGGAAGGGGGATCATGTTCCTGTCCGCTGGCCTCTCGGGCTCCATCAGCAACTCCGTGAGCGCCGGGGCCGCACACACGCAGCCGCTGGCCCCGCGCTGCCCCCGACGGGGATGCTGCCCCCTTCGCTGGTGCTGCACGCTGCCCCCCGGGCTGCTGGGAGGGGACGGGCTGCTGTTGTAGATGCTGTAGTAGGGCTCCACGCGGCTGTTGATGGGCGACGAGGCGCTGTGCGCGAACGGGCGGCGCTCGGAACGCGGCCCGGGGCCCCGGCGCCCCTCGGCACCGGCCTGGAGGCTGTGCAGGCTGGGCCCGCACGCCTGGTCCACGCGGCCCCCACGTGGACCAGGTGGCTGCGGCTGCTGCTGCTGCTGTTGATGCCGGTGGTGCCGATGGTGGTGATGATGGTGGTGGTGGTGGGGACGGTCGTACGTAGACGCCGGCCGCTTCGGGGACAGGATGCAGGCGGAGTTGGTGTCGTGGTGGGACGACTTTGCGCAGTTTGCGCTCAGGTTTCCTCTCCCCACGGCGCGCAGCCGCGTCTTGGGCCGGCAGCAGCAGCAGCAGCAAGAGGAGCAGCAGGTGCAGCAGGTGCAGACGCCGAGCAGCGGCGCGGAGAGCGCGCGGAGGCAGCAGGAGAGGCGCTTCCACAGCCCTGCCCCGCTGCGCGAGTAGAGGAACGGGTTGAGACCCGACTTGAGGAAGAGCAGCGTGTAGCCGAACACCTCGAGCTGCGTGCTGGCCACGCCGCCGTTGGGGCCCGCGGACATGACCCCCTGCAGCAGCGCCACGGACAGCGGCATGCAGCAGGCGAGGGCCGACAGGGCGATCACGAGGCACGTGAGCAGCGCCTTCGAGTCCTTTGCCGTGGCCATGAGGCCGGGCCCTCGCATCCTCAACGCGGGGTCGTCGGCGGGGCCAGGGCCGTGGTCGCGGGTCGCGCCGGCGCACGGGGCCGCCGCCGCGGCCGCCGCGTCGGGCGCGCACGGCCGTTCCCCGGCCCCCGGGTGAGCCCCCGGTGCCACGTCCACGGTGATGATGGCCCCCTTGCGCACCCGCGCTTGAGCCGCAGCGCGTGCGCGATGAGCGCGTACGAGACGGTGAGCACCACGAGGCACAGCAGGAAGTCGGCGGCGTACGCGTAGAGCACGAGGCCCCCCGAGAGCAGGGGCAGGCAGAGCTGCGGGCCCGGCCCGGGGCCCCTCGTGTGCCCGCGGAGGGCGGCGAGCGCGGCGAGGATGAGCCCCAGCGCCCAGAGCAGCAGCGACAGGAGGAGCGCCGAGGCGGAGGAGGCGTGCGACACGAGCATCGCCGCTGCCTGGCTCGGCTGCTGACCCAGCACGAGGCGCAGCCTCTGCACGGCGATGACCGACACCGTCTGAAGCGACAGCAGCGGGAAGGCGGCGGCCGTGAGCTGCAGCGAGAAGCAGAGCGAGTGCGAGACGGCGCCGCGCGCCCAGTGGCGCACGAGCAGCACGGAGCCCAGCATGGGCGCCGTCGCGCACGACACGAACAGGTCGCAGAAGGAGAGGTTCAGCACCAAGAAGTCGAAGTGGGTGCGCAGCTTGCGCAGCGACGGGTCGAAGAAGGAGAGGAACACCACGAGGTTCCCGTACGTGCCCACGCAAAAGAGCAGCGCCAGCAGAAGCGTGCAGGCGGCCAGCGTGGCGCGGGACAGAGCCGGCGCCGCGGGGCCGACCCCATCGGGTCCGGGGCCGCCGGTGTCGGGGAGGAGGAGGTGGTGCTGCTGCTGCTGCGGCTGGCTGTGGGGCAGGAGGAGGAGGTGGTGGCTCGGGGAGGCGGACGCGTGCAGCGGCGTCAGCAGGGGCCCCGGCCTGCTGTCGTTCATGTTGGCAGGGGGCGCGCGCGGTGAACAAGGGCCCACTCAGGTTGCCAGGAGAGGCCCCCTCAGACCGCCAGGTGAGGTCCCTTCAGGTCACCAGGTGAGGTCCCTCAGGTCACCAGGTGAGGTCCCCTCAGGTCACCAGGTGAGGTCCCCTCAGATCACCAGGTGAGGTCCCCTCAGGTCACCAGGTGAGGTCCCCTCAGGCCACCAGGTGAGGTCCCTTCAGGTCACCAGGTGAGGTCCCCTCAGGCCACCAGGTGAGGTCCCCTCAGGCCACCAGGTGAGGTCCCCTCAGGTCACCAGGTGAGGTCCCCTCAGGTCACCAGGTGAGGCCCCTCAGGTCGCCAGGTGAGGTCCCCTCAGGTCACCAGGTGAGGTCCACTCAGGTCACCAGGTGAGGTCCCCTCAGGTCACCAGGTGAGGTCCCCTCAGGTCACCAGGTGAGGTTCACTCAGGCCACCAGGTGAGGTCCCCTCAGGTCACCAGGTGAGGCTCCCTCAGGCGGTCAGGTGAGGCCCTCCACGGCCCCGAACGCACTCCTTCCTCATCTTCGCCTGGTGGTGCCTTCCCCCTCAATTCAGGGCGCCCGACCTCCTGGGCGAGACGGAGAGAGCACGGGGTGACGCGGGGCCTCGCATTTGTCACATGGCGCGCCCTGGAGTCCTGGACCACCTCGCAAGACAGATGGTCCGTCTCAAGGTATTAGCCAGGCGAAATCGTTGACTCAAGACGCATCGCTTGATTTGGCCCCCGGAGGAGCCAAGCTCCTGAGCAGGCGCTCGCTGAAAGGGAGCGCACGGCGCAAATCCCCTCGTGGTCGTCCTCCCTCCCCACCACTCCAGAACCCCTATCGCGGTAGGGGATTGTGGTCCACTTATCCGCTCACCACAAAGTCCTCTCGTCCCCAGTCCGCTCACCACAGGGTCCTGTGACTCCCCGTCATTCCCTCACCCACTGACTCCTCGACCCCACCCCCCACCACCTCCTCCAGTTAATTCACTACAGTGCCCCCCCCCCCCCCAGGGGTCCTGTCCCCCTCGTTCCCCTCGTCCCCCGTGACTGGGCACACAACGCGAGACGATCCTCGTTCTGACAATCCCGGCTGCTGCCCCCAGCAACTCGCTTGAGTCGCCCCCGTGGGCGCCAGACTGCGTGGATGAGACTGCGTGGATGAGACTGCGTGGATGCGACTGCGTGGATGAGACTGCGTGGATGCGACTGCGTGGATGAGACTGCGTGGATGAGACTGCGTGGATGCGAGAGGAAGAGGGAGGGGATTCGTGCCTGGGTGTTGGAGGTGTGTGTGTGTGTGTTTGTGTATGTCATGGTGTGTGTGTGATTTGTGTATGTTATGGTGTGTATCTTTGTGTATGATATGGTGTCTTTGTTATGGTGTGTGTCTTTGTGTATGATATGGTGTGTGTCTTTGTTATGGTGTGTGTGTCTTTGTGTATGTTATGGTGTGTGTGTCTTTGTGTATGTCATGGTGTGTGTGTGTCTTTGTGTATGTCATGGTGTGTGTCTTTGTGTATGTTATGGTGTGTGTGTCTTTGTGTATGTCAGTGTGTGTGTGTCTTTGTGTATGTTATGGTGTGTCTTTGTTATGGTGTGTATGTCTTTGTGTATGTCGTGGTGTGTGTGTGTCTTTGTGTATGTTATGGTGTCTTTGTTATGCTGTGTATGTCTTTGTGTATGTCGTGGTGTGTGTGTGGCTTTGTGTATGTCATGGTGAGTGTGTCTTTGTGTATGATATGGTGTGTCTTTGTTATGGTGTGTGTGTCTTTGTGTATGTCGTGGTGTGTGTGTCTTTGTGTATGTCATGGTGAGTGTGTGTCTTTGTGTATGTCATGGTGTGTGTGTCTTTGTGTATGTCATGGTGTGTGTGTCTTTGTGTATGTCATGGTGTGTGTCTTTGTGTATGTTATGGTGTGTGTGTCTTTGTGTATGTCAGTGTGTGTGTCTCTTTGTGTATGTCATAGTGTGTCTTTGTTATGGTGTGTGTGTTCTTGTGTATGGTATTGTGTGTGTCTTTGTGAATGTCATGGTGTGTGTCTTTGTGTATGTCATGGTGTGTGTGTCTTTGTGTATGTCATGGTGTGTGTCTTTGTTATGGTGTGTTCTTGTGTATGGTATTGTGTGTGTCTTTGTGTACGTGATGGTGTGTGTGTGTTTGTGTATGTTATGGTGTGTGTTTTTGTGTATGTTATGGTGTGTGTGTGTGTCTTTGTGTATGTCATGGTGTCTTTGTGTATGTTATGGTGTGTGTCTTTGTGTATGTTATGGTGTGTGTGTCTTTGTTATGGTGTGTGTGTGTCTTTGTGTAACTAAATTTCCCTGTACAATAATATACGAGTAAATCGTATTGGTTGATAGGAGGGTGTGTGTATGTTGGGCTGTGTACGCATGTATGGGGGTGTGTGGTATGTGTGTATATGGTGTGAGGGTGCATGTGGGGTTGGGGTGTGTATCGTGTGGATGGTGTGGGTGTACGGGTTGTAATGGGTGTGTCTGGTGTGTGCGTGTGTATGTTGTATTGTGTCTACAGTATAGTGTGTATTGTGTTTCTTTGTTTTGTGTGTGTGTATATGTGTACGGTGTGTGTATGGGTTTATTTTGGTTGTATTGGGTGTGTATTGAGTATGTGTGTACGGTGTGTATATATGGTGTGTTTTGGCTGTGTATGGGGTGTATATGGTGTATGTATGGAGAGTATATGGTGCATGTATGGTGTGTGTGTATGGGATGTGTGTATGGGGTGTGTGTGTGTATATGATGCGTGTATTGTGTGTGTGTATTTTGCGTGTCTATTCTGTGTGTGTATATGATGTGTGTGTATTGTATGTATACGGTGTGTTTATATTGTGTGTATTGTGCGTGTATATTGTATGTATATGGTCTGTATTGTGTGTATATGGTGTGTGTGTATGGTGTGTGTGTATATGGTGTGTGTATGGTGTGTGTAGTGTGCATTGTGGGTGTATTGTGTGTATATTCTGTGTATATGATGTGTGTGTATTGTATGTATATGGTGTGTATATTGTGTGTATTGTATGTATACGGTGTGTGTATATTGTGTGCATTGTATGTATATGGTGTGTATATTGTACGTGTATGGTGTGTATATTGTGTATTTTATGTATACGGTGTGTGTGTATAGTGTGTATTGTATGTATATGGTGTGTATATTGTGTGTATGGTGTGTGTATATTGTGTGGTTATTGTATGTATACGGTGTGTGTATATTGTGTGTGTATTGTATGTATACGGTGTGTATATTGTGTGTGTATTGTATATGGTGTGTATATTGTGTGTGTATTGTGTGTATACGGTGTGTGTATTGTATGTATACGGTGTGTATATTGTGTGTGTATTGTATGTATATGGTGTGTGTATTGTATGTATATGGTGTGTGTATTGTATGTATATGGTGTGTATATATTGTGTATACGGTGTGTATATTGTGTGTATACGGTGTGTGTGTATTGTGTATACGGTGTGTATTGTGTGTATACGGTGTGTGTGTATTGTGTGTATACGGTGTGTGTGTGTATGGTGTGTATACGGTGTGTGTGTATTGTGTGTATACGGTGTGTGTGTGTGTATGGTGTGTATTGTGTGTATGGGGGTTGTGTTTCTGCCCGGCCTGCGCCGCGTTGCTCACGCGTGTGTGTGCACGGCGCGCGCCGCGGCATGCCAATGTGAGCCCTCACCCCAGCGAATCCCACACAAGCGCAACCCATACACAGACAACAACATCATCATCATCGTCACTGCTATTCTAGCAACAATAGCACAGGGGCACGGCGTATGAATGCATTTACCCAGATTTCGTCGTAGGCGCGTCTCCGTCCGCCCTCTTCCAGAACGCGCGGATCGAACATGAACGAATGAGTGAATGAATGAATGAGGATTTGGATGAACGCGTTGGTGGCCGATGCGTGATTGCAGGAGCTCGGGTCTCCACTCGAAGGATCCACCCGGGCAACGTCTTTCCTTCTTCCTCGCGATGCGCAGCCTCCTCCTCCTCCTCGTGCTTTACGATGTGACACCGCTACTCTTCACACACATCCCCCCACCTTCCCGCTAGCCGACAGACGGCTGCCTCTTTGAAGCCGCATTTAAAAGACCGCAGCAAGAGACGAACGCTCGCGAGAAATAGCAGCGCTCGCTCTCAGTAAAAGTGTGCGAAAATAAACCGAGCATCTTTCATCTTCGCAGCGCGATTCGACCGACTGCAACGCGACATCCGAAATGATGAATCGGTCTGCTGCAGCTGGAGGTGTCAGCTGGCTCGTTCTCTCGCTCAGACTACGCGGTGCTGGCGATGCGCAACACTGGGGGGGGAGCGGGGGGCATCGTGCATCGGGGATGGGAAGCACGGGGTGTGTGTGCGCATGTACCATGACCTTCAACACCTAGACACGGGCCAAAATGGTGGGAGACCACGCGAAAAGGATGGGAGCAGCAACGACAAAAAAACTCGGCACGTTCGTCTATGAAGTGGCATTAAAAAAAGAGGGAAATGGAAAATGTGCGATGTGTCGGCCAATTGTTCCTCTTTCCTAGCACGCGTTGCGTTGCTACGCGAATTGCTTGCTATGCAGGGCACGTCACGCTTGTCGGACGTGCCGATAACGTTGGGCGTATGTGTAAATTGCATGATTTCGCACGACTGCTAACGCAGTACGACCAATTAAGAGTTGTACCAGGCAAGCGTGGGCAGTAGACAATGAAGCAAGACTGCATCAACGGCAATGATGTTGGTGGTTCAACGCTGGATGACCAACCGGCAGCGAAAATGTTGGAATACAGCAGTGAAAATGAAACCAGTAACCCCAGCCGTAAAATTGCGCTAAATCACAAAGTGTAATTGGAGCTTGTACCATTGTCGGTAATCATGACTTGTGCGCCCAAATCCCCATTTAGGGGGCATTTTTGACCGCATGGATATTTCGATTCTGCAGATTGCAGCCAAGCAATGTTTCGCAGAATACTTGTGTACGTGTTTCATTCGCGTTATTCATACACGTTGGGATTTTTTCCCCCTCCGCCTTAAATCGAATGTAATTATCGTCACTTAGAATTGACCCACGCTGGCAGACCCGTGCTCATTTCCAGGCCGGTGTCGTCTTCACCTCGTGCCGCACAGGGACAGCTGCCACTGGGTGTCCCCTCGGATAGACTGCAGCAGGGCAATGAAATCCTTGAAAAAGAAGTGTGATGCAAGGCGCTTTAAGTCGTCGAGGCATTAAGTGCCCTTTGCATGCAAATCCTGAGAACACTTCGTATGCTTCAGTCCACAGGTCATGTCCACTATCCATCTACACGTGCAACAGGAGAATGCCTTCAGGAGCTGCAGAATGTGCTCACGTTCCACGGAAATATACAGCACAACAAATCGGGGGTAGATACTATTCTTTTAGCTCTACATTGGTCGCTTGGTCTTCGCTTGGGAACTAAGAGCTAGTTTATTTCCCTTAAACATTTTTACTTGTTGAACGTTCATGGTCCAATTCTACAAGCAATTATCTGTTTTAAATGTACGTTTATTCCCATACAAAATTATAGGTATATCCCCCTTTGCTTGTGTATTTCTTTTGCGATTTTGGTTTATGGGCAATTATTTAATGTTTCTCTTTACCGCCACATCAATGCTTCACCGCATTTACATCTCAAAATGTATTGGATGCTCTGCGCCTGGACACGTTACGAGTTGTGCATTCGGATGTCGATGACAGAAAATTAATGGATCTCCAGTAACGCACTATGCAACACAACTTTCTTTCTGCATGACGTACGATTTGATAAAATTGTTTATTTCCTTTTAGACAAAATTATGAAATCATTTTCCCGTGGGGGGGGGGGGGGGAGGCGGGGTTGGTGACTCACAACATGTGCAGTCTGTTTCAAAAGCGTGCACCGATCAAGCACACGTGGCAACCTCACTTTTGTGAGGTTTTTGTTTATAACCTGACGAGTATGTCTTTGTTTAAAAATGCACCGATCATATTTTTGTTTAAAATTTCAACATTTGGCACGAGAAAATATAAATCACTCAATCAGACCCTTTAAATGACTCCGGGATTGAGTGGCCGATGAATTAAAATCATTTTCAGTCAAAATCAAAATGCCAACACTGAAAAACGCCGCCTCGTGTCGCTAGACAGCACGTTACATTCTCTTAACGAACCCAACGAGAGAAACGCCTGTTGAGAATATCAAACCAAAATGCCACCAGTCTGTCTGGTCACAAACTTGGCTTTCACGTGTGTTGCCCAGCTGATCGCTTCCATCGCACAAAGTCCACTTACTTCCCTGAACAATGAGCTGCAAGCAACAACTTCAAAGGTAAACAGGTTTCAACAACCAAAATAAAACGCTGTAAAACAAAAGATAAACCCAAACAATAATAATGCATAAACAATCAGCTACTGCAATTAACAACAATGCAAACTCTCAATCAAGAAAAACAATTGAAAACCTAGCAATATACAGGTTCTTTCTCTGAGAAAGGATTCGAACCTTCCCCGTCCTTGTTGGGGACTGTAACCCCGCACACCCAGGCATTTTGAGTAAACGAGCAGAGCAGTGCTGCTCGCAAACCTGGCGCAGAAATATTTCACTATCCATTTAATGGTCACATTTTAGCAGAGCATAACATGCTTTAAATGAATACTGTGGGTATTGCTTGAGTGTAGATATTTATTTAGTATTGTGCATAAAAAGGCAAATGTTCAGATGCCGGTAAATGTCTCGGTTTTTTCTATCATGCAGAATCCCCAATGACGCCAATGCAAATGCCATCACAGGACGAACTTAAGCTGGCCGTCACCAACAGGAAACGGAATCTTTTGGTGATGGATTCTGGTCCCACAAGGTCAACGGCTCACTCCCAAAAGCATCACCGAAAGAATATCTGGAAACAAAAACACACACACACACACATCTCTCAAGTAAATAAGTTGATCAACTGTGTTCAGTCCTAACAGTTTGAAATAGATAAAAGCATAAATCTGCGCGTGGTACGTTTTCAAACCCACATTCTAGGTTCACAAGTGGTATGTTGCGTTCATGAAATTTGCTAGACTATGCACTGTGTGCTAATCAATATATTGCCCTGCTTTAGTACCGTGCTGGCTCATGCATAGTAGCAGGGAGACACAAGCAGGTCTGTGAGCACCACCAGCTGATCGTCCGTGAACTGCTGCTTGTGTTCCTGCCAGTTGTCGTGGTGCGTTCGTCGGAAGTTGGTGAGCGTCTTCTTCACCGTCAACTAAAAAAAAAGAAAATCCACAGTCGCGAGCAAATGTGTTTTTAGTCTTCAAAAAATTTTATTCGCTCACGAAAAAAATATATCTCAGTTCTGTGTTCATTTAAATATTTCATCAAAATTGTAAGTGTTTTCACATTGCCCACGCTCATCTCTGTTGGCAGCTCAAAATCGAAGTGGAAATTCCCCATTCTCATTAAATTACACAATTTAAATATGCAAGCAATCATAGCCCCTTCCTGCAAAGACTTGGCAGGTTCCTCCTGAACAATGTCATTGGACTCAGTGAGGCTATTCTGGGTAAACGAGCATAATTATGATAATGTCCACCTCCCAATAGGGCAATCGATCTTAACCAAACACCAGATGATATTAATGTTTATTGACCCAAGATGGATGATGTGTGGAGTCGATCCCCCACCGAGACCCAACGAATCGAGTAATTTACCTCAGTGCTATTGAGCCGGATTATAAAAAAAACAGCCAGCACGCAAAGCTATTCTGAGATTTCCTTCCGAGCGGATGTCGTGATGCTGCAGCCCGCAGATTACCTCGATGGGCTGGGGATCATTGAGGTGCTGGCTGAGGTCCATGAGGAGCTGGGGCATCCAGGTGGGCACCTCGTAGGGGCTGGAGAGGATGCAAGCGCTCAGCCCGAGCACCCCCGCGTGGCGCCGCACCAGGTCTGCACGAGTCACACACACACACACACGCGAGCCTCAGGTCATCAATAAAACCCTCTGCTTGTGGCGTACAACAAGTTTTCTTATTTTTCGATTTAAAGCTTTCGTGACTGCAGGGATTCATCTTCTTGGTTCTTTCGGTAAAGTCACGTAGAATGGAAATAATAAAATAATAAAAATAAAACACGGCGTTTCAAACTCTGTCTTCTCGAAAGACCTGTTCTCCACCTGAGGACGGCTGCTTGCGTTGTGGCCGAAACGTCGTGAGAATTATTTTATTATGTTTTATTTTTATTATTTTATTATTTCCATTCTACGTGACTTTACCGAAAGAACCAAGAAGATGAAGTTTTCTTATTGTTTATTTTTGGAGAAACAATATAACCATTGGTTGTTTTTTGTGGAGATTGAGTAAAAAAAATGTCATTTGGTTCATTATATTCTCCACAGCGGTCACCAGTCAGAAGAGTAATGCTTGTTGTGATGTTGGCATTATCATTGCGCAGTGTGGCACTGGCAATTATCTGCCTCACTACGACAAGACATGGTGAACAGAGCAAACAGAGTGTGTCAACTACACCAATAATTATTGGTGTAGTTATAATTATTGTTGCAACAAACAATTCGTATAATATAACTGAAAGCGCACCTGTGACAGGTATGGGCTGGCTCGCCTCCCTGTGACGTCGCTTGGGCATGCGTGTCTGGCTCAGGCTCTCAAAGTGGCTCTGCATGGCCTCGTCCATGTGCAGGAAGCTGCACTGCAGCAGGCCACTCAAGGTCGTGGCTGCCATCTCCCGCACCTGCGCCACCACCAGTTGCACGCAAGCACGCACGCATTCCACATGAATCTGGCTCAAATGCCCCAAAGGGAAAGTACAATCATATCTTGCGGTGTATCTGCCATATATTTTTTTATGGGAAAAAACGTTTACTGTGGGCGAGTCAAAAATGCAACATTAAAAACCACTATGAAGGCAAAGACCCCCCATTTAGCCAGAACCGACTGTTGGGGTAAATGCTGTTAGTGAGCACCTATTAAGGCCGGCACAGCACACAAAGTAGTAGGTGGCCAGCACCATACCGAGACACCTTTGTCCACGCAGTGCTGATGTTTATGCACTGCACCAGGTACTCATTTCAAGCTGAATTGTCCTAGGGGAGGTCCAGGAATGGTTAAGATATTCAACACCGATGTTTGCGAGTGGGAAATTAACTCGGGTAGTCGGAGCGCAATGCGCTAACCACTACACTACCACTCCCCACAATCCACTATAAACACACAGTCGTGTGAATGCAGATGCATTGTAACATGTTAATACAAACCAAGCTGTGACAGTTCAGTCAAGTGATAACGATTCTTAGGATCAGATGTAGACATGAAATGCTCATTGGTCACATTCAGTCGGTCACAATCACAAGGGTAATGATGCTTTGTTGCGAGGCTGCCGCTTGGATGTTTGTAGACAGAGTTTGTACGACATGGTACTTGTATTAAGCTGCCCCGCGATGGCAGGGCATGGTGTATGGAGCAAACACAAAGTGGTGCCTTGCAAAAGCAGTATCAAGGTTATTCATGTTGAACTAGAAATTTGACATCGTCAAAGCACAAAGGATTTAAATTTTCCAATGCAACTGCATAATAAAATTGTAATACATAATCCCATTTCCAGTGCTAAACACGCCGACTCACCGAGCTGGCAAGCACTACATTTTATACCAAATTGTTATAAATGCAATGCCTTCTCATTTATTGACTTTTTTTGCTTTCAATGCCTTCGTGTTAATGGTCAGCAGCATGCGGACGACCGTTATCTTCGAGTATTTTGAAGACCAAAGCAAGAACTCTACGAGAACATTCTTTGCATCCGTGTCGGTGAAGTGTGAAACACGGTCAAGGTTCCCATCAAGTCCAAGATAACAAGACTTCAATCAACGACGAGCTGCCACTGCCAACCAGGCAAGATGAAAATCCATGTCTCGGCTGACATCCGAGGTTATCTCTTCTCACCGGAATAACGATTAGCCCACAATGAGCGAGAGCGATGGAGGGTCACGTCTTGGGTATTGTGTCTTTTCCTTTGGGTCACGCGCTGCATACTGATACGAGATCAGCATACATGCAAGGCCAAACTTCCAGGAACAATTCACCACAGGGAGATCTTAATAGATACCCATTTTCTGTCCACATGGAAAATAAGATCTACACTACAAAATGACCAATGTCAATGACAGTAATGAAACGTGAAAAAAACTACGTTTATATATGTACAAAATTGTAAAACTAAACAATGAGATTTTCAAGACACCAGATTTAGCAACACCCAGGTAATGTGAAAATCAGATTCCGTGTAACTTCACTTCTGTAAAAGTCAACTTCATGCATTTTCATTCCAACAAAGAACAATATGTCTGTGACACGACCGTTACCACTTTTCTATGAACATTGAATGCATATAAAGCATCTCATCAATGTCGAAAATGCGGCCTTTTAACGGACTGCACCAATTTTGTAATTACCACTCTCGCAATCACTTTTCGACAAACTGCGCAACTCGGTGCTGTAAACACGAGTCAACGGGTGCGACATGAACCGCCGTCGCCGCCATGCACGAAGGTGCGACGCGGCAGCCAGAAGATGGCACAGCGACCGGCAGGGCACTGCGACCTGACTGCACCGCTTAGCCAGTCTGCTGGGACCCCAATCGGAGATTTCAGCGGGGTTTCTATGGTAACTGATTTATGGCTCACATCAGCAGGCTAAATAGCAGGCCCCTGTCTTACCATGGACAAAGCCAACGCGTGATGGAAACCCGTGCGGCAGTGAAGAGATGCGCTGGGGTGTCATGGCAGGTGTCGTAAAAGTTAGGTGTTTTTCCCAAAATCTTTTGGGAAGCAAGCAAAATAACTGGCCATCTGAAACGTTTACGTGGTCACAATTAAAAAGTGGGAGTAAAACCACAGTGCGCTAGAGTTTGTACGGAGGCTACAGTTTATACGGAGAGTCTAAAACTGGCACTCTTCCAAAAATGCATCTGGGAGCAAAGTGACCCAGGTGCACGTAAATTGGCTACATTCAGCAGACTTTAATTAGCCCTGTGACACGTAATTTCACCGACATTCGCTTTTATATCCAAACAAGTTGAAATTGTGCATAATAACCCTCGAGTATGCCGAGTGCATTTTGTTTGTGCATATGGGTATATATCACGTGCACTTGCTTACGTGCATGCGTGCGTATGTCCAACACCCCTGGCTCAAGACAAGTGGATTGAGCAAGTCGGTCAAGACTTGCAGTGCCGACCACTGCGGACATGAGTGCATGCGTGTATGCGTGCGTGTGTGGGGAGCACTGCAGTATGAACCCGGAGACCCAAGTTCGATTCTCGTTCACGGCCAACACCAGTGATAATTATCTGAACTGGTCCTGGACCTCCCTTAGGTCGACTCAGCTTCAACTGAGCACCTGGTTCATTGTGTAAACATCGCCACAAAGGTGACAAAGGAGGCCGGGCGTGGTGCTGGCCACCCGCCCCCTCGTGTACCGTGCCGGCCTTCATCGGTGCTTGCTAACAGTACTTGCCTGAACAGTCTGTTAAGGTTACACGGGGAATCTTTGTCTCTGTACGGGTGTGTGTGTGTGTTGGCAGAGTAAAAGCGCCCCGTATTGCACCTCAAGCTGCTCGTCTTGCAGGAAGGCGAGAACTTGCTTACGGATGGAGCACACGGCCTCTGGGTCAGCCAGGAACAGGAAGAGGTTGTAGAAGACCGTGACCTGCAGGTAAATGAGCGCCGTGTAGCGGGCATGCCACGAGCTGCTACACGAGATCTGCGAACCACAGAGACAAAGATCCCCACATGTAGTCTTCAGCAGAATGTTGGCGCAAGTGCGAAAAGCAAGCAATATATTAAGTCTGGCACAGCACACGAGGGAGTGGGTGGTCAACACTATATCTGGCTGCCTTTATCTCCCCAGTGCTTATGTTTAAACACCATACAAGTAAATCAATTGTAAGTATGTATGTTGAACATCTTTTGCACCGTACGTAGCCAAACGTGCTCAGCCTAAGTCGACCTCGAGGAGGCCTAGGACCGGTTCAAATATTCACCATTGTTTTTGGTCGTGAGTGGAAATCGAACTTGGGTCACCGGGTTTGTAGTGCAGTGCGCGAACCACTACACTACCACTCCTCACCACGCACTCTGAACCACGCGCACACATACCATCGGGGTTACTACACATACATGTCTAAAACCCTTTGGCAATTCATCACTGGATGGGGGCCTCCTCACATTGTGGCGGGTAATTAGGGCAATATGACCATACACCATCATTGTGGGCTGAAAGCAGCCAGCATAAACGTGACAGCACAGAAGTTCAGCAAAACAATGGAAAAGTTAAACTGCCCAATGTTGCTCACCAGGTAGCCCCGAAGCCTGTAAAACCTGTTCTGCATGGTGGTCGCCCCTCCAAACACTATCTATATATATAAAATCGTTCATGTCTGTCTGTCTGTGTGTGTGTGTGTGGACTTTGGCCCATACGCACTTTCATTGGACGGCGGTTGCCCCTGGCAACGGCTAGCCACGCCTTCGCCGCTTTCATTGGACCTGGCAACGGCTAGCCACGCCTTCGCCAAGGGCTGCAGTTTCATTGGACGGCGGTTGCCCCTGCCAACGGCTAGCCACGCCTTCGCCACTTTCATAAGCTCCGTATTTAATTAAATAATAGCCATTACACAGTATTGTTGGAGCGCTAGGGGGGGGGGGGGAAGGAACGCCACCCGTACCCTGCCTTTTCCAAGCCGACAATTTTAGGCGAGGCCGCAGGCTTTGCACGCTACTAGGCCTCGACACCCACCACGCCACTCTGAGGTAAATTCATCAAAGTTTTTCCTACTCTTCACTACACCCCCACCACAATGTGTGCTATTAATATTACTTTTAAACCCAACGCGCCAACAATCGATTACTTTAATGTTCACTGTACAAATACTCATTAAGCTGGGTGAGCGTACTGCCAGTCTATCATGTACACTGTAGCCTGCTTATTAAGCTCGGTGAGCGTACTGCCACTCTATCATGTACACTCTAGCCTGCTTATGAAGCTGAGTGCGTGTACTGGCAGTCTATAATGTGGACTCTTGCCTGGTTATTATAATCGATTCTTTATATGTTCTTTGTACAAACAGTCATTAAGCTGCTTGAGCGACCCCAGTTCGATTCCAACTCACGCCCACCACCGCTGACGATTATTTCAAACGGACCTGGCCCTCCCCTAGGTCCACTCAGCCTCAAAAGCGTAACTGCTGTCGTGTGTGAACATCGTCACTGGGGAGACAAAGGCGGCGGGGCATCGTGGATCCAAGTCCCGGGCGAAGCCGGGTCATGTGTATGTGTGTTTGTGTTTATGTGTATGTCTGTGTGTCTCTATGTATGTGTGTATGTATGTGTATGTATGTGTTTGTGTGTATGTGTGTGTGTATGTATGTGGGTTTTTTTTATGTCTTTATGTGTATGTCTGCGTGTCTCTATGTATGTGTGTATGTACGTGTGTGCATGTGTTTGTGTGTATGTATGTGTGTGTCTATGTATGTGTGTGTATGTGTTTCTGTGTATGTATGTGTGTGTATGTATGTGTGTTACGTGTCTGTCTGTGTGTCTGCATGTATGTGTGTGTGTATAGTGTATGTGTTTGTGTGCATGTATGTGTGTGTTGTGTGTATGTGTATGTCTGTGTGTTTGTATGTGTGTGTATGTGTGTGTATGTGTTTGTGTGTATGTGTGTGTATGTATGTGTGTGTATGTGTTTGTATGTGTTTGTGTGTTTACGCTCGCATTACACAAATGTGTTGCTGGTCTAAGGCGTTCCTCGCACAGCATTGCCGCTTTATTATTTCAGTCGTTTACTGCCTTACGCACCCTGAAAGTCGTGTGTGTCTGCAGCAAGCGCGTGTATGTGTACCTATGGACGCGCGCGCGTGTGTTGTGTAGGGGGAACGGTAGCGTAGTGCTTAGCGTGCTGTCTGTGTCTGTGTGTGTGTCTGTGTGTGTGTCTGTGTGTGTGCGTGTGTGGTGTGTGGGGAGCGGTAGTGTAGTGCTTAGCGTGCTGTCTGTGTGTCTGTGTGTGTGTGTGTCTGTCTGTGTCTGTCTGTGTGTGTCTGCGTGTGTCTGTGTGTGTGTCTGTGCGTGTGTGGTGTGTGAGGAGCGGTGGGTGTAGTGCTTAACGCTACGCTGCGCTACCAACCCGGCGAACCGAGTTCGATTCCCGCTCACGGCCACCACCGGTGACGATTATTTGAACCTCCCCTAGGTCGACTCAGCCTCAAACGAGTAACTGGTGTGGTGTATTAACATCGGCACTTGGGAGACAAAGGCGGCAGGGCGTGGTGGATCCAAGTCCCGGGCGAAGCCGGGTAGTACAGCTAGTCCAGGTTTAAACCTGACGAGAACGGGTACATCCCGGGTAATTTGTAGTTGCAGTAACTGCATACCCTTACACTATTAAAGTACTAAAATGAAACTTTTAATTTTAACAGGTAAGGTCCACTGAGCTGTATAACTCTTCTTCAGAAGCGACCTGGTCACAAGTGATAGCCCAATTAAGTGGCTTATCATGTGTAAATCTATAGCAGCCAAATACTCTACATGCACGCTTCTAAATGTGGAGGTAAAAACCAGAGGGACCTGGAGAAAAATCCAAGAGACCTCGGGGAAAACACGCAAACTCCAACTCTACAGGCATCGGGGATGGGATCAAACCCATGACCTCTTGCATACCAGGCGAGGTAGGTAACATCTCGCCACCGCAGGGCGCTCCTAACACATACCATTATGTCGACAACGCATCGTGTGTAAGACACCACGTAAAGGCTTGGTGCTCGTGCACGCCCGGGTCACCTGCTCGAGCATTTTGAAGATGATGGGCACGTGGTCAGTGGGCAACAGGGTCTGGGCCACGAGTGAGAGCGCCAACTTGGCATCGCTCTTCATCTCATCGTAGCTGGCATCGTTCTCCACTGGGGTAATCTGCAACATGGACAAGCAACACATTACAGACTGACTGACTGCTGCTGAGCTCGGTGAGACAAACGTTTAATATTTGTTTTCTTCAGTTTATGTACAGGGAATTCGAAGAATGAATCAATATTAATTAGATGCTATTATTCCCGTGAATGTGAAGGATTGTGAATGTAAAATAATGTGTATACTTGGGACGTCGACTAACATGGAACAACGACTGCACGAAAGACAAAAGAGTGAGGATCGCAAGGGCAAAATGAGTAATGGCAGAATTCAAATAACATCTGGAGAAGCAAGCAAGTCAGCTACAAGACCAAACTGAACATCTTAAGAACATGCATGTCCAATACAGCTGTTTGTGTCTACGAGACTTGAAAAAGACTGATAGAGACAAGATATTGGCATTCAAAATGGATTGCCGCAGAAGGATACTGGATCTAAACTGGACCCAAAGAAGGACCAACATAAAAATACAAAAAGGTTGCACGTAGAAGAAGACCTGATGATGCAGGCAGTGATAAGAAGGAAACTGGCACTATTTGGACACATGTGTAGGATGGACAGCAATATGAAACTTAAATAGTGTGTTCGGGAACAATGGAAGGAACCATGCAAAAAGGTAGACCTAACATAGAATGGCTTGACTACAGAAGAGATCGTTGCCAGAGAGATGTGCAACTAAATGAGCATATTGGCACAAGACAGAGGAAAGTGGAAACAATGAAATGTGCAGTGGACACCGACGGGCGCGACCTGCCCATGGCATCGTGATGATGATTATTCCCATACCTTACAAATGAGTGGTAGCAGCTGTAGGTGCTCCTTCGGAGTGGAGTAGAGGGAGCGCCCAGCACTCGCCATCAGCCACTTCAGCACTAGAGCCACAGACACAGACCAAATGTGACGAGGCATCATGGATCGATTGAGTGAGTGATAGGAGACACTTGCTTCGGCGCCGTCTCGCCACCACAGGGGCTCATCCCTAGTGCTATGTACGCATGTGTGTTGAACTTCTTTCGCACCGTACGTAGCCAACCGTGCTTATCGAAGGTGTGGGGGAAGGACACGCATAACTAAACACAAAAAGCAGTTCTGAAGAAATGTGTTTTAAATCAAAATTAAAAAAATGCAAAGCTCCAGCAGCTTCCTACTCGTAGCTCTCGAGGTAAAAGCGAAACGTCGAACAAACGCCTGTAATTTACACCATTGGTAGGATGAGGCTAACGATGAAAACAAAGATCTCTCAATTTAATTAATCGTATTGTTTAGCTGATTTGAAACACTGTTTCTGATTTTAGCCATTCATCAAGAGGGTGCCCTCCAAGCAAGCAATCAAAACACAATTCTCACGTCATCAAAAATGTTTTGCCTGCTCTCCAGAGGTGAGGGTCTCACCTTCTCAACAGAACAAATGTTCACTTTTGAAATGGTGCCGTTTTCCATGTTTTTAGCGCACTGCTCATCCTCGTGTTATATTTGGTTCTCACGTTTGAAGTGGAACGATAAATACAGTAGACTCTCGATTATCCACGTTAATGACGGGGAGGACAGCCACAGATAATTAAAAATTGCGGATAATCCCAAAATATTAAAAAAATTCACTGATCTCTTTGCCAAAAACCACTAATATAGAGATAGGTTATGTTAAGTTAACAAAATTTAGTTTATTAATTAATACAACTAAAATTTGTAGTAAAGAATGTATTGATCTTGTTTTTTACAAAATCCCATACAAAAGCACACCCTCACTTAAAAAGGTTTGAAAAATCCTTTCCTGCTCCCGCACAGAAGACTCCGCCCACTAAGTGGATAGCAGCAGAGGCATGCCAATCAAAATAAATCAAATTCTACCCACTGTTCTAAAGATATGCAACTACTGTACTGCAGAAGCGATCACGTGGATTTCGGATTAACCGGAACACATATTTGTTTAGTTCAAGCACGTAACTTGTAATAAACATATCCAAGAATACCAATGAATAACTGTTTTTAGATTATTAATTTGGGCCAAGGAAAAATCCACAAGTGATTAATTTATGTCAAAATCTCAGGTGCCCTGGTTAATCGGCAAAATCGGATAAACCGCACGCGGCTAATCGAGAATCTGCTGTACCTTTCAACAAAACAAAAGCGGCACAGGGGATAATCAGCGAGAGTTGCCTGCCGGGCTCACCCGTCTTGAGCAGCTTGATGGCCTGCACCACCTCGTCAGCCTCCTTGCCGCCGCCGTTCTCCTCCAGCACGTGGTTCGAGATCTCCTCGTCGAGCTCCAGCAGCGGCTTGAGACGCTGCACCACGTTCGCGGCAAACTCGGCACGCCGCGGCGACAGCGTGTCCACGCCGTTGGGCAGCGCCACGTCCAGCATGAAGATGTTCGTCAGCACGCTGCACGGCATAGGGGAAAGATCGCGTGGCCGGGTGCAAGAGTTAAACGAATCGCACGTAAGCATCCGACAATGAACCTCTACAACTCAATTTCCACTGAGCAGATTATCACGTGGACTCACGGCCTCCACCATAAGAATGTGGAATTTCTACCAATGGCTCTAGACTTAACAGAGACGAGCATCACCAAATGCTGACAACACTTTGACATTCATCATTATAAAAAGAAAATCTAAACATTTACGTGCAATACTTTTACGTGTGTGTGTGTGTATATAGATAGCTAGTACCTCCCAATGCGCTCGCGTACATTCTTGTACACTTGCGTAAGCATGGGCTCCAGGTAGCCAAGCAGGGCATGGAGGAGGCTGGGTACACGCCACTCCTGCTGTGCCAAGCCGCCCTGCAGCACGTACAGCCGGCTACAACACACAGCCGTGCACCATACGCCTTACCAATCAGCACGTACGACCCGCCACTTAAACGACGCTTCACAAGCGTGTTCAATACTGCTGGTTACTTTGGACAAGACAACAGCGCACGTATACGGTTATGCAGAAGTGGCCGACCTACAAAAAGCATGTTACATCATGGGGGAGGGATTTTTTTTTCAACTCACACAAGTAGCTATCATCCTAAATCGGAAAAATGGATGCAATTGGATCAGTACAGATACCGTATAAATAGGGTGACAATGACCAAGTCAATTGGCCCTTAAATACTTGTTCCTTCGAGGCTGTCACTTTACCTTCTATGGCAAGATACCAGATATAAAAAAACACCCCACCGATTGTTAGAATTCATAAATCACAATCAACTGTGGCACAAAACTTCCAACGCCTCAAACACACACAAAATAATTTTGCCAAGATGACAAGCCACACACAGATCACAACATTCAAAATAGCTTACACCATCATTCCTCTCATGGGAACAAACTTTAGTTTCACAAAAGCCATTTTCCACACATGCCTTTAGCCGTTTTCATTAAGCGAATTAAAACTGACACATGGTAAACCCATCCAGTGAACATTTGGCTCAAGCGAGCTAAACTATTCATACGCCACCTTCACCAAACCAGTGGATAGGAAATGTGGAACTTGCTACTTTAAAGACTGACGCTCTACTCACAAAATCAGTGAGGTTAACATCCTCCTTATTTATCCAGGTAGGAACAACAGTTCCACACTGCCCACCAGGGATTATTTGTATGTCTGTCTGTCGTGCATAGCCACGCCCTCGATTTGTATTTCATAGAGCGCTTCGGGCGGGCTTAGCACCACGTGACGCGCCGCCCCACGCAGCTTGCGCCGCGTGACACGGATCGCACGAATGCGCTGTCCAACCAAGTTCCTACCTGCCCACTCCGAAGGAACGTGTTTGGTTCTTACCTCGCATCACTGAAGGAGCCTCCTTCACCACTGACAGGGGATTCCATAAGCATTTCAAACAGCCAGTAGATCTTCCTTGGGTCCTGACTCTCCTGCAAGTAGTAAGTCACACTTATTGAAACACTCAAAACAGGCACTTTTTATTTAATATTGTAGTGCGGCTATGTTGGCGAGACCACATGCACGAGATGCCTACACAGGATGTGGAGATGCACGTTCCCCAGTCCATGAAGGTTTCCACACTGATGTTGGACAGTGCTGTGCGCAAGAGTGGGCAGATGAGTCCCCACATCTTCTCAACCTGAAAACAAATATCATTGTCAAAATGTTGCGCAAACTGATAACTCAGAATGGCTCTCACACCCATCACACGTAGCGTGTTTTTTTTCATGAAATTTCTCACTGCCACTATTTAGAAGCTTCCCACCTTCTCGAATGTCCAATGCTTGGCTCCACGAATGATGCCAGCGATGATCTCTGCCACACAGCGCTGGGCGCTCTCGTGCACATCAGTGACCAAACGCTCCATGTGCGGCAGGAACACGGGCAGGAACGCATCGTCAAAGTTCCTAAAGAGACCCTGTTGACAAAATTAGAACTGCAATGAAGAAACCAGACTGCATTCTAAATGACAGATTAGGAAAGCAAGCACTTCGAAATTCAATGTACGTACGTATATACACATTTACACGCCCAGGAGCTGCCATGGTCACACGGCTGCTGACCTTAAAAAGGATGAACCTCCGAGCATTGAACTTGTCCTTTCCTTTTCGGTCCTCTAGGGAGAGCAACGCAATGAACTTCTCCACGAAAGCGGGGTCGATGAAGTGATCGTACACCACCTGCTCAGCCTGGAGGCACAAACAAACATTTGTACAGCTGAATTTGATTTAAGGTGACGGTCTCTCAACTGAAATAGTACTATTAGTGTACGTAATACATTTGCAACATGTCAACTTTTCACATTCATAATCAAGTCTTGTATCACCTCTGACATCTCATCTCGGCTGCGGCCCAGCTTGGGTTGCTCGGAGTAGGGCTTATACACCATCATCTGTCTGCGCAAGGAAAATCATAACAATGGTTACAAGTTTGTATACATGAAGGCGTTGCCTTTATAGGGGCATTTTTGAAGGCTGCATTACGAATGTCAAAAGTGTCTCGTTGCCCAAACAAGGGTGGGCAGCACTCATTTCTGTTGGCGGTCTTGAGCCAGCGGTGGAAATTCCACATTTTTATAAAATGAGCATTTCTCTTGATAAAGATTCCCAAAATTGTTTTCCCAAGTAGTGGTACTAATTTTATCTCCCTGGAGAGGTGATGGGCCAAGTCGACTCTCAGCCACTGACAATTTTTAAATTTCGAATCTGGTGACCTAAACACGGACGCCACTCTACTGGACCAAAACTTCCTTCCCAGATAAAGGAAGCAACCGGGGCCATGCACTTTTAAATATAGTTTGAAAAGTAATTTCTTGAGAACTGCTTTTTGTGCTTCGTTTGTTGTCCTTCCCCTGCACCTCCAATTAGCACGGTTAGTTATGTACGGTGTGAGAGAAGTTCAACACACATGCAAAACAAAAAAAGCGGACACAAATTTCCAACAACCTTGGCCAGGTGTAGTAGCCCCAGTGAGTCTTCTCAACGAAGACAGTCTCCTCCCACGCTTTCTGGCTTCGGGGAAGCCTCTTGGCGTCGTACTGCACCCAGCGCGTATCCGGCCGCTCCCCGGGCTGCACGTGCGCCGGCTGGCTCGTCCCGCCTGCACACGGACGTGCGCCCGCACGCACACCGCGACCGCCATATTGTTACAATGTGCAAGCGGCACCTGGGTGCAGAATCTGTGCCCGAGCACTCGACGAATGCGGACGTGAGAATCGTTGTTGAGAGACGTACTCATGGCGTATGGGTCGATTTCCATTTTCGGATGAAGCCGTTTCAGTTGTTTCATGATGCCGGCCACTGCACATATTGCGAGCTGTGTAAGAGAATTCACACAAAGTCATATATGCGTGTGCTTAAATCAGGAAAATATGGAAAACTAACTGCAATAAGACATTAAAATTTTGATTGATTGGAATTTTTATTTTGATACTAATTTTGTGGTCATTTAATGAATGCCATTTTGGCAATACATACCTTCCGAATTGCCAGGGAATCATGGTTCAGTTTCTCCACCAAAAACCGCACCCCCCGCACAAGAAAGGGGTGATCGTCCCTTAGCAGCATGGACACCAGACCGACAGCAAACTGCTCGAACTTCCAAGGCCTGCAATAAAAGAGGCAGTAAACCACTCAGGATTACATAAACTGTTTATGACACTGTTTATGACACTTGGTGCACAGTGGTAGTGTAAGAGAAGGACAAATAAAGGACTTACAGATTTCGGTTCTCTGCTACATCGATCAGAGCATTTATCATATTTTCATACATCCTGTGGAGCAAAGGTGGCAATGCAGCAGAAGTGAATTATTCACAAAGCACGAGGACTGGCAGATCACCGAATAAGTATTTACCAGATTAACGCATTTAAAATGTAAAGCAAAATAATGTCACTGAACTGTTGAGGTCTACGTATAGCTGGTGTCTTACTGAACGGCGTGCTGGTTTCTCTCTTGTAGCCTCTGTACGCCGAGCTGTTTTTCCTCTTCGGTGGGTTGTCTATCTTTCTCAGTGTGCCGCCACATTCTGGAAGCCACCTCAATGCACTTCTCTGAAACCTAAATGAAAACAAATACAACGACTGCATTTGGGTTTGTACTCATCAAGCTGGATTAAAAATCTATAAAGACAACATGGTTATGTGGTTCGTCACCATCTCGCATGTGATAGAGCAACAAAACCAGATTTCAAAGAGCAGGCCAAAGAAGATGATGTACTAGCAGCTCACGCTAAAGTCCAGACCGATGGTCTCGTACTGCCGGTGGATCTTCTCGGCCAGGTCATCAAAGAGCCGCACAATGGAGGGCTTCTCAAAGGACAGCGTTTGCGACAGGCCCGAAGCCACCAACGCCGGCCACGTGCGGCTGATGCAGTCCCAGTCGTGCAGGTTGGCCAGGCTAGTTGAGCCGTGACCACCAAGCAGACAGTACAGAGCACCCTGGGCGCACACAAAGACAATCACACACACGTAAGACACATGCATAATCCCAAAAACACACAAAGGACACATAACAAGACAAAGACTCCTCTACAGCGTGAATAGACTGTTGGGGCAAGTGCTGTTCGTGAGCACCTATGAAGGCCCGCACAGCACGCAAGCACCACACTCAGCCACCTTTGTCTCCCCATTGCTGATGTTTACACACCGCAAAAATTGCTTACTCCTTACAGACTACACCTACGGGAGGCCCAGGACCGGTTCATATATTCGCCACTGTTATTGGTCATGAGCGGGAATCAAACTCTGTTCGCCAGGTTTGGAGTGCAGCGTGCGAACTACTTTCCCACCGCTCCTCAAAACACATCCACTAAAAACACATTTTACATTCATTTATGCATTTCATTTTCTCAAAAAAAATTCCAAAATGAAAGCTTGAGATGTCACATTTTGTTTGCACCATGGTAACAGCTTAAATCAGATGGGTTAGGTAACTGTCAGTGCCCGTACAAAATTCAAGGCAAATACATATTTGAGTCACTCAAGAAACCAAGGAAAAAAACTTCAGTTCTTGCGAAAACGTGTTTTGTACAAGTCTGTTTATTTGACAATGCCATTTAATATTGAAGCGTTTAACATTGCATCTGATCTATCACATATACGCTTGACCATTACTTTGTGTCTGTAAGCACTGTGTAGCAGTGCTGGCCAGCTGATGTGTACCTTGAACTGCTGCTGAATGGCTTTGTCATTGTCTGGCCTCAGGTACTCCAGCACGTGTGGTATCAAATCCCGGCAGCAGAAGTTGAATGTGCTAAGCGATGAGAAAAAAACCTGCTGTGCCTTACTCCTCACCTGTTACAAATGAAACAATGAATGAAAAACACTGAACTCGTAACATTCACCCGTAACACATTATGAACACATTTAGTCGGTATCTGGTGGAGCACGGCTGTAATCCCGGGTGCCATACCCTGGCTTGCGAGAAGGAGACGGTATGGAAAAATGTGGACTACACCCATTTCATCTGTACGGAATAGTGTTGCCTGCTCCCACATGTGCTCCGGTTTCTACCAACATGTATGCTCATTTATTGGCCCGAAATCATCTGAATATACAGAGGACCATAGAGCTGCGGCTATTGTTGGTGCCGGCTCATCCCCTTGGCTGCCTTCAAACTTACCTGTGGTTCCCCGTGCCTCAAGAGTCTTTCTCTCTCTTTGATAGCAAGCGTTTACTGTGCGGCGCGTTACATTTTGAATGTATTATTGAAGAAAGGCTGCAATCGCTATTTTATTGCAACGCCAATCAGAGAGCACAAAACTTGGCTCACACTTCTGCCTGACAGTGGCCCATGCAGCACACACCTGACTGTAAGTGCTGGTCGACAGCTTCAGCAGGTCCATCAGCACCTCCTTGTGGATGGTCCTGTAGGTGCTGCCTTCCATAGCCAGGCTTCTCAACTAGAAAAATATCAGCAATCTGTCAGCATTTGTTATCAAAAACTGGGCAATTTATTTTTTATAACGCACAGATTTATTTTTAATCCCTTCTCAGATCGTTGTAGTTTGTTGCTGTGCATGTCGGCTCTCGTTCAGATGCAATATTTTTGCCTTCAGGGCATTTTCGTCCATTTGTTACGATAATCTCGTGAAAAATTGAATTATCAGCTTGCCTCGTGTTGCAGCATCACGCGGTCGATGAGCAGGGCTCGGATGTGCTGCTTGTGGCCATGGAGCTGGGGCAGCAGGGACACATGATGCCTTATAATCATCAAACGGTACGCAAGAATTTCTCATTGTAAACCATCAGACGTGACCACACAAAAGCCGGGCTGCACCGATATCGTGCCAATACCTTGTCCTCCATGGATTTCTTCACCAGGCTAAAGCTTTTCCATCTGGAGTCAAACTCTGCCTTGTGGGAGCCTTGGAAGAGCAACACCACTCCAAGGATCTGCAGAAAAATGTCGTGTGTTGGCACACCAGCGTCGCCGCACGTCACACCCGCGATGTTTTACCACATTCACGGCATGCGCACACGGGGCGTGGGAACGCTACAGCAATTTGTCAATTACCGTCAATATCAATGCTCACGAAACGTGCGTCGCATCACAAGCGGAGGAAGCAATTCTTGACAATGTATGCAAATTCACAACACCCAAACAGCAAACTGCCCTTGTGTGCATAAAACCTACCTTAATTATCTGGAACAATGACTTTGTGTCGTCTTCTGAGTTTTCAAGGATGTATTCTAATAATGATACGAAACAATGACAGATTAAGTGTTTCTGTCACACAGACGGTTCTTCTGTTATATATGCACAGTCGTTAAATTGGTTTGACACAGCAAAGGACAGATTAAAGATGACCTGACCGATATAGACTGTACCTTTTCAAGTATTAAAATATAGTATAAGCTTATATGTTGACAATTGGCATGTGTAAAATGTACTTACTTAGCAGATTTCTTGTAACTTTCAGAATAGTTTCTCTGTAGTTTTCTCTGTTCGTGTCTAATTGGGTAAATAGACCACATTGACTTAATGGATAAACAGTGAACAAACAACGTAAACAAATATACATACATATGTATATACACAAGTGTGAGTATCTATACATACCACAGTCAACCCCTGTGTAGATTAAAATATCTTCAATTTCTATCAAACTTGGGACTCTGAAAAAGATATACATTCAAAAATTCCACGTACAAAGTGAACAGAAAATTGCCAATGGGTTTATTCTCTTCATAAATGACACACGGCTTGAGTTCAACTGTTCATCATTTTCATTCCAAATGAACGAACGGAAATTAAATACAATGGTTACACTGCTATAAAGAAGCAGCGGTCAGTAATGCGTGCAGTAGCGTTGCTCGTACAGGTTGGGAATCTTCTCTCCGACAAGCGGTGGCATGATGCTGCCAGCTCCCATGATGCAGTTCGTCACGATTGACAGACTCTGCTGAACCGTCTCTCTTCAAACACAGAAAGACACGAGCACACCATACGCAACACGTTACATTCAAGCAAAGCATGACCGACTACTCCGCGTGACCTTGTTTTTAAACTTATATCGTGAAAAACTATTCATGAGCATTTGCGCATCGATGCTGGCGGCACCTCGTCATGTCGCTCCCGGTCGTGTAGGACTCCAGTTTCACAAGTTCGGGCCACAGGAAAGTGTCGAGGAGGCTGTGCGTGAGGGCCAACTCGGCAGGCGAGGGCATGTGCCACTTCATGTCCAGATTATGCAGGTTCCCAGGCCTACCCCAGTCCTGTTGGCATATGGTGAGCCGCGTTGATAGAAGAGAGTTGTAATTGATGCAGTTGAAAGAAATCATTATTTTTCGCAACAACCACAAATACAGCCCGCATGTGTATTATAAGCTACACATTCCATTGTGATGAACACAATAACTTAAAATACATCCTTACACAGCCAGCTTCCAAATTTACTTAAAAAGTACACTTTTCTTCAGGTCCACTTTTCTGAGGGAAGAGAACGGTGGATGTCCAATGAATAAACTGGTCCCCGTCATAGTAATGTACAATGTTAATGAGTGGCTTAGAACCCCCACGGGAGATGAGTACCGTCCCAAACTTATGCAAGTATGAGAACTTTGACTTTGTCATTACCATATTTTTCGACCGAAGTGTACAACCAAGGCTGTGTATATATGTGTGTGTGTTGTGTTATTGTTAACAAAATATAGTAGAGCCCAACATCAACATTCCCTGCTCGTGGCTGGACGCTCCCTTACTTGGGAAACGCACAGTGCGCGGCCGCCGTGTTGTGGTACACACACCCTGATAGGAAGGTACTCGGACAGGGGCTGGTTGAAGCTTCCCGGAACGCTGCAGTACTCGGTGGGGTAGATCATGGTGGCTGAGCGCAGCATGTGCTGCAGGAGCTTCCCGGCAAGCGTGTAGCCCTGCTTGTTCTTCAGCCACAGCGTGCGCTTCAGAATGCTCTCCAGCTGCCCACGGTACGGCAGCACTTCGGCACCATTGATGCGCACAATCTGACAACAAATGTCAAACGTAAACTTCGCCGCCACACACAAAAAACGATGAGTGGGTATGGGTTTTACGGCCTTTACAAACGTACAATGCTAGCACCTTTGGAGTGTATGGATTTAAGCCCTAGTTTACTGCTTGTGGTAAAATAATTATCACACAAAGCTATGTTAATGGTCTTAGCCCACAATTATCACTGAATTAACGAAAACATCCCATTTTACACAAATTCGGCAGCAGCTGTAAAGGTAAAGCAACACGAGTGACAGTATAAAGCATCTATGTAGTCATAGATAAATTATAGTGGACGGATAATGCAACGAGAAGTAATTCTATAATTCCGTGATGCATGTCTACATATTTTTATTTTATATTTATCGGGCAGACAGATGCAGACTACAATTTGTGTGCAAACAGACATTTCAAAAACGCTTGTCGATGAACACATTTGAAAATAATTACACACTTGAACTCTTATTCTTGGTTCTTTCGGTAAAGTCACGTACAATGGAAATAATAAAACAATAAAAATAAAACATTAAATAAAACATTATAAATATTGATTTTATTTTATTATTTCCATTCTACGTGACTTTACCGAAAGAACCAAGAAGATGAATCCCTGCAGTCACGAAAGCTTTAAATCGAAACTTGAACTCTTCTTAAAATCCTAACCTCAGACAGCAGCTGGAGGTTCCAGATGAGCTCCTTGTCCAGCTCTTCTTCTTGCTGCACCTCCTCATCTGAGAGGAAAGGTCCATCATGTCCAAAGCCAGACCAAATGCATTAGCATCGACGTGAAAAATCCCTCCACACAATTAGTGGCCCTGACAAAGTTGCAGCATGAAAGGTGGGAAGATTCTTACGGTTGGTGAGGTGGGTGATGACGGCACAGCAATGAGGGACAAACAGCTTCAGCGCCTCGGCAGGTCGGCACTGACCAAGAGACCAAAACAATGCGGAAATTATTCCACCGATTTAATTGTTGAGCGAGTTAGGTGCTTACATACTTCCTCGCAAACACGATTGAATGGCTTTCCAAACTCGACATGGATGTTATAAACTCGTCCGTTGCAATAAAAATGTCATACAAAAGTATAAGATACTCCACGTCCTGCTACTTGTTCGTTTGGAAGCTGTGGCTAAAACCGTGCCCCAGCCGATAAAAAAAACTACATGCTTCAGCCACATGTGTCGCATTAGATAGAACTATGTCACAGACATTACGTTACCATGGATATGGTCACATCAATCATTAGCCAAGGCTGCGGCTTACCTTTGCTGATGCTCGACACATGTCTGCTGCCATTTTTCCTGCAACTCTGGCTTCGAATATGTTGGTGGTAGCAAAGTTGAACAACTTGTCGAGAGCAGCCTAAAAGAGATTTAAAAAACACCATTAAATTCACCGATTCATATGATAATAATATGAAGTTTCTGAAACTCGCCCAACTCAGACATAATAGCACAACTACAGAAGTGCACGCATAAAACATGAACAACACATTTCTATTACATTGAAACAAAGTGTTGAAGTCACTGCTTGCCAGACCTTGTAAATCTGTGGTGAGGCCTGCATGAGGATAGTGCTGAAGGTGGAGGAGAGGCCCAGCTCCACCATGCTCTCCACGTGTGTCATCTTCTCCGTCTCCGTCTCTTCCCGCGTCTGCTCCAATGTGCTGCTCTCCACCAGCGCAAAGCATCTGCATGCAGAGGGAGGCATATGAAGCTATGTGCATTCCGCTCTGTGGTGCCACGTCCCGTGAGTCTGACTTGGAATGTATGGGACAGGATTGCAACTCACTTGTCCATGAACTGCAGGACAAAGTCTTCAAACTCTGCAGTGGCCGAGCATAACTCCCTTTCTTCCTAATATGGCAAACGAAATGGTAAGGGAGCAAGTTTTTTCATTGCAGCAAGCACAATCAGCCATGTAATGCAGTCATTTATGTATTTGTGCAATTTGTGCAGAACATTTACACCTACTAACCTTAGTGAGGTCAGTTCCGTTTTGCAGAGCTGGAGAGCAGTCCACCAAAGGCATGAGCGTCGCAAACGTTGCGATGAACTGAAACGTGATCTGTAACCCGCAAATGTCCGCGTGCTCATTTTAGTAACATACCAACCTGACACAAGCGCCGAGCGCGCTGATAAAAAAATGTAACGAACAAAAAGAAAAGCAAGCGTGATAAAAATGTAATGTTCGGAACAAAACGAGGTCTTACCATGCACTTGCTGAAGTCATTCGGGTCGACTCCAGGCAGGGCTCTCAGGAGGAGTGGGAGGGCATGGGAGGGTCCCTCTGGAAACCATCGCCCGCCGCGGATCAAGCTGCGCGCCACGCCGATCACGCAGCTCATGGTGGCCGTCAGTTGGTGTGGCTCCGTCAGGGTTTCCAGCGCCGAGTATGTCCTTTGTTGCGACAGTTTAATGGCACAATGATTTGCTTATGAATTAATAAGCCACGCATGAATATCTCATGACAAAAATCGGCCAGGTTGATAAAAAAAATTCACAGGCCAAATGGAATACAGAGCGTTTGACTTACAAAAACACTTGAGAATTTTTTTAAGTGTGGGGTGGATGTCTGGATTTTGAATGCAGGATCTCAGGCAGGCCAGCTCAGTGCTCTGACATCTGTGCCACCCATCTATGCCACCCATCCACCTTTAATAAAGTTTCTTGCTCAAACAGGTAGACTCACTTTTCGAGAACGGGTGGGATGACGAGTTCGGGACGCACGAGTGCGAGATTCTGCAGGGCCTGCGCAGCATCCAGGCTGCCGATCTTGCTGAACATAGCCAGCAGCACCGGCTGCATTAGGCTCTCCACGAAAGCGGTGACGTCATCCTCCGTGAGCTTGTGGCTGGGTGGCACCGGCGTTTGCCAGCTGGGCTTGCGGTACCGCTCGTGGTGCAGGCGCCGCACCAAGCAAGCCGGCAGCTTCTGCACCAACTTCATTAGCTTCAGCTGGTACAAAGGGTCACCGTCACACCAGACATAGGCACAACTTTATTGCAACCACTCTTAAACAAATGTTATCCTATGAACCATGTGCCAGTAGATGAAAAGCAGTGTAAAACCTGCACGCGCTCATTATGTTAGATTTTGTTTTATTTACATGCTCCTTCACAAGTCCATTCGATCAGGGAGGTTTTCGTCATGGTTAATTACCAAAACATTTTATTGCTTTGTAGAGTCTTTTTTATAGTTTCTATAACTGCGGAATTTCTGACCTCACTAACTTTTTTTAATTTCCTACTTTACGAGCAAGATCAAGAGAGTGAATGCTTGAGTCAGTTACAGGTTTAAAATAGAACACTAAAAGCATCTCCCAGTAAAACAGAAGGACAGCCACCTGCCACATACTTTGCATTTTGCACAAAAAACATTGACAGTGGCTCTAACGTGAATAAATCTTTCGCTTTGGTTTATTGTGTAGTTTTCAAGTTTGACCATATGCCATATGTTGTCATTAATAATAGATCAACGGGGAATAGGAATCGTGGTTATCCGATATTTACCGCATAGACTACAGCTGCCGCATGAACGCACTTGACACGTATGCTGCACGCTCACGACTTTGGCGCAATTCCCATGCTATGCCCAACCTAAAAATATATACTCTTATTATATTCCAACAATAATACATCACTAAGCACCGCACATTGTTACAAAATGAAAACATGTTTTTTTTAAAGGCAAGCAAAAAGAACCATGACCTTTATGCTTATAAACATTATTTTCCGTAAAAATTATTCACATCAGACAGACTGTGGTCATGGACCCTTACCAGCCATCTGCCATTGTTAGACGGATGATAGAACGAAGTCACTGCATTGAAGAAGCCGGTCAAATGTTTCTGAGCAAGTTTAGAAGGTCCACCCTAAAGGAAAAATGCAATTGCCACACAATGAATGACACCATACAGGAGTTATTTAATTCAGGCTATTTATATTCAAGTAACACAATGCTGAAATAATTATACCACCGTTAACATAATCATTAATAAATAATAAACACCTACTACGTTTTGTGAAAGCTAATTACAGCTCGGTTGTAATTTTATCCCAGCAATTGTATAGCACCCTTCACTTACACAAAGTGTGCATTTCAGCCACATTACCTTTGATACATACATCACAGTAATTTGTACAGTTGGTAAATTGTATTTGGTATTATTTTAACGTGTCGCGTGCTTGCAAGAAACGAATAGAGGCACAACATCTGTCCATGAAGAATATGAATATCTCATCTCTAGAAAGTGAAAATACAAATCATAGATGCTAATGGTTAAAGAGTCCCACATTACACTATCAGCTCGAGGGATTTAGTGAAAATGGAAAACAAGGGCATTAAATACCTAAGCCACATTGTATACATCCAACTAAAATATTATTTTATGTGAATCATTGTATGCACATCGCTGTCAGAGATAATGGTTGAGAGAAACAAGAGTGGCAGTCAAAAGAGAGATCGTGCCTGGAAGGACATTCCGCTGCAGAGAGGTTACATCAGTTAGTTTGCAGAGGCTAGATGGAGTCTTGTATTGCAGGACCATGAGAGATGGTGATAGTTTCGGAAGGCCTTCATCTGGCAGTCGCTTGATCATGGCTGAAGAAGACTTCTTAAACGTACAAATATTTGCACGTAAATTTTTTTATCTGACATTTAATTGTACCTATCAAAATTTTTTTTTTAAAGTCTCATGCTAGTACATTGAACTCACGAGCATCCGTTGGTGGATAGATCCAGTTTGTGGATAAATGCTGTTTCCAAAAAAAGGTACATGTTTATAGTGCACTGGTTTATTTATTAGATTGTTTTCACATTCGTGACTCAGTGCCCATGTGACTGCAAACATGTCTAAAAGTAAACTGAATACTTTAAAAGCAGAAGAAACATTTTCAAGTCTTCACACTCATATCTACATAGGTATGCATTTTGTAACTAGCATTGGTCAGTTATATTATGTTGTGTATTTAAAATGTTAAGCTATCATGTAGTAATTGTATGTTACCATGACAATTTATTGTACAAATTTGTTTTTCGGTTATCGTGGGACCATTTATCCCGTGGAAGAGGACAGCACACTTTGGGTAGCACGTTCCACAAGTTTCTGCAGAGGTTTGCGGTTTGCCTCCAGCAGGCCATTCTGGTTAATACTGCGGGTGTATTAACCATAACAAGTGCGCCGTCTACTTCACAGTAGATATTAAAAGATCCCAAGTAAACCATGACACCGTGTGTCAACGTCATGGTCCAAACTTGAAAAATTGCTCGCAAATTGCCGAATTGGGAAATATCGCAAAAATCGGCACCTACTACAAAAATTACCAGGAAGCTCCTTTGAAAGGAGTCTTGAGACTCAGCAAGGCATTCCAGGCTAAATAAGCGTAGTAACAATGATAATAATAAAATAATAAAATTCTATATTAATTTTGCCATAAAGTAGGAAACAGAAGCACTATGTCAAATCTCGAATTAGGAGTCGAGATTTTTGCAGACATGTACAAAGCCTGCAGTTCCGTATCTTCAAACCCTTACCAGCATGGACGTGACCCAAACGACCACGTGAGCAATGTCGTAACATTGTGGGCCGAACCTCGCCACCTGCGTGTGATTACTCCCAACCGGAAGATTCAGGCTTCGAAGGATCCTTGTAAAGATCTGAAGGCGAAAACAAATCATCAGAAAACCACTCAATGAAAGATAATATGAGCACGTGTTTGATCTTGTTTCAAAACGTGTGAAACAAAATTACAATTAGTAAGTATTTGAACAAAAAAATATTTGCTCGAAAGAAAAAAATGGGAAAAATAAACTTAAACGTTACGTCTCAACTCGGCAACATTACATTTTAAAAATCATATTGAACGTTTCTATGCGTTGCAATAAGTACAATGGTACAACAGTTGGCTCTTTAAAGGCCACCCTTCAAGGAAATGAAAACTTTGCCACTTGCCTTGGGTATGTAGGGGTCCCAGTCGATGTAGCCTATATTCTCTGAACTCAGCCGGGCAAAGAGATTCACCAGACTCTGTTGGCCAGAACAAATACATTATTAGCTTCCTTTAACTTTAAAAGTTCAGTCAAGCAGTTTGATTATCAATAGGGAAATAACAATTGGTTACATTCTCCAAACATGTTTCCAATTCAGTTTGAGCAGTATAGCAATCAATATCTGTGATGGTATATCATGTCTTTGTTTAACGTAGTTATTTGTAATGTCCATCTGTGACGGCATATCATGTCTTTGTTTAACATAAGTTATCGATAATGTTCATTCTATCCGTGATATTTCCATGCCTGCTCTATGCACACACGTCTGTACCAAGTAATATACAGGGATTAAATAACATTTTCATTGTGGATGTAATGTATGTTAAAGTAAACACGTTATAAGATATTTTTTTTACTTTACATTTAACTTAACTTACTCCTTCCCACTGTGGCAGGTTGTGCACAGAATCCCAAATTCCAACGAATTCGTCAAACCAAAGTCTGTGGAAACATCAGCAAGAAACAAGAGTTACTCAATTCCGCAGTAAAGCATTACACTATTTAAGCGCACGCATGCTGTAGTACCCATTCACTGCCCGTGAGATAACGGAATGCAAAGTGGCTCTCACTGTCTGCTCGCCTGCTTGCATAATAATCCCAATCAGCACACACCAGTGAGCAATATCTCTCTCAGACCTGCCAGCATCCTACCTGAAGCCTTTGTGATGACGTTCTGGTGGCAGAGATGTTGGCAAGAACAGCTCGAAGTAACTGATGCCCTTTTGCATGGTGACATCAAAGGGGCAGAGCAAAGGGCGCCACTCATCCAGCATTTCGGCAGTCGATTTGTCTGAGAAATACCTGAAAATAATAGATCAAATAGGTCAAACCAACAAAATTAAACATGCCGAATTTTATGTTTTTTTTGTCACACAGGTCATGTCAATATTTAGTAGCAAAGCAAACAAGCGGGGAGATTTTATGTATTCACAGTATCTGATGAATCAGTATGGACTTCGTTCGCACCATACACAGCCAAACGTGATAATTGGAAAGCAGTTGAAAGAAATTAATTTTCAATCCAGATGTAAACATCAATAGCTCTAGTGGCGCCCTAATATTGGAAGAGCATTCCAGACGGCCGCAGAAGCGCAATCTGGAAGTGCACAATGCAGTGACTATCTTTGGTCGATGGTTAGCCAAAAGCCGCTGCGCGGATGACCACAGTTTGTGTAATGGTTTATGCTCCTTGGTGAGATCAACAAGGTATTGTGGTTAATTTGTAGCAAGCACTTCGTGTGTAATGAGTGCGAATTCACAATTTATTTGTTTGGCAACCGGAAGCCAATACAGCTCAGCTAGCGTTGGACGGACACGGTCGGACCTTGCAGAGTGGACTTACGTTCGGCAGCAGCGCACCAAAGACTTGAGCACATTTTCCAGGGAACTGTGTGACAGGTGTAAAATAAACAAGTGAATGCAAAGCTTCACATTTTTATTGAAACAGTGTAATGCAACTTAAAATGCAACATTCATACGCTATTCAGAAACGATTATTTTTTATATTGATGTACTATTCATTAAGAGTACAAAATGTTTACACTTTAAACGGTATAAACTGAGCAGGACACATAAAATGCAGTAGCATGCAAAAAAAAATCATATTGTACAAGTTGCAATACATATTTACTGAATCACTGGAGTCAAACAAAAGTAAAAACATATAGATTAGTGAGTGGCGAGCATAAGCAAGACAACATTGCAGCACTGTGAATATAGTGTATACGTTATCCATGCACTTTGAATTAATCTAGTTTTATACGATGGAGAAACACTTACACATTTGACACACAAGACACGCATTGCCAGAAAATTCTAAGCTCCCTGCAGAGAACCCACGATTGAAGGGAAACTCTTGCACAGTATCGAAAATAAGACACTGATTAACATAACACAATTGCTCAAACACACTTTTCCCATTGGGCACTAACATGAAATTTATCTTACTAAACAGTTTGAACATCTCCCATTAAGACGTCACAAAATATAATTTTCATTCTAGAAATGTTAGTAAGTGAATATATACAAACCATTTATGACACAGTTAGTCAATAAACTACAAGGCTGATGTCAGAGTTTTAAAGCAAATCAGTCTCCTGCCCTCTGCACCTCTTTACACATATCCTCATGTGACACACAGCGGTAACACAAGGCTTCAATGCTCATATAGCAACATATGTAGGGAGGCTTCCTTACCACCTATGTATTGCATTAAGCAAAAGTGATCTAGGAGATGGTGAGCCTTGTTGAGAACTGGATTTCAAGACAAAGGAATACAATAAAGCAGTGAAACCATTACCCGCAGCAACTACAATGCAAACGGAGAAACATAACAAAAATGGATGCGGCAAAGGCCATTCATCCATCCTATAAATTCCACCATGGATAAAAACAAGGTTTAAATAGGCCACACTCATGAGGGGACAACTAGGAGCCACACCAGACAAGGTCGCCTACATGCACCATTGTCTGCACAGCATTTTATTACAAACTGTAACATCTAAAAGATTATACATGTAAATAAATGTTACACACAGTATACTCTTTATCAATGACATGATCAAATCATAAGTTCAATAACATTCTCTATTAACGGCCATAAACGCATTGCAGCCAAGTTCTATTTTCGGCAAGGTGCATGTGACTGGGTTATTCAAATTACTGACCAATACACGTGGTGTGCTATTCACGCTTTAAAATGTGTACAGCACACCCTCCAATGACATGGTCACCAAGTAGAGAACAATTGTGACCACACCAATACCACAGCCTTTTAAAAAAACAATATCCCAGATTTTCTGGCAAGTTTTCAAATAATGAAGATGGGTTCTCTGAGAGAATTGCTGTTGTTAAATTCGCAAAGCTTTCTCGACAGCACCTGGTTATAATGACAATACTTTGAGTTGTGGAATTTGGCATTGCTTACTTTGGGTACCAGTTCAACCCCAGATGTTCATTCTTTGAGTAGAACACCCTCTCCACCAGCTGGTAGAGAGGCCTCCAGGGAAGAACAATGTCATCTCTTGAAAGAAGGTCCTTTTTTCTGCGTGGTGAAAAAGACGACAAGTGCTGATGGAATGGTTCGGTTTTATCATTAATGGTCACAATTTTACATTTAAATATTTGTCAATGTATGGGCCACGCTGTGTCGCCCTGATGGAGGAGCCAGCTGAAACTCACTTGAGTAACGTGATGAGAAGTCGTGCGAAGCTCTGCACCATGCTGACCTCCAAATTGGGGATGGTGACCAGCTCATAAACCAGGTTGACAAACAAGACATGGTCCTCCTTGCTAAACTTTCTCCCATACAGGCGAATGTACCTGAAAAAGACAAATGCCACGAATTTAACAGAATGCAATATTTACACAAACGTGTTACGTAGAGCACTTAAGTGTGAATCTTGTATTCATAATTAACGACACCACAGTTTACAATAAAGCAGCCACACAATTAAAAAAAGAATATTTTTACTGTGGCTTATTATGCTGCATATTGCAAAAGAGCAAATGCAATTGCAACTTGCTAAGTCCCACCCACAAAAATGTCACCAGCAGGCACACTGCCGCATCTTAATGGCACACTGCCCAGAACAGAAAGGAACACAACATACAGTCGTCACATAACACACACACACACAGGTGAAATCACTCTCAGGCTATCCAACGCAAAGGTAACTTGGTTTGGTCCTTGGCATTGTCATAAGTGTCACGAAATCGCATTAGAGCTCACCATCCTCCCCCCCACTCCCAAGCCAATTAAGATCTCTAAAAATATTCTGTACTTTGCTGCTGATGATGATGACGATCATAGCATTAGGACGGCAGGTTTAATTCTACACAAGGAGGGGGAACACGCTTTTTTTGGAGGAGGCCTGCCACAGTGTGTTGACCTTTTTTGGCGGGCCGTCAAATGGACATGTTTGAATCTGCTTTGTAAAAGTCACAATTCTAAGGGAAAAAAAAGTATCTGTAAATAAAAAAACAACGACCCACTATTGTGCAGTACTATCTTCCCAGAAGCTTAACACAATCCTCACTGTGGCGGGCCTACGAGAGCGAGCGTGGGGAGGCAGTGTGTGCCAAGGGTGACTTGCAAAATCTCATGGTCACAACCCCGGGGCAACAGCACTAGGCCCGTGAATTCATTCTCACCTTACACCACATTCCTAACGCAGACCCTCTCACTCGCACAAACACAGCCCCTCTTGCCAGGCACAGAGACCAGGTTGATCTAAACCCTGCCCACAATTGCCCCGCGTGATACATAAACACAATCATACGCATGTACACAAAACACGTGTGTCATGCGGACTGTTCACATGGCAAGTAGAGGCTGATCACTGTACACACTGGACACCGTGTGACCGTGTGAGCCGGTAAATCGAGAATACTTTGGGCAGACGACACGCAATCGGACAGACCAGGTACACGAGAAAGCGACATAGACTGAGAGAACGGGGCAGCAACAACAACACAGAGGCACCGATGGGACACCATCCTACCGTCAGCTCTACTTGCCACGAGAAAAGCGAGAGGAGACAGGGCAGCTGCAGGACACACAACACCCATGACACTGAACATACGACGAGAGAGAGAAGAGGAGGGGGGGGGACAAGCAATAGAGGCAACGAGCCGACCCACACATGACAAGACAACGGAGACAAACAGCAAGGACACAAGCAGAGAGGACACCCATGACGAGCTGTCCATCAATCCTAGACAGCACAATGATGACAACCAAAGCGCACATGGCAGTCAAGCGCGCTCACACAGGGCCCCGGACACGCACAAACAAACAGACAACAACAACACAAACGAGCCAGCACGACAGCAAGACGAGGAAGGACCGAGCCCTTACAGGGACAGCCTCCGGGTGCAGTGCATCCCGCCAGGCCACAGCTCACGGAGCTCCACGGCCCTCGCCAAGTTGCGTCTCAGCTCGGCCAGGAGCCGCCCGGCCTCCACCTGCAGTCGCGGCCCCGCGTAGGGCAGCAGCGCATTGTACACATTCTGCTTCTGGCTTCGCTCCTCCTCCTCCTCCTCGTCCTCCTCTTCGCCCATGGTCGTTATCGTCGTCGTCGTGGTCGGTCGGTGGTGGTCGTCGTCGTCGGTCTGTTGGTGGCGGTGCGGGAAGGAGAGGACGCGGCCGGCGAGCCGCTGAACGGGAAGCTTGGGCCTGCAGTTTCCCCGGCACGTCACGTGACGTGACGTCCACCAGCACCTCTACCGCCCCCTACAGCCCCCACCACCAACCCTCCTACCCCTATCACCACCCCCACCACCCCCACCACCACCACCCCCTCTAACGCCCCCTACCACCACCTACCACCACCACCACCACCCCTACCGCCACCACCACCACCCCTACCGCCACCACCGCCACCACCCCCACCACCACCCCCACCCCCACCGCCCCCTACCGCCACCGCCCCCTACCACCACCCACCACCTACCACACCACCTACCACACCACCTACCACCTACCACCACCCACCACCTACCACCACCCCTACCACCACCTACCACACCACCTACCACCACCTACCACCACACCTACCACCACCACCATCACCCCCACCACCACCACCCCCTCTACCGCCCCTACCACCACCTACCACCACCTACCACCCACCACCACCACCCCTACCATCACCACCCCCTCTACCGCCCCCTACCGCCACCTACCACCACCACCCATCACCACCACCCCGACCACACGCCTACCACCACCACCCCCACCACCACACCCCCTACCGCCCCCTACCACCACCACCCCCACCACCACCACCCCCACCACCCCCCCTACCACCACCACCCCTACCGGCCCCTACCACCCCTACCACCACCACCCCTACCAACAACAGCAACAACCGCCATTCGCCACTAAGTGGCGGTGACGTCACCACGACGCTTTTGCCAGGTCATGTGCACCTTGAGGCCACGTTAAGAGTCGAACGCCCGCTGGCAGGAGGTCACGGGGCAGACCCAGGTGCCACGGGTCGACTGACTGAGATGACCGAGATGACTGGCTGATGCACCACCTGTGCCCCCTACTGTGCCAACTTGCTGTGCTTTAGCCACCCGGCGCTCCGCTCATTGTTGTGAGCGTCGCTCCTCCGCCCTCCGTTGTTGTTGGAGGGCGACTGCCTCCAACTGCCCAGTAGCGTCCTTCACGAGCCTCCTCCACAGAGGCCGATCTTGACACCGCTGGTACCAGTCATCGGCAAGTTCACTCAGCTCCACGTCTTCCTGTACCACATCACTCCATCTCTTCTCTAGCCCTTGCCGCGCCCGTTTAGCCCCCTCGATCCGGCCGAACAAAAGCTGTTTAGGCATGTGGTGGCTGGGCATGCGGGCTACATGACCCAGCCAACGCAGCCTTGCCTGCCGGAGGAGCTCACCGATGGGACTTTGCCCAGATCTTTCAAGGATTTGTGAGCTCCTCACACAATCCAGTCCTGGTTAAACCCAGGATGGATCGTAGGCAGGCCAGCCTAAATGTTTCCAACCGGCGAAGATGCTCATTAGGGGGGTCTACAGTTTCGCAAGCGTAGAGAAGGGAGGGAATGACTGTGGTCGAGAAGACCTGAAGCTTCGTGCGGAGCGACAGACCAGGTAGCTTCCACACAGCGTTACGCAACTGATGAAAAGATATTGCCGCTCGACTGATTCGGAGTGAGACTTCTGCTGTTAAACTGGAGCCGGTCATAAGCACACTTCCCAGGTATGGGAAACTCTCCACTCTCTCCACTACTGCCCCATCACCGATTGGGAGTTTTGGGGGTGGAGTGTCCGATGGTACAAAATACCCAGGCAGGTGCTTAGTTTTGGTGGGGCTGATGGTAAGGCCTCACCTCTTAGTGGCACGCTCCAGTCTCAGCAGCAGCGTCTCCAACTCCTCTGAATGAGCAGCTATTACCAAATCATCAGCATACATAACGTGGTTGACCAATAGGGAGCCATCCCTTGATCGCACCCGGGCATCGATCAGCCTCCCATTATATCTGTACCAAATGGAGAATTCCCCCGGTACAGCTATTGAAGGCTTCACGAACTACGTAGTCAAAATAGATGTTAAATAATGTGGGAGCCAGAGGACATCCCTGTCGCACCCCAAAGTGTACAGGGAAAGGCTCTGACTCCTGGCCACGTAGTTTTACCCGGGCCTGCTCACCATCATGAAGGTCCTTAATGATCGTGAGCAGAGGGTCAGGGACTCCGAAAGCACGAAGAACAACCCAGAGCCCAGGCCTACTGATGGTATCATAGGCCTTGACCAGATCAATAAAGCAGAGATGTAGGTCTTGTTGGAATTCCCTAGACCTCTGCTGTAGCAGACAGACAAAAAATATGGCATCTGTGCAGGACCGCCTTTTCTGAAACCGCATTGGGGCTCCGCAAGCCTCTCCTCGGCGTGCCTAGCAAGGCGATGTTGAATAATCCTTGCCAGGACCTTTCCCGGCACACTGAGGAGTGAGATGCCCCTGTAGTTGTTACAGTCTGTGCGGCCCCCCTGATTAAAGAGGGGGACCACCAGGGCATCCTTCCAATCCCGTCCAGTGGTCCAGACTGTTGTTATGATGTCATATAGGGCAGTCTGTGCACAAACGCCACCCTCCCTGAGCATTTTGCTTGGAAGATCATCTCTGCCCGGTGCCTTTCCTGGTCTCAGACTCCGAATCGCTTTCAGTACTTCCTCAACAGATGGCACCTCAGCCAGCCACTCACAGAGGGTGACTTCTTCCAATATTTGAGGCACCGCAGCCTCAGCAGGGTTATCCCCACTTTGTGCCATGATGTTTTCCTGGCTGAGGGATTTCCCCTCCCCCAGGACCTCACAGAAATGCTCAGCAAATCTGCAAACCTGTTCCTGGGGGTCGGAGATTGGATCACCGTTTTTTTCCCTAATGATGGTAATACCTACCACCACTCCTACCACCACCACCCCTACCACCCCCTACCGCCACCCCTACCACCCCCTACCACCACCACCACCACCCCTACCGCCCCCTACCAAAACCACCCCTACCACCTCCTACCACCACCACCCCCTACCGCCCCCTACCACCACCACCCCTACCGCCCCCTACCACCACCACCCCTACCACCACCGCCCCCTACCGCCCCCTACCGCCACCGCTACCACCACCGCCCCTACCGCCCCCTACCGCCACCCCTACCACCACCACCCCTACCACCACCACCCCTACCACCACCCCTACCACCACCACCGCCTACTGCCCCCTACCGCCACCACCCCTACTGCCACCACCCCTACCACCACCCCTACCACCACCACCACCCCTACCACCACCCCTACCACCACCACCGCCTACCGCCACCCCTACCACCACCACCGCCTACCGCCACCCCTACCACCACCACCCCTACCACCACCACCGCCTACCGCCCCTACCACCACCACCCCTACCGCCCCCTACCACCACCCCTACCGCCACCACCTACCACCACCACCCTACCACCCCCTACCACCACCACCACTACCACCCCTACCGCCACCACCACCCCTACCACCACCACCCCTACCACCACCACCCCCTACCACCACCACCCCTACCGCCACCCCTACCAACACCACCACTACCACCACCCCTACCGCCACCCCTACCACCACCACCCCTACCACCACCACCGCCTACCGCCCCCTACCACCACCACCCCTACCGCCCCCTACCACCACCCCTACCGCCACCACCTACCACCACCACCCCTACCACCCCCTACCACCACCACCACTACCACCCCTACCGCCACCACCACCCCTACCACCACCACCCCTACCACCACCACCCCTACCACCACCACCCCCTACCACCACCACCCCTACCGCCACCCCTACCAACACCACCACTACCACCACCCTGACCGCCACCCCTACCACCACCACCCCTACCGCCCCCCTACCACCACCACCCCTACCACCCCCTACCACCACCACCCCTACCGCCGTCCTCTCTCCAACGCTCCCGGTGAACTGTTCACCGGGGACGCCACGCAGCGTCTCTAGCGGCCGACTGGCACATTCCCTCCTGCAACATAGAGGAGAGAGTGGAGGGAGGTTTTTGGAGGTTGGATAGCGTAAATATAGTGTCGTTAAAACCGCCACCACCCGGACACAGACAATTGGTAAAGGTTTGTCGCGTGAAACAGAACTTAAAACAGAATTTAAAACAAAACTTAAAACAGAACGTGGCAATTCGTTACGAGTCTAGCACACACATCGGTGTCTCGGTGTGTTGGAGAGCAAAGCCACAACATTTACAATCTGAGTACGATTACAGTAAATGCAAACTGGCATTATCGGGCGGACAGCTAGAGGTGATGGGTTTGACGACACATTTATGGGGCCGTCCATAAATGACGTCACGCACCTGGGGGGGGGGGGTCAGACATTTGTGACGATGTATGACGAGGAGGGGGGGGGGTGAGAAATGTGACGTCATATCAAAATGCGCAACTTTAAATAAATATAGACAACACGTTCTACTTAATTAAATAGACTTTTTAATAAATGTTTTTTCCTACAACATCAGAGTGCAGCGCCACATTAAATACGCACTACAATGACAATAGTTTAAAGCAATTGGAAGCATATTTTATTTGGGGGGGGGGGGGCAGAGCTTTGTGACGTCATATTTGAGGGGGGGTCTGACTTTGTGACGCCGCGTGACGAAGGGGGGGGGGGGTTAAAAATCGTCCAAAATCGCGTGACGTCATTTATGGACGGCCCCTATATGAGAATAGGTTTCCCCTTTTTTCCAGCAACAAAACAGATGTTAAAACACCAAACGAAACATTTTACAAGGAATCATGTCTGCATTAACCACAATACTTGTGGTCAGAATGCAAACAAAAAACATACTCTGAAAATATATTGCATTGTCTTTGAAACTGATTGGTCCACACCAGAGACAGCTTTCTTTTGAGCCTCGTCTCAAACGGTGTTAGACCAGAGGACGCCAAAAGGCGTACAGCACAAAGACAACTGCACTATCAGAGTAATGAGAGCTCGGGGTTGAGCAGCTCCATCATGATGTCTCTGGTGTGGACCAATCAAAGACATTGCATATATTATCAGAGTATAGTTTTTGTTTGCATTCTGACCACAAGTATTGTGGTTCATGCAGACATGATTCCTTGCAAAAGGTTTCAGTTTGGTGTTTTAACATCTCAACACCTACATTTTGATTTAAAGCTTTCGTGACTGCAGGGATTCATATTCATGGTTCT